GTAGTTTTAAATCATCCCTTCACCATCAATTACGACCCTTCTAGCACTTCACAAGTCCACTCCTTCCCCAAGGACCGCCACTAGACACGGTCCCAAGCCATCTGAATTTAATGACTTCTCGCATGTCTTACCTTCGCGTAAAATAAAATGGTTTATAATTATTATGTGTGGCTTAAGTTTGTATTAAAAAGGCTGCAAGAGTAATAAATAATTTTATTCTTTTTATTTAGTAGAGCCGACCCATTCCTGCAACGATTATAATATTATACTCTGTACGGCAGTATGTTATGGTTACGTTCAATAATATTAATTTTACAATAATTATGACTTACCAGGTCGACTTCTCAGTAGAAGACATTCGTAAAATGATAATCGACAAAAAAGCAATTCTACGAACTATTTGTAAATGCAATCTGATAGTTTGCTTTTGCAGACTCGAGTTTTTTTGCACTATTCAAATTTATCCCACCTTATACGGTTGTTAGTTAAAATCTAAGTTGATTTATAAAATTGCCTATTCCAATACCTGCATCTTCGACTTCTTGCATGTTTCATCAACTTACATAGTTATATAGGTATATGTTTGGTTAAGAGTTAATGTAATGTAATCTATTACGAAATCGCCAGACTATGTGTTAGAATCCATTTTTTTTTACTACAAATCCCCTGGTGGAGTTGTTTATGGGCGGTGGTAGTAACTTACTGATGGTAAGTTACTACCACCAGTAAGTTACTACCACAGTAGTTTAGTGTCAGCCGCATGCTTGTTTGTTCTCTCTTCTATAAAAAAAAAACTAGGAGACTATGGGTTTAGTTACAAACTTTTATTTCTGCCGCTGTTCCCGTCAGTATAACAGGTTATGAGGCATTCCATCTTATTTTCGAGAACTGTAGACAACGCATCTGTAGCCTGTTGTGTAGTTTTTTTTAAAGATGCTTGCAGGGTTTCAGGTGTCTATGGGATATAGTAGCCATTTACCATCAGGTGGACTGTAACTTCGTTTGTCATTTCAATTTCATTTTGAAAAAACTATGCTTGCCAGTACGAGGTCACGACCCTTCGAATTATATGGCCGGCCTAATGCTACTTCAAGCTACTATACTAACGTCGAACACTCGCAGCCCGTGGTGCAATAAAATGGGGGAAACAGGCATACATTTCCAAAATTGATTTTTTTTAAATGAATTATAAATTAACTAATAGCAATAGACGTGGAGCAATTACGAATTCTAAGGGAGCATTTAAGGAGCAATTACTGGCATACAACTTAATTAAATAAAAATTCTACGTTAACTTCCTTCCAGTCTAGGATTATATATATATATATATATATATATATATATATATATATATATATATATATATATATATATATATATATATTAGCATCATACGTATTATAATTAAAAAAAAGGGAATATATTTTCCATAGTTGCCACGCTAGACAAGGTTAACAACCACACTTTTATTTTGAGTTGTTGCCAGGAAGACGCTGCTGTCCATCTCCTGCTTTGTTTCTCTCTGTCGTCTCTTACGGCACCCACGGGGTGATATGGGGTAATTGATTCTTATACGCTGCCAATACACGGCGACATTGTTTTCTTAATGCTACGGCCACACTACCGTGATATGGCAATAATTATGGATATAATTTTTTTTTTATAAAAAAAATACTAGTAATGCTATTAAACATTACTGATTTTCCCTTTAACTACTTCTGGTAAACTTAAAATGCTTATGCTAGAAATGGTTCACGACAGCAGTCGAATGGCGGATTCGAACCCACGACCTTTCGAGTTCGCGGTCCGCGCCCTGCCATTAGGCTACTGACGCTAAATATAACCTAGCTTTAGCCACGATTTATGGCCATTATTTTACTATGTCAATATGGTATAATGACGGTAGTCAATAATAGCTCCAGACGGTGGTGTTCTCTTTCGCATATCAAAGACGATTACCGCAGTAATTTTAGGGTCAAGTGGCCACACTACAGTTTGATCAGTGTGCGACATGAGCTCAACAGAAAAAAAGATAAACCTATTACGCCTTCTGTGCACTTTTATCATCCACCATCTTCTTTTAAGTCTTGGTTTAGCTTTGCTAAAATGTAAAAGATTCATATAATAGTAACTGGCTCTCATAAAGTACAACACCGCCGCAGATTCAACCTCCATCTTAAATGATTTTTTTTTTCCGCCCAATTCATTGTCACATCTAGGTAAACTCTAGTGTAATCACACGCGACAGTAATTTAATGCCATAATTATTGCGGTAAACGGGCGGTAGACGTTAAGGTAGTGTAGCCGTAGCTTAAGAAGGACATATAATCGTGAAATAATTTGTATTGGTATCGATGAGACAATTGACTTGTATACTATTGTAGTCTTTGACAATGCCTGTTGACGTCATTTATTAATACCTACTCGTACATGCCCGGACGATTTTGATTCCTCGCACTTTATTTTAGCTTATTTAATTTCTAACATTCTCAGCAGGGTGACTCCTATGTGTTTTAATGTAAATTCCAAAATGTCCAATCATCAAACGGACTCTGGTGTAAATAACCATATTCCCTTAATTTTTTATAATATATCGTCATAATTTTAACGCTAGTATATTTGTCACTAGAATATCCAGTATCCGTGGTCTAATACGAGTTAAATTGATTGCTAGAATTTGTCTTTAAGAATAAATTAGACTCCCTTTTGTTACCTTCTTAAAGTTTGAGGGCACCGCGTGCTGTATAATATTGTGGGTATTTCGGTCAAGTATGGTTGTCACCAGTTGAACCCATAGTCGATTTTCAAATAACTTAGGTGGGTTTAGTCCTGAAATGACCCATTTGGGAGCCTAATGCTCAAATACTCAAACGCAACTCAATTTTGAGATGCCGTTAAGTCTCTTGCTGTCTCTATCACTTTAAGTCAAAGTGACTGTGACATCACGAGACTTAACAACATCTTTAAAATGAGTAGTGTTTGGCCATTAGGCTTTTAAATAATGAGCCTACAGAAATCTATACCAAAATATATCTTAAGCATTCATAATATGCAAACTTAAATCTTTACCTAACGATAAGCCTACGTCTAGACATTATGTGAAATAGGTGACGAGGCCAAATTTTTCCAGATTACGTATAAATGACGAAAGTCGAGTTGACGCTGTGGTGTGCGTAGTTTGCGCCTGTGTGAGATAATTGATAAACGGTCTGCCGAGTTTCATACGCGGTTCCATTGGTCAATAGTTCAGTTCAACTACGTCAAAGATGCGCGCGCATCCTGCATCTCCCTCCTCCGCCCTCGCCTCCAGTTAGGCGCACCATCATTTATTCGGGACATGTATGTAACTCCTGGATATGGGTCACTTCCATGTTTGGAAGGATATACAAAGGCAGATTGAGAATCACAGTACTGGTAATTTAAGATGTCCCGCAACTTTGACGCGCTTTTATTTTACTGTTGCTTATAAAAGGTAATATTACCGCCATCAATCGGAATTTTCCCATAGTCCCATATAAATTAAATGGTGTATTTATGCACTTACACCGCCACCGCATGACATATAATTAAGATATCTGTACTAGGTATATACTATAAAAATGTGTTTTGGAGTTCATACTTTCTATACTGATTTTTGTATTACTAAAAATAAAAAGCTAGCGACTGAAAAGTATTCTTACCAGAAATATATAAAAAAAAAAACATAAACAAGTTTTATATTTCATGTTACTTTATCCGATGATCAAAAAATTGTATTTTTAATATTTTAGACTTTGTTTGGATAAGTAAATTTAGTTTTATGGAAAAGCTTAATGTAATATAACTTCCTACCTTGAGCTTAAGTACTTTGTCCGTGGAAAAATAAAAAAACTGAAGGCACCATCTCTTTGTACTTCTGAGTTCTGACCTTTAAACGAAGTGCCTATTTAGAAGTTATGTTTATGGTTGGAATCTGTATCGCGTATGATACCAATATAGCGAACATAATGACATGCGATCTTGATTGCGTTCTTCTTTTATGATTAGATATTATTACTATTTTTGTACAGAGTAGTCTGAAAAGTGAATTATTAATAAATATTTTACTCATTAGATACATTTCCAATGCCATTTTTCCATAAAAATATTCATCTTGATAAATTGGCGAAAAATAAATATTTTGAAGTTACAATTAAGAATTAAAGCTTTGTTTATTTAATTACTGTAGGAATAAACTATAATCTTATTAATAGGACTCATTTGCTGCCTCGATTTCGTTAATAATTATGCTATGCCTATGATCCACTCCTGGCGCCAACCAGCAGCGTGCCCACTTTTATGTTCTGGTTTCAAAGGTAAGACTATGAGAGCCAGTATAATTACCAACTGCGACCGCGAGGCATTTTATCCAAGTCCCTAGGAATGACAACACTTCTGTGGCTTTTTTTGTCACTTGCCATTAGGTAGACTTTCTTTGAAAAATGTAATTGTGTAAATATTATCCTTTTATTCTTTTATAATTTTGATACAGCTTATCTCATTATTGTAATATACAAAAAAAAATAAGGGTAATCATGTCTTTTCGTAATCATGTAGTAAATAATGAAACGGTCGGTTTTTATACGTGGTAGAGCCATGCTGCAGCTATATTAGTAATATATTTGTAGCACGAATGGGTAGGCTCGACCGGGGAAGGACCACGCTCTCACAGAATACCAGCGTAAAATGGCAGCTTGACACTGCTGTGTTTCGTATGGTGAGTGTAGAGAACCGGAGACCCATTTTACTGGAAAAGAGGCATTCCATCTTAGTCCTCACGGGTGCCGACGCTTCTGCATTTTGATTCTTTATTGAGGATAAATGTAGATGTCTATGGGCCACAGCAACTACTTACCATCAGACGCACTGTGAGCCCTCAAACCGGTAAAGCTAAAAGCCAAAAAGGCTAACAGCATTAACATCATCAGAAACCCCACTTTTTTACTATTTTTTTTTTCTTACAATGTTTTCTTTTTACACAGAGACACGCATCAGATCGACCTACCGCCGTTCGGCAAGTACGCCACAGGCATCTTCTTTCTGGACAAGTCTCATCATCAAGACATAGAGCTGAAGTTCAAGGAGCTTGCAGAAAGTCTCGGACTTCGCATCCTGTGCTGGAGAACCGTACCCACCAACAACACAACTATCGGTAAGTGACTACGAAGTATTTTAATATAAAAAAAAATTCTGTAACGCAATATTTTATGTTATGTTAAAAATAATTTCCTTTTACTTATTAAAATATCTAGTTTTTATTTACAAAGTTAGGTTGCAAAAAATAGAACAGTTATTAATATGTAGGGATTAACCGTGATTTTATCAATTTCTTTCGTAATATTAGTGTCCTTGATGTCATGTGTGTAATATGTATAACATTGTAAAAGTATTAGAATAATTGTCGTCTTATTTGACCCTCCGCGTGATTAGTTTTGTTTTGATTGTTTAAAAAAAACATAGTTTTTTTAAGATAAATCCAATTTCACAATGTTGAATTAAATAAAAGTTATCTAGTAATCAATCTTGTCAAAAGTCAATTATTTATTTTATCTTTACGGTGTAATGTAATTTAATCATATTATCACGCCATAATTTTACTATTTATTTAAAGTTACAGTTAGTGGTTGTTGTGTTTATTTAAATGTTTTCGTAAAAAACTGAAGTGTCAAACAATCAATCAATCCACCTGATGATAGTGTATCTACTGCAGGTCATGGATCCTTGCAACCAACTTCAAACAAAGAAGGCTACGGATGCGTTGTCGCTTCTGAGGACTGACATGGAATGACCTCACAGCCTGTAATTCTGCTGGCTCTCTATTATTTTAATTACCTTCAGAACATTACACAGCGGTACAGGCACTGGTATTTGACGGCAGAAATAGAAAAGAGAGTTGAGTAGAGCCATGCTGCAGCTATATTATGGTTGTAGCACGAATGTCGACCGGGGAAGGACCACGCTCTCACAGAAAACCAGCGTAAAATAGCAGCTTAACGCTGCTGTGTTTCGTATGGTGAGTGTAGAGAACTGGAGACCCTTTTTACTGGCAAAGGGGAATTCCATCTTAGTCCTCACGGGTGACAACGCATCTGCATCTTGAGTCTTTATTGAGGATAGATGTAGATGTCTATGAGTCACAGTAACCACTTACAATCAGGTGGACTGTGTGCTCGTTTGTCACCCGATCCTATAAAAAAAAAAGTTGTGGGCCTTACCCAGACGAACTTTTAGGCGGAAAGGGAGTCCTACGACACTGTACATAGGACTATAACAATTTTGTATACTTATAACCACCATTCTGTATACTTGTAGAGGTACATTCTATCGTATTAATAACTCAAAACATCTGTGCATTTCACAAAACTTAAGCGGCCGTTAAATACTTTAACGAGTAGTTATCAGTAAAGGCATATTGATTTTGATTTACGTCGCGATTACTTTTATATCGTATTCAACGTTGTGAAGTTGACTTACTACGATTTCTCGATCAATTTTCACTTTACGATTCTATTGTTGTCTACCATAAAAACGTTCTCAATGATTCACGTCATCAAATGTTTCGCTTCATTCTCAATAAGATGCAGTTACGCTGCTGCAATATGTTTGCGACTATCATTGCAGGTGGTACACGTAGTAAAGAATTGCTTGGGCTGACGCGGTCATGCGATGCTTGACCATCTGGTTTGTTCAATTTGACAATATGCGGTGGCACGTACAGTATGATTCACTTGTTCTCGCTCCTCAAACAGACTGTTGATCCTTTTGAAATTAAGTTTATAGTTTCTTGACATAGGTAAAATTATATTTGAAAAATAACTTATGGATCGAGTAGCGAGTACTAAGGGAGTTTAACTTACATGGTATCGCTCTATAAAAAAAATCTTATATTTGTAACAACGTACCTTTGGTGTCTAACTCAACATGGCCAAGTATCAGATGATTGTGGTCTAGGGGTTAAGGATAAAAGTATGAGACCTTGTTACAAATATAAGCATCATAAATAAATGATGCGTAGTTTACGGCACTACCATATTCAATTATATTTGATTCTAACATAACAACAGTACTGATTAATAAGTTAGTAGTTAGTAATCTTTAGCTCGTATGAAAATAATTTTGAATTTGTTCTTGTTTTTTTTTTTTTTAATATAAAACGTATTTCATAAGAAAAAAACATGACTGTAACATGATTATAAATGGTCGCGCCGTAACACAAAAATTTAACACGTTTTTTTGTAGTGTTATAATAATATTTGTTTTAAATTCAATTTGTAATTAACTTGAGATTCCATACTCGGTGTAATATATTTCACATGAAATCATTAGCCATTGTAACTACATTTTCCTTGTTGTTAAATCTCAAGTTAACACTCATATTGTTTTTGTTCACTAAGATGGTTAATCATTAGGCAACTAAATTTATGTTGAGATCATTTTCATGTCATAAATGCTACAGCATAGATTATTTTATCATTGAAATTTTTATTTATATTTTCATAATACATTTATGACGTCAATAATGTCGTGTGCAATTATTATCACACAACATTACATGGTATTCATCCATCGAAGTGTCGAAAATACATAGAATTAAGTAGAAATAAAAAGTGTGATAGAAATTTACTAGTTACATGTAAAATAGACTGGGTGAAGTTAGTAACGGCCGATTTTGACTGGCTTTCAGGTCAGGTGGCTCGTAATTCGGAGCCCTATATGCGTCAAGTGTTTGTTACCGGCGATATCCAAGACGAGGAACAGCTGGCCAGGCAGGTAAGATCGGACGGTCATGAACAGACCAAATCAATTGATGTGAGTGTACCACATGGATAGGAGACAGATGGGTATGAACACGCAATGTAAGATGAATATTGCGTTTTCAAACTCTCTTAATGAATTTACAGGAGGCAAAGCACTCTTAAGGCATTTTTTTCAGATCGACGCCCCGCGCGCCGGTGAGGGGGAGCGGAGGTCCTCTCCGTTGCAAACGTAAATTCACACATCCTTATCCTATTCCTTACATTCATTATTAACAATTACGGTCGTTTTCTTTCAGACCTTTAAATTTGTTAAATTTTTATTAAGCGAAATTACCCATAAAATTAGGCCCATATCATTTAAAATTCAAGCGTGCAATATGCGGAGATTTCTTGTGTATTTTCGCAGATATTCGTGTTGCGTAAACGTGCAAGTCACGAAATTGTGGTGCCAGGAGCTAGATTCTACATCTGCAGTCTTTCGCTGAAAACTGTAGTCTACAAGGGACTTCTCACTTCTAACCAATTATGGGTAAGATTGTTCTTAAATATAACAACTTTATGTTACTTTTCATTTTACTGGAAACTCCTTAAACTTTAGGTTCACCTACCTTACTAATTTAAGATATATTAATTATAAAACTACCGATATAAAAGTTCTTACTCTGCATCTGGTATTTATTACATAATACTAAAACATATTTTATACCATTACGTAATAATGTTTAAATTTTACAGTATGTGTATCTCAAGGATCTATTTTGGGTCCCTGATTATGAAGTTAACTTTAGTGTTAGTCTAATACCAAAAAAACAAAGTAATTACCAAAAAAACTACCAATTTAGCGGTATTTCTCTTTTCGAAATAAACGTTTTCCTTCTGTCACAGGAATACTTCAAAGATTTGAGCAACCCAGCGTTCACCACCTATCTGGCATTGGTCCATACTCGATTTTCCACAAACACCTTCCCAAGTTGGGAAAGAGCGCATCCTTTAAGGTAACATATTATGATTTCTTTTTTCTTGTGTGAATATTTTATTGTGAATATCCCAAACATATTCTTTCTTATCTAAACTTTAATCTGATATTTCTTGTTTGCTACAGAGTGCTTGCCCACAATGGCGAGATAAATACGTTGCGCGGTAACGTCAACTTGATGAAAGCTCGTGAAGGTGTTATGAAGAGTGATATATTCGGCGATGGTATGTTGAGTTTACTTATCATAGAATTTTATTTAGAAGTATTTTTTCACATGTCAGTTACCATTTTTAAATTAAGTTAATACTATTTTCTTTTTCAAACAATATAGATCTTGATGTTGAAGGTTGATAGGTTGATAGATAGATCTTCTATTTCCTTATTTATTTCAACAAAGTCCTGTAGTACAATGAATTCAAACAAAACTTTAATCTAAAACAGTCTCTATCAACTTGTTATGATTATTGAAAGAAGGTTGAAAAAACATGACGTCTGCCTAATATAATATTGCAAGATATTCATTACACTTTTAAATATTTGAAACAACAGACTATGGATGCGGTTAGCGACTCAAAAATTAAACTATTAATAAAATGTAAACACTTGTGCTTATACACTTCAGGAGTGTAAGTGATGGGGTGATGGGGTGTTATAAGCTGCTTGACCACTATGTGTGTCTGTCTGTGGCACCGTAGCTCTTAAACGGGTGAACCGATTAGAGAGCGGTTTTTTTTTTGTTTAAAAGCAAGTTTTCTAGCGGTGGTTATTAGACATGTTTTATCAAAATCGGTTCAGCCGTTTTTAAATCATCAGCTGTTTTTTTTTTGGGGTTTTTTTATTTATGATTTTGAGTTTTTGAGTGAAGAAATACGGAATATTACAAGCTCAAGATATCAACTATAATGTTCTTTAACGGTACATTAAAAATTTCATCCTTTGACCTTGGTTGAACTTGGTCTAGTGGTCGTAAGCGCGATTGCTGATCATGTGGTTTCGGGTTCGAAACCGTGTCGGGCCATGATCAATTAAAATCACAATTATTTAAAGACCTAAGAAGCAGCTGGCATCAATGAATTTGTAAATTGCAATTTCAAGTGCAGGTTTACCACTAAAACTTCGTGAGGAAATTTGCAAAGCAAAAATTGAAGTCGTGAAGTTCGTTAACACGTATTGAGGATGCGCAGCGAACATTTCTTTGCTTTTAAACCCTCTCAAAAATGAGAGGACGCATGTTGTGGTACCCGGTTGTGGTACGTCCTCCAGACCAAATTTATGTCACGGCGGCCAGTCTCAACGGAGAGTAGCTATCTGCGCAGTACAGGATTATAGTGTACAAGTGTATGTGCAAGCACAGGTGCACTTTATTCCCTCAACTGTCGTAGTTCAATGGGTAGGCAATCCGACATGACCGGAGAGAAATCATGCGCAGGATCTACAGCTTTAGGCGATTTTCATCGAGGCACGGGGGTTAAACACCGCCAACTTCCTCACTCCGAGCTGCTTCTGAGAATTTCTTTACACAAAAACCGAATAACTGATGTTGGCCTGACCCCGGATTCGAACCCAGGACCTCATTCGTGTGGAACGTATATAGGCTGTAACTTTATAATCTATATAGAATGTATAGTATTGTCTATGTGTGACACCATGGTGTGGTGGCAGATCTGAAGAAACTGTACCCGGTGGTGGAGCCGAACCTGTCGGACTCGGGGTCGGCGGACTGCGTGCTGGAGTTCCTGACGGCGTGCGGCAAGCGGTCGCTGCCCGAGGCGGTGATGACCATGGTGCCTGAGGCCTGGCACGCGGACAGCACCATGGCGCGCGCCAAGCGGGACTACTACCGCTGGGCCGCCTGCGCCATGGAGCCCTGGGACGGGCCCGCGCTCATCGCCTTCACCGACGGACGCTACATAGGTGCGTATGTTCATAGCTTTACATAATGTACTACTACCGCTGGGCCGCCTGCGCCATGGAGCCCTGGGACGGGCCCGCGCTCATCGCCTTCACCGACGGACGCTACATAGGTGCGTATGTTCATAGCTTTACATAATGTACTACTACCGCTGGGCCGCCTGCGCCATGGAGCCCTGGGACGGGCCCGCGCTCATCGCCTTCACCGACGGACGCTACATAGGTGCGTATGTTCATAGCTTTACATAATGTACTACTACCGCTGGGCCGCCTGCGCCATGGAGCCCTGGGACGGGCCCGCGCTCATCGCCTTCACCGACGGACGCTACATAGGTGCGTATGTTCATAGCTTTACATAATGTACTACTACCGCTGGGCCGCCTGCGCCATGGAGCCCTGGGACGGGCCCGCGCTCATCGCCTTCACCGACGGACGCTACATAGGTGCGTATGTTCATAGCTTTACATAATGTACTACTACCGCTGGGCCGCCTGCGCCATGGAGCCCTGGGACGGGCCCGCGCTCATCGCCTTCACCGACGGACGCTACATAGGTGCGTATGTTCATAGCTTTACATAATGTACTACTACCGCTGGGCCGCCTGCGCCATGGAGCCCTGGGACGGGCCCGCGCTCATCGCCTTCACCGACGGACGCTACATAGGTGCGTATGTTCATAGCTTTACATAATGTACTACTACCGCTGGGCCGCCTGCGCCATGGAGCCCTGGGACGGGCCCGCGCTCATCGCCTTCACCGACGGACGCTACATAGGTGCGTATGTTCATAGCTTTACATAATGTACTACTACCGCTGGGCCGCCTGCGCCATGGAGCCCTGGGACGGGCCCGCGCTCATCGCCTTCACCGACGGACGCTACATAGGTGCGTATGTTCATAGCTTTACATAATGTACTACTACCGCTGGGCCGCCTGCGCCATGGAGCCCTGGGACGGGCCCGCGCTCATCGCCTTCACCGACGGACGCTACATAGGTGCGTATGTTCATAGCTTTACATAATGTACTACTACCGCTGGGCCGCCTGCGCCATGGAGCCCTGGGACGGGCCCGCGCTCATCGCCTTCACCGACGGACGCTACATAGGTGCGTATGTTCATAGCTTTACATAATGTACTACTACCGCTGGGCCGCCTGCGCCATGGAGCCCTGGGACGGGCCCGCGCTCATCGCCTTCACCGACGGACGCTACATAGGTGCGTATGTTCATAGCTTTACATAATGTACTACTACCGCTGGGCCGCCTGCGCCATGGAGCCCTGGGACGGGCCCGCGCTCATCGCCTTCACCGACGGACGCTACATAGGTGCGTATGTTCATAGCTTTACATAATGTACTACTACCGCTGGGCCGCCTGCGCCATGGAGCCCTGGGACGGGCCCGCGCTCATCGCCTTCACCGACGGACGCTACATAGGTGCGTATGTTCATAGCTTTACATAATGTACTACTACCGCTGGGCCGCCTGCGCCATGGAGCCCTGGGACGGGCCCGCGCTCATCGCCTTCACCGACGGACGCTACATAGGTGCGTATGTTCATAGCTTTACATAATGTACTACTACCGCTGGGCCGCCTGCGCCATGGAGCCCTGGGACGGGCCCGCGCTCATCGCCTTCACCGACGGACGCTACATAGGTGCGTATGTTCATAGCTTTACATAATGTACTACTACCGCTGGGCCGCCTGCGCCATGGAGCCCTGGGACGGGCCCGCGCTCATCGCCTTCACCGACGGACGCTACATAGGTGCGTATGTTCATAGCTTTACATAATGTACTACTACCGCTGGGCCGCCTGCGCCATGGAGCCCTGGGACGGGCCCGCGCTCATCGCCTTCACCGACGGACGCTACATAGGTGCGTATGTTCATAGCTTTACATAATGTACTACTACCGCTGGGCCGCCTGCGCCATGGAGCCCTGGGACGGGCCCGCGCTCATCGCCTTCACCGACGGACGCTACATAGGTGCGTATGTTCATAGCTTTACATAATGTACTACTACCGCTGGGCCGCCTGCGCCATGGAGCCCTGGGACGGGCCCGCGCTCATCGCCTTCACCGACGGACGCTACATAGGTGCGTATGTTCATAGCTTTACATAATGTACTACTACCGCTGGGCCGCCTGCGCCATGGAGCCCTGGGACGGGCCCGCGCTCATCGCCTTCACCGACGGACGCTACATAGGTGCGTATGTTCATAGCTTTACATAATGTACTACTACCGCTGGGCCGCCTGCGCCATGGAGCCCTGGGACGGGCCCGCGCTCATCGCCTTCACCGACGGACGCTACATAGGTGCGTATGTTCATAGCTTTACATAATGTACTACTACCGCTGGGCCGCCTGCGCCATGGAGCCCTGGGACGGGCCCGCGCTCATCGCCTTCACCGACGGACGCTACATAGGTGCGTATGTTCATAGCTTTACATAATGTACTACTACCGCTGGGCCGCCTGCGCCATGGAGCCCTGGGACGGGCCCGCGCTCATCGCCTTCACCGACGGACGCTACATAGGTGCGTATGTTCATAGCTTTACATAATGTACTACTACCGCTGGGCCGCCTGCGCCATGGAGCCCTGGGACGGGCCCGCGCTCATCGCCTTCACCGACGGACGCTACATAGGTGCGTATGTTCATAGCTTTACATAATGTACTACTACCGCTGGGCCGCCTGCGCCATGGAGCCCTGGGACGGGCCCGCGCTCATCGCCTTCACCGACGGACGCTACATAGGTGCGTATGTTCATAGCTTTACATAATGTACTACTACCGCTGGGCCGCCTGCGCCATGGAGCCCTGGGACGGGCCCGCGCTCATCGCCTTCACCGACGGACGCTACATAGGTGCGTATGTTCATAGCTTTACATAATGTACTACTACCGCTGGGCCGCCTGCGCCATGGAGCCCTGGGACGGGCCCGCGCTCATCGCCTTCACCGACGGACGCTACATAGGTGCGTATGTTCATAGCTTTACATAATGTACTACTACCGCTGGGCCGCCTGCGCCATGGAGCCCTGGGACGGGCCCGCGCTCATCGCCTTCACCGACGGACGCTACATAGGTGCGTATGTTCATAGCTTTACATAATGTACTACTACCGCTGGGCCGCCTGCGCCATGGAGCCCTGGGACGGGCCCGCGCTCATCGCCTTCACCGACGGACGCTACATAGGTGCGTATGTTCATAGCTTTACATAATGTACTACTACCGCTGGGCCGCCTGCGCCATGGAGCCCTGGGACGGGCCCGCGCTCATCGCCTTCACCGACGGACGCTACATAGGTGCGTATGTTCATAGCTTTACATAATGTACTACTACCGCTGGGCCGCCTGCGCCATGGAGCCCTGGGACGGGCCCGCGCTCATCGCCTTCACCGACGGACGCTACATAGGTGCGTATGTTCATAGCTTTACATAATGTACTACTACCGCTGGGCCGCCTGCGCCATGGAGCCCTGGGACGGGCCCGCGCTCATCGCCTTCACCGACGGACGCTACATAGGTGCGTATGTTCATAGCTTTACATAATGTACTACTACCGCTGGGCCGCCTGCGCCATGGAGCCCTGGGACGGGCCCGCGCTCATCGCCTTCACCGACGGACGCTACATAGGTGCGTATGTTCATAGCTTTACATAATGTACTACTACCGCTGGGCCGCCTGCGCCATGGAGCCCTGGGACGGGCCCGCGCTCATCGCCTTCACCGACGGACGCTACATAGGTGCGTATGTTCATAGCTTTACATAATGTACTACTACCGCTGGGCCGCCTGCGCCATGGAGCCCTGGGACGGGCCCGCGCTCATCGCCTTCACCGACGGACGCTACATAGGTGCGTATGTTCATAGCTTTACATAATGTACTACTACCGCTGGGCCGCCTGCGCCATGGAGCCCTGGGACAGGCCCGCGCTCATCGCCTTCACCGACGGACGCTACATAGGTGCGTATGTTCATAGCTTTACATAATGTACTACTACCGCTGGGCCGCCTGCGCCATGGAGCCCTGGGACGGGCCCGCGCTCATCGCCTTCACCGACGGACGCTACATAGGTGCGTATGTTCATAGCTTTACATAATGTACTACTACCGCTGGGCCGCCTGCGCCATGGAGCCCTGGGACGGGCCCGCGCTCATCGCCTTCACCGACGGACGCTACATAGGTGCGTATGTTCATAGCTTTACATAATGTACTACTACCGCTGGGCCGCCTGCGCCATGGAGCCCTGGGACGGGCCCGCGCTCATCGCCTTCACCGACGGACGCTACATAGGTGCGTATGTTCATAGCTTTACATAATGTACTACTACCGCTGGGCCGCCTGCGCCATGGAGCCCTGGGACGGGCCCGCGCTCATCGCCTTCACCGACGGACGCTACATAGGTGCGTATGTTCATAGCTTTACATAATGTACTACTACCGCTGGGCCGCCTGCGCCATGGAGCCCTGGGACGGGCCCGCGCTCATCGCCTTCACCGACGGACGCTACATAGGTGCGTATGTTCATAGCTTTACATAATGTACTACTACCGCTGGGCCGCCTGCGCCATGGAGCCCTGGGACGGGCCCGCGCTCATCGCCTTCACCGACGGACGCTACATAGGTGCGTATGTTCATAGCTTTACATAATGTACTACTACCGCTGGGCCGCCTGCGCCATGGAGCCCTGGGACGGGCCCGCGCTCATCGCCTTCACCGACGGACGCTACATAGGTGCGTATGTTCATAGCTTTACATAATGTACTACTACCGCTGGGCCGCCTGCGCCATGGAGCCCTGGGACGGGCCCGCGCTCATCGCCTTCACCGACGGACGCTACATAGGTGCGTATGTTCATAGCTTTACATAATGTACTACTACCGCTGGGCCGCCTGCGCCATGGAGCCCTGGGACGGGCCCGCGCTCATCGCCTTCACCGACGGACGCTACATAGGTGCGTATGTTCATAGCTTTACATAATGTACTACTACCGCTGGGCCGCCTGCGCCATGGAGCCCTGGGACGGGCCCGCGCTCATCGCCTTCACCGACGGACGCTACATAGGTGCGTATGTTCATAGCTTTACATAATGTACTACTACCGCTGGGCCGCCTGCGCCATGGAGCCCTGGGACGGGCCCGCGCTCATCGCCTTCACCGACGGACGCTACATAGGTGCGTATGTTCATAGCTTTACATAATGTACTACTACCGCTGGGCCGCCTGCGCCATGGAGCCCTGGGACGGGCCCGCGCTCATCGCCTTCACCGACGGACGCTACATAGGTGCGTATGTTCATAGCTTTACATAATGTACTACTACCGCTGGGCCGCCTGCGCCATGGAGCCCTGGGACGGGCCCGCGCTCATCGCCTTCACCGACGGACGCTACATAGGTGCGTATGTTCATAGCTTTACATAATGTACTACTACCGCTGGGCCGCCTGCGCCATGGAGCCCTGGGACGGGCCCGCGCTCATCGCCTTCACCGACGGACGCTACATAGGTGCGTATGTTCATAGCTTTACATAATGTACTACTACCGCTGGGCCGCCTGCGCCATGGAGCCCTGGGACGGGCCCGCGCTCATCGCCTTCACCGACGGACGCTACATAGGTGCGTATGTTCATAGCTTTACATAATGTACTACTACCGCTGGGCCGCCTGCGCCATGGAGCCCTGGGACGGGCCCGCGCTCATCGCCTTCACCGACGGACGCTACATAGGTGCGTATGTTCATAGCTTTACATAATGTACTACTACCGCTGGGCCGCCTGCGCCATGGAGCCCTGGGACGGGCCCGCGCTCATCGCCTTCACCGACGGACGCTACATAGGTGCGTATGTTCATAGCTTTACATAATGTACTACTACCGCTGGGCCGCCTGCGCCATGGAGCCCTGGGACGGGCCCGCGCTCATCGCCTTCACCGACGGACGCTACTTAGGTGTCTATGTTCTGCATAGCTTTACATAGTATAATATAAATTTTATGTACTACATAGATTACCTCCTAGGGGGTAATCTATGATGTACTAATTATATGTGTATATATGCATAGGTAATACTTGTATAGTTTATTTGTAAGTAAAATTTATCCATTACGCAGTAAATTATCATTTTCATTTTGTTTTTTATTCTATATTGTTACACTTGCGTTGACTGATAGAGAAAGCCTCAAGGCATTAAGTCCAACCTTTGTATTATTTTGTTATAACTTGGGAAAAAAAGAAGGAATGCAATAAAGGATAAATAAATAAAATACCAACCAATCAAGAAGACTTTCTTCTGCCCTTTCCGACGAACCTTTATCCTTAACCCTTTCCTTGTCCCATGAATCATACATGAACATTTCGAGCTACTACTACTATATATTATGTATAGCAGACAATATATAGCTTTCAAATATTATGTGTCGGGTCGACATTCGACACGGTCGCCACAGTTAATTGTACTATGCCTTTACAACAATACGTATTTTTCCCATAGGTGCAATTTTGGACAGAAACGGCTTGCGGCCCTCTCGCTTCTACGTGACCAGTGAGAACATACTAGTGATGGCTTCCGAGGTGGGCGTGTACGATGTCGCCCCGGAAAAGGTCATACTGAAGGTAGCGTATTCCTTTAAAACTTAAAATTTGAACAAACAACCAAAGGGTTAGTATTGTTACGACATTGGTGTAAAAAATAAATTTATTTTTAGACCTGAATTGAATGATCTTCTTCTGATTTTATCACATAAGTGTTACTTCATATTTACCGGGAGTTAGAAAAGTGTGAGTGCTTCCGTCTTTGAGTCCGTTTGTGGCATTATAAATCCGTGCTGTTGACGCTTCCGATATTCTTCGGAAATGTAGACTTAGTTAAATATAATTGCTACTTATTCAGTGGAATATTTATTGCACAGATTTAAATGCTTACTAGTATCGCTTGCTTCAAATGTGATCAAAGGCGAAGTTATAATTATTGTAAACACTAAGTAGCTACATAAAAAATACGATGGAAGCAGATGCCTCCGACTGTGTTGTCTCCGGCAGTGTTTAGGAGAGTTGCCTGTCCATCTGTGCACATAGATGTTATGCTGTCAGACTGCGATAATGTCAAATTATGAAATTATTGAAAAGTAATTATAAATTGTTTACAGAGTCGATTGAAACCCGGCCGCATGTTGCTGGTAGATACTGAAGACAAGAAGATTATCCAAGACGTGGAGCTGAAGATGCACATTGCGAACAGCCGTCCGCACTCCGAGTGGCTCAAGGAACAGGTGAATATTATTTTCTATTAAATACACACAAACATAGCGTCACGCCTGTAATCCCAATGTTAGGTAGAGTCCAAAGAGCAACAACCTACTGGGACTTCGATTAGATAAAAAATATAGATGAAAAATTATGAAAGAAGGCATAGGTGATTACCATATCCCATTGGTCGTCTTTTACAACATGCTAAGCAAATAAAGGACTTTCTTTTTTCTTATATATTACACGTAAACATGGAACCTTTAAGTGCCATACAAAAATGGAACTTTTTCGTTTGCATTTTGTTTACTAAACTAAATATTCAAGCCACATCAATTCAGACTATACTAACATCTATTTAGGTCTTTATATTTTTTTAAGAATTAAATCAATAGCTATCATATAAGCTAATTTATTTGTTTCGATATTTAAGGCTATAAGAATAGTTAAACAATTTTTAATGCTATTCTTAAATTCTCATTATTTATCGCCATTCTTCTCATCGTATTCTAAAACAAAAAAAAAACACGTGAGTGGAGCACTCGGTTGGAAGGAAGTTCCTTTCGTAATATGTTATTATTGATAAACGTATTATATTATACATTAAAAATTCAAATAAATGAATTACTAGCGTCTATTAAAATGAAGCGTCACTTAAAACTAAATAATATTTCTTTCATGGCAAGGTAAGAAAAAGTTCGAGGGAGATGGATATTATTCCATATCGCTTCCTTATAGCCGCTAAAGCCGTCTACACTACGTCAGAAGGGGTCGTGACGGAAAATTTTTATACTTTTCTCGCCTAGTCCCCTTCCGCCAAATTCGTACCGTCCGATAAGGAACTTCGTTCCAATAACAATTTTTTGTTTGCACTACCTATGGGTTATATTTTAAAAAAAGATGCCTAAACTGTTTCTTTTAAACCGTATGTAAAATTTTAAAATTTTCAATTTGTCATAAAACTTAAAGTAAGAAGTTGAGTTAAGAACGTTACGTAATATTACACATAATGTGGTGGCCTAGCAATTAGCTACGATACTGCGGGATGCGGGTTTGATTCCTGTTCGGAAAATGTATGGATATGGCTTACGAACTATAGTTCCGGGTTCGAGTACTTGTCCTTGTGCAGTTTATTTACGTAATATGCCTCTACGATATTGTTAAAATTCCTAATATTTAGTGGCGTTTTAGTTTTGTTTCATTTCGCGGATAAAAGAGCAATAGCAATAGGGCTAACTTAAATATTAAAATTTAAAAAATCATATTAACATTAGTTTATATCTGATAGCAAAAGAAATACTTAAAATATTATGTAGTTAAATGTTATTAAATTTGTTATTTGTTATATTTCTATGTTCACGCCGCATTTGACATGTGGGGATAATAAAAAATTTGCAATAGATGGTGAGTATTAAAATTATTTTACGTGCAGACCTTGACGCTAAGCTTTGATTAATTAGTGTTGTTTTTTTATTAATTCTTTCATTCATCACCATCATTTATTTATCTCTCAGCTCCTCATGACATACACGATGGATCCCCCGTAAGTGGAGGGGATTTCGTTACATATGTTTATGCTTATAATTATAATATATACTTATAGATGAGCACAGCATGACTTACAATTAATAATAGAATTTTTACGTTATATTTGACAGTATCTGTGAGCAAGAAAGATCTAACCGTGTGCATATGTGCGTGTACGAAAATAATTTAAATCATATTAACATATTATTATGTAGAAAATAAATAATTTAATAAACTTTAAAATAAACTTAATAACAATAATGAACCGCCCGTCTATATATTTTTTATAATTACACATTCTGTAAATCAATGTAAAAATAAGTTAACTTTACTTTAAAACTGAGGAAGATTCTTATACAAATTTATTGTAAAGATTATAGAAAATATTTAATGTTTAACTTTAGGGACATTGCAACGCCTTTTAGGTAGTAAAACACCCCCACGACACTTGGTGTTGTGAGGAGTTTAGTATGTATTCCAACATAAAATTATATCTATTTCATTCAAAGGGTAACTTCTTACTTTCTGGCCCAACTGTGGAAAGTGGATAGTTTGTTTATTCTTCACCTTTTTAGTTTTGCTTCCTTAACTAAACTTATTTCTTTGTAACGTTACAAGAATGGCATGAATAGGATGACACTTAGTGGAATTTCTTACGTTTTCATTTCACGATGGGTGGATTATATTTCGTTTTGATTTTAAATGCATAAATTATAACCACAATAATAGCGCATATTATTTTATTATTTATGAAGATAACTTAATGGCATAGTTTTTACCTGGAAATCGGCAGGGCAGGGATCACAACCTTTTAACTACTTCCAGGTTAAATTATATAGAAAGCCTATAAAGTTTACAGGTTTCATTTATTTTTTGGTGCACTTCAGAGGTCATAGCATTATTTAAGTTGTAGGTGTCCACAGGCTGCACTAGCTGCCGACTCTATTATGGACTTTTAGCATCTAGGTTATACTACAGTTTAAACACCTAACAGTTGTGAAAAGCCTTTCATGTCAGGCGATACCGCCGCCCGCGTAGGTATTTACGCGTTGTGTGTTTTTAAATTTTGTTTTAATGGATCTTAAATTGGCGACAATTTACTAAACAGCCTAAACGGTATTTCGAGGGTCTTACAGTCTTAGTAGCTGTACTACGTATGTGTGGGGTTAGAGTTGAAGTTACCAGGTTCGATATGCCTCCACATATGTTAAGGATTATATCATGCAGCCATTGGTTTTTAATCAGTTATATAATAGGATATTTTTATTACTTACGCTGTATAGCAGTTTTTTCAACCTAATATTTAATTATTTTAGAGATACGTATAAACGTTGAAAAACCTTGTCTTGGGAAATGTGTTGGAAAATTTAATTTAGATTTAACATGATCTTTTTACTGCACCAAAGTTTTTTCTTTTTTCCACATATTGATAACAAATTTATTTTGTTCACTAGCACAATATAAACACGCAACGCATGCAAAATGGCAATATTCTGTCACTTATACAGATTTAAGTTGTACTATGGCTGTTATTTATTTTTTTAGTTTTATATCACTCATAGACAGAAGTCATAAAGTACTGTATTTACAAAAGTTTACAATGACACCATAAGAATAAGTTTTAGAAGAGAGTTTGCATACATCATTGTTCAGAAATAAGATATTAGTAATAGTATAATAACACTTAGAGCACAGCTTTAATGATAAAATCAGATAATGTTGTATACTAGAGTTTACATATTCTAATTAAGAACTCTAAACTTACTTAGATCCCATAATACAGACTTTATACAGCTTGAGCTGTATAATAAACCACTCTTATAAGGATAACAACCTATTTTCAACACTCTTACATGCTTTTGAAAGACCTCTAAGTTCTATGTGGGCTGGTATATTGATGTTCATAACACTTGTGTGCTGCTTGGGAGGTAACTCAGGACTGTGCTTTATGGAATTTTTTGGGGAACTTCTATGTTCAGCTGTGGACTAAGATGGGATGTAATGCTGATGATGGTCAAAAAGTATATATATCAAAAAGGTATCTTTTACAACAAAAATATTTATAATGATTAAGGCTATCAAAAATTGTAAATATAACATTTGATTTAGATAACGATGGAGGACATCCACAAGTCTGTGTCCGTGGAGAACGGTGGCGGAGTTGGTGGACTTCGTGGGCCCGACGCCATCACCGGACTGTCGGACTGCCGCCTGGCGCTGTTCGGCTACACTATCGAGACCATCAACATACTGTTGCTGCCCATGATACAGAACAAGTGCGTGCTCGCCCCAACTTACCTTAACACTTCATGGAAACCTTTTAAATTTGAATATTCAGATTTTTGGTGCAGAAGAATCTACTATAATTTACAACAATTTTTATTTCTAACGTGTTTTAACTACTATAGCTTTTTACTTATAAGCCAGTGCTTGATTAAAATCCCACCTGGTGGTGAATGGTGATGAAGCCCAGGGGTTCACAAGGGGTCGCTCGACAACTGATGCCGGTGTTGAGCTGATTAAATATATCTTTAATGCATGGGAGAATTCACAGGATGCTTTGGGTATATTTTGTGACATATCCAAAGCCTTCGATTGTGTTCACCATGAAACATTAATCAGGAAACTTCAACACTACGGTGTAAGAAGACTCTTAAATTAATTATTTCATATTTAAGTAAGAGAACGCAAAAATCTTCACATCACATCACATCTGTAAATAGCAAATTCAAACAATTCTAGCAACAGACACAAGCTTATAGTACCAGTTACTCGACTCCATCGTGTTAGTAATTCATTCTTGGGGCGATGTATACGCTTTTACAACAAAATTCCAGAAAAAATACAAAATTTGACCTGCTCAAAGTTTAAAAACTTTATTAAACTAAGTTTGTATAAAAAGGGTTATTACAATATTAAAGAATTTATAGATGATAATAATAATAACCCCTGGAAATGAGGTGATCGCTACCAAGCTATTTCTAATTTGTTGTGTTGTTAATTTGTGTAACATACATGACTGTACGCTGTTATTTTAAAAAAAGTCCCGCTGGGTTTCTTGCTGGTTCTTCCCAGGACAGATTTTTTTTCCAACCATTGGTAATTATACAAAAGAGTGACTTTCAATAAGTATTATTTATAATCTATATTGAATAAAAAAGTTTCTGTTTCTGTCTGCCCTATATGCTAAATTGCACTGGTCTAGTGTTACCAAATTCTCGCCTTGAAGACACCCACATTATAATCGAACGGAAAGACAGATGCCGGCTAATTTTCCTACTCCTTTGCCGTACGCATTAAACGAAGCAAACCGTTTGGTTTGGAATATTGACAAAAAAAGGGTTGATGGCCCGCCCGCTTCTAGTTACCAAAATAAATCCAAAAATAGGTTACCCAATACCTTTTTCTTTTTCGACTGTGCATTGCCAATCATGCGACTGAATAAGGTGTACAAATATGAATAAAACTTCGCTTTGGTTTTTTTTATTTCACCAGCTCTTGTCACTGTCAATAACGAGTTTTACATTAGAAGTAATTATATTTAGGAATCTTAATTAAAACCTAGCTGTTTCAATAGAGCCGACCGCAATTTTTTTTTAACTTCTTATAAGCCAGTGCTTGACCACAATCCCACCTGGTGGTGAGGTGATGAAGCCCTAGATGGTAAATCGCACTGTTTTAACGTAACAAAAGCCTATTCACTCTTGCCTTGAAAACGCCCAGATTGTATTCGGACGGAAAGACAGACGCCGGCAAATTATTCCACTCCTTTGCTGTACGCATTACAAAAGACGAAGCAAACCGTTCGGTTCTAATGCGTGAAATATCGACAACAAAGGGATGAAGACCCGCTGACCGTCTGGTTATCCGATGGTGGAAAGGAGAGGGAGGAATTAAGGTATGTAATTCCTGCGCACACTCACCGAAATGCATCCTATAGAATACCGAGAGACTGGCTACTCTGCGCCTGTGCTCGAGGCTGACAAGATTGGTTTCAACCAAATCAAGGTCACCAATGAGCCTCTTAGTCTCTCCACTGAGTCTAATGCTGCCAGGTGGCATTTTGCAGCACCAGCCCATATGTGACAGCAGTACTCCATGCACGACCGGACTTGCACTTTATATAAGGTAAGAAGCTGACCGGGCGTGAAGTAGCGCCGCACCCTTGCCTGCACCAAGTTTCCTTGCGGCTGCTTTGGCTATGGGCTCAATGAACTGCCCATCGTTTAGGTTCGGAGAAAATTCAATCCCTAACAACTGAAGGCGGTCAGTGTACTCCAAGGATACATTCCGGGAAGTAGGAGCCAAGGTGAGCGGGCTCCTTCTAGCGGTAAAAAGACACGCTTGTGTTTTGGAGGCGTTAAATCTCACGAGATTGGCATCGCCCCATTCGGAGACTGCCTGTACTGTGAGACTCACACGCTCAATCATAGCCTCTCTTTCTGACTGGATTTGATCCCGACTGGCCCGGGCGCTTGGTTGGTATCTCTCCACAACTGTGCTGTCGTCTGCATACCCATAGACACCGGGAATGAGCAGATCATTTATATGCAGCAGGAAGAGAGTTGCGGAGAGAACGGATCCCTTAGGAACACCGGCGTTAGTCGCCACAGTATTGGATGAGCAACCATCAACGACGACCCGGAGAGACCGTTCACTCAAAAAGTCCTTCACCCAGACAATTAGGCCAGGGGATAAGCCGTACGCTGAAAGTTTGCCCAATAGACTAGCGTGCCAAACCCTGTCAAAAGCCTTCGAAATATCAAGGGAAACAGCAAGTGCTTCACCACTGTTCTCGAGGGTTTCGCCCCATATGAGAGTGGCATACGCTAGAAGGTCCCCAGTTGATCGATTTCGGCGAAACCCGTACTGGCGATCACTGAGGAGATCATTTTGCTCTAGGTATGCCATGAGGTGGGCGTTCAATATACGCTCCATAATCTTGCAGAGTATGGAGGTAATTGAAATTGGCCGGTAGTTGGCAGGATCGGTACGGCTACCTTTTTTAGGCACAAGCTGCACATTGGCCAGCTTCCAAGATTTAGGCACTATTCCAGTCCTGAATGAGAGGCGGAACAAACGTGTCAACACAGGAGACAACTTAGGTGCACAGACCTTTAGAACTATAGTTGGTATACCATCAGGTCCACTAGCTTTGTTCACGTCTAGACTTCGCAAGGTTTTAAGAACCTCCTTGTTGGTGATACGGACCTCAGACATAGAGTTGCCGCAGTGAGGTAATTGAGATTGTACGCTGTTGCTACTGTCCAGACGCGAATTGCAAGCAAAAAGAGAAGCAAATAAGTCCGCTTTCTCCTTATGCGCATGCGCCAGTGAGCCATCTGGTTTTACCAGGGGAGGCAGTGTAGACCGACAGAAGTTTGTCTCGACCGCTTTGGCTCTACTGCCAGATGGTTTGACAGAGAGCTTTGTGCCGATGCGTTATTGCGGTCGAAACTGGCTTGGCGTAATGCCTTTTTCCAAGACTTGGCGGCTTGGTTAAAGTCTCTCTTCTTAAGGCTAACATCCGGAGCTTTACGGTCTCGAGCGTCGACCCAGGATAAGTACGCCATATGCTTGTGCTTTTCAGCACGAGCGCACAAGGCGTTAAACCAAGGGCGAGCTTTACCACCAATGGGCACGTCAGCAAAGGGGATCAAATACTCCATCGCTTGACGTATCACATTGGTTATGGCATCCGCGCAGCTCGATGGGTCTCCAGAGGAGAAGCAGACCTGCCACCAAGGATAAGATGCAAAGAAATGCCGCATCTCATCCCAATCTGCTGACTTGTATCGCCACATTCGTCGCACTCCGTGGAAATCGTAGTTAGGTGGGGAATATAACGACACAGATTTCACCAGACAGTGGTCAGAAGTTCCCAAGGGTGAGGTAACCTGAACATCGTACCTGTCTGGATCGGTCGTCAGCAGAAGGTCGAGGCAGTTGGCTGTGTGCCCATCCTTATCAGGTACCCTAGTCGCTTGTTGTAGCAGCTGGGAGAGCCCCAGCGACAAGGCAAAATTCCACGCCTCTCTCCCAGCGTGGTTGGTCTTCTGGTATGGGAACAGCCAGTCCTGATGACAGGCATTAAAGTCCCCCAGAAAAACCAACTGTGCATTAGGGTACCGATTTAGAGCCACATCAGAGGCTTCACTGAGGTGTTCAAACAGCCTAGTTGTCTCCTGGTCGCCGCCGTGCGATCGGTAGACCCAAGAATAAATAATTTTATCCATTCCTGTGTCTATCAATACCCAGATCGTAGAGAAAGTGGGGTCTTCAAGGTGACGGAGACGCTTACAGCAGATGTCGTTGCGGACGTAAACAGACTCCGGCGTGCTGATGGAAATTATGCTCGAATGTGTACCCAGGGTAGCCAAGGTACGCCGCATCTAGAGGACATCTGATCTGCGTCTCGGTCAAGAAGAGTAAGTGAGGCTTGTCAGTCTCAAGGTGGTAATGACTGCATTGCAATTACAGTGCAGGCCTCGGATGTTTGTGAGGTGCACTTTAATGGAGGGGAATTACAGTCAAAAAGGTTAATTATTAGTGACAATGACCTACTAGGTTGAAAATTGAAATGTTACAGATTAAAACATTATATAAATTAATAAGCATCTAAATATCCATATTTTTGACTTAAAAACTTCCTCGAGCATTTTATTTGTCTTAACCTAACTAAACTGAATTACTAAATAAGAAAAACGTACTGACCTAGACGAAGGTGTACTAAATCTAATGAGACCAAAGTTGTCTCATTTCGTAAAGGTTTAGGGGGGAGAAAACGTTATCGCCCGAAACAATATTTCTAAAAGGAAATGTAGGTAATTGCTTCCAAGACTTGCAAACATCGCACAACGATACGGAGCAAGCTATATAAAACAGATAGCATTTTTTGAAAATGCCTACTCGCGCTGTGCGTATCGGCACTTCACAGTTCTCTTAAAAAGTGCATAATACTATACTGTTTTAATTCATAAATGCATTATTTATATTTTATCGTTATTATTATTAGCCTTCCATTGCTGAAGTTGAGTCTAAGCTTATCATTTCATTGAGGTTTTTTTTATTATTTTCAGGAAAGAAGCTCTTGGCAGCATGGGTAACGACGCCCCGTTGGCGTGCCTGTCGCAATTCCAGCCGCTGCCTTACGAGTACTTCAAGCAGTTGTTCGCGCAGGTCACCAACCCGCCTATTGATCCTTTCAGGTTATTTTCAAACTTCACATATGTAATTAAATTTCAAAAAATATAATCTTTATATATATATAATTCTTCTATACGTGTGTTTGTCACTGAACTTCTAAAGGGCTGGACCGAATTTGATGAAATTTGTTGTGTGTTGAAGCGGGGCCCCTGGATCCAAAGATCGCTAGCATATATATAAAAAAATCATTGTAATGATAATGATAAAAACGATTGCATGACAACTCTGTTCTGACTATTGACAGTATTTGTTGGTATTGGCGACGCGCTTTAAAAATAGTTTGTCATTTTTCATTTCATAAAAAAATGTAAATAAATTCGTATTTAAAATTAGTGCTATTAAAGTATATAAGGCATTCCAAATGATAAGGTAATCTACGTTAAAAGTAAATATTATTCAATATAATTGTCAAACGAAAGTTCAGGGTTCGATTCCCCGGTCGAGAGTTAATTCCACAAAAGTTTGTTTATAGATTGATTTTGAGTCATGTGTTACAATAACAACACTAAATTAGATACTTATTTTAGAATAAGAATATACTTTATTCTTATCATAAGAGATAAGATACATAATAGCTAAATAAGAATAGCATATTGTGTAAACAAATAATGTTTTATAATGAACAGAGATGGTTGCAATTTAGACAAAGAAAGCACTTGCCTCCTACTGAGTCGATGAGGGTCGTGCAGAGATTGGTTGTTCATGTTGTATGGGATTTAAACAGTGTCTAAATAATGAAATATAAAAATTAAAAAATAAACATTATCAATATGTGAAAATTTGTGTAGAAATAGGTAATAAATGTTTCAGGATTATTATGTATAAGTGCTGTGCTGTGCTAATGTCAATATAAAATTAATAATAACCCGACTACAGCGCCGCCTATCGGAACCAGATTTTGTGATTATCTTTTTTGATATTAATTGAATATTTACTGTGAATATGAGTCATTTTTGGTGTATAAAATTAGTAAAATGTTTATAAAAACTTGACTACAGCGCCACCTAAGTATGCTACGAACCATTATCTCGACCAAAGAAATATATTTCTATATTTTTAAATTTCTTCTATATTTTTATCTCCCCGTGTATTGGCGGGTAAGAATACTCACTACCCCATATATTCCCGTGGGTGACGTAAAAGGCGACAGAGGGAAACTGAGGCAGAGGGTGGACAGCAGCATCTTTCTGATAACAGCAAAACAACAATAAAAAAAACTGCGGTTGCCAACCTGCTCGCCAAGCGTGGCAACTATGGCAATAGACCCCTCATGAAAGTATCTAAGAGACGGCCCCAGTCCCCGACGCCCCGCTATTCCTGGCTACGGTGGCGACCATGGTAACGGCGGGGCAGGGGGTGCTAAGAATCTCCGGTGGAGGTTTGGTTGCCACCTACGATGACTCGACCTGGCAACTTAAACGCACGCACCCTGAGGACTGACGAGAAGATCCTGGAGCTGGAAGAAGAGATAGACAAGTTACGCTGGAATATCATAAGATTATCCGAAGTCCGAAGAGAGGGGGAGGACACGGTTATCCTCGAATCCGGCAATTTGTTCTATCACCGGGAGGGCGACCATCTGTCCCAAGGAGGTGTCGGATTTATCGTCCACAAGTCTCTTGTTAACAACGTTGTAAAGATTGGGAGTGTGTAGACGAGGGTTGCGACCTTATACTCAGAATCACCAAACGGTATTCGCTGAAGGTCATACAGGTTTACGCACCAACCTCGGCACACCCCGATGAGGAGGTGGAGGAAATGTATGAGGATATCTCTAGAGACATGCATTCCTCCAAAACCGGTGTTAATGGGAGACTTCAACGCAAAACTAGGCACAAGAGAGAACGGTGAGCTGAAAGTAGGGAATTTCGGAATAGGGCAACGGAACCCAAAGGGGCCAGCAGCTGGCCGACTTCATGGAGAAAGAGGGACTCTTTATGATGAACTCTTTCTTCCAGAAGCGGCCCCACAGAAAGTGGACCCGGTCGAGCCCCGACGGTTCCACAAAAAATGAGATTGACTTCATTATGACGACTAGACGACAACTGTTCAGTGATGTCTCAGTGATCGCAGGGGTGAAAACCGGCAGCGATCACCGAATGGTGAGAGGCACACTGAACCTAAACGTTAAGTTGGAGAGGTCACGTCTAATGAAGTCAACGCTCCGTCCCCCTCGTGCTCTAATCCAAAGTCCCGAAACCTTTCAGCTCGAGATACAAAACCGTTTTCAGTGCCTAGAAGATTGCAATGCAGTGGACGATATGAATGACAAGCTCGTGGAAACTGTCCATGCGGTCGGAGCTAAGTTTTGCAAGACCCACCGCAGAAGAACACAAAAACTCTCCGATCACACTCTTAATCTCATGGCTATTAGACGGGATATGAAGCTGCAGTCTTCAGTAGATTTGACAGCATACAGACAACTGAACAGACAGATTTCCAAATGCAAGCAGCGGGACTTACGGAACTTTAATACTGCTCGTATTAAAGAAGCGATCGAGCGGAACCAGGGCTCCAAAGTCTTTGCTAGAGATCTGTCTGCCAGAAAGAGCCAACTGTCAAAGCTGAAGACCAAGTGTGGCAGCGTCGTTTCCGGGACCCCTGAGATTTTGAGTGAGACTGAGAGGTTCTATGGGCAGCTGTACACATCATCGTTGGAGACACACGTAAGTGTGAGTAACGATCCAAGAGCGAGTCTTATCCGACACTATTCCGATGATATCCCGGACGTCAGTCTGAGCGAGATTAGAATTGCTCTCCAGCACCTTAAAAACGGCAAGGCCCCAGGCGAGGATGGAATTACAGCGGAGCTTCTGAAAGCCGGTGGAAAACCGGTACTTGAAGTCCAGAAGCTCTTTAATTCCGTCCTCCATGGTGGCACTACACCGGAGGTGTGGAGCAGAAGTGCGGTGGTCTTATTCTTCAAGAAAGGTGACAACGCTCTCTTGAAGAACTACAGACCGATTTCCCTTCTGAGCCGCGTCTACGTGCTGTTCTCGAGAGTCATTACGAATCGTCTCGCGCGCAGACTTGACGACTTCCAGCCTCCAGAACAAGCCGGTTTCCGAAAAGGCTTTAGCACTATAGACCACATACATACCCTTCGGTAAATTGTACAGAAGTCCGAGGAGTACAATTTGCCACTATGTCTGGGGTATGTGGACTATGAGAAAGCCTTTGATTCCGTCGAAGTTTGGGCGGTGCTGCAGTCTCTTCAGCGGTGCCAAATTGACTGTCGGTATATCGAACTGCTGAAGTGCTTGTGCAGTAGGGCTACGATGGCTATCCGAGTACAGAACCAGAGTACGAAACCTATCCAATTGCAGAGAGGTGTAAGACAGGGTGACGTGATATCCCCGAAACTCTTCACCGCTGCATTGGAAGATGTTTTCAAGCTTCTGGACTGGAAAGGATTAACATCAATGGCGAGTACACCACTCACCTTCGATTTGCCGACGATATAGTCCTTATGGCAGAATCGCTGGAGGAACTAAGCACCATGCTCAATGACCTCAATAGTGTCTCCCAGCGGATAGGTCTTAAGATGAACATGGACAAAACAAAGATCATGTTTAATGTCCATGTCACACCTATGACGGTAGTTGTTGGGAGCACTAAGCTTGAAGTTGTTGACGAGTATGTTTACCTGGGACAAATAGTCCGACTAGGTAAGTCCAACTTCGACTGAGAGGTCAATCGACGGATTCAACTCGGTTGGGCAGCGTTCGGGAAATTACGGCACATCTTCTCGTCAGGTATACCTCAAAACTTGAAAACAAGACTGTACAACCAGTGCGTGTTGCCAGTGATGACCTATGGTACTGAGACGTGGTCCTTCACTGCTGGCCGGATGAGGAAGCTCAAGGTCGCTCAGCGAGCTATGGAGAGGGCTATGCTCGGAGTTTCTCTGCGTGATAAACTTAGAAATGAGGATATCCGCAGTAGAACCAGAGTGACCGACATAGCCCAGCGGATTAGTAAGCTGAGGTGGCAATGGGCCGGCCATACAGCTCGAAGAACCGACAACCGTTGGGGAAAAAAGGTTCTCGAGTGGCGGCCTCGTACCGGCGGACGAAGTGTAGGGCGTCCCCCACTAGATGGAGTGACGACCTGGTAAGATATGCAGGAAGTCGATGGATGCAGGTGGCTCAGGACCGTGCTTTGTGGCATTCCTTGGGGGAGGCCTATGTTCAGCAGTGGAATTGTGTCTGTGATGTGGCTGTGATGAATGATGATGATGATTTTTAAATTTCTTCGACGTGCAGGTTTTCTCATGAGCACTTCTGACCGTGTAGTACTCGTAAATCAACTAATTTTAAAACTACAATTAACAATTTATATGCTGCTCCCGGAGATCAAGCTTTTGGTTGCTCGATACTAGGCGTTGTGGGGTAAAAAATAACAATTTATCACAGTTGTCGCAATTTTGACGCCTTATAGGATGAATCATTTCTTCACTTAATTAGGTTTTATTAAGGAAAATAATATAAAGTAGGAAATCATTTTTACCAATGTTAAAATTTTAATCTTTGTTAAATTCTATATTATACGATTTCTGTTGCAGGGAGAAAATAGTGATGTCCCTGATGTGTCCCATCGGACCAGTGGCAAATATCCTCGAGCCCAGTGCAGAGTTCGTACACCGATTGTTTTTACCCCAGCCTATACTCTCTTTACCTGACTTGGAAGCGCTTAAGAAGACTACGCATCGTGGATGGAAGGTAATTGGTCTTTAGTGATTCATTTATTTGGCTCAATAGACTGGTTTCTCTATTTAATAATTAATTGTATTACAAAGTCAACAACATTAATATGCTCTATACTTTAATCTATACAAATAAATAAAATTCAAGCGTCTGTTTGTAATCTCAAAATAACAGCTTTTTACTAAATGCATAATATGAAAGTATATACAGTACTTATAACAAAAACACAATTTTTAAAATTTTTGTCTGTCTGTCGGCTAATCTCCGAGACGGCTGGACCGATTTGACGGGACTCACTGGCAGATAACTGATGTTCTAAGAAGTAACTTAGGCTAATTATATTTTAGAAAAAGAATTAGGGTTCTGCATAGTAAAATTAAAACCCTAAGTTACACGCGGGCGAAGTAACGGGGAACAGCTAGTACTTATTAACTTTAAGTCTTGAAAGCAAAAGTACATAGACAGTAAATAATCGGCTTTCTTACTTTAGATTTAACATCTAATATCACTTTCCTTGTGCTTGCACTGTGCATAGTTATTTCATAAAGCATTCTTTTGAAATAAGAACAAAGTCGTGTAATATGCATATATGGGGCAAAAGAAAACAATTTTGATCTGTACCATTTTTTAGAATTTAAAAGGCCGACCCAGTTGACCCTTGAAACCTTTTACCATAAAAAGTATCTTGTACGTCTGTTCGAAAACATATAAACATTTTAATATCAATCCGGTATTCGTACACTGATTACAGTAAAGCGTTCGACCGTTTAGATCACGTTATACTTCTCTGCAAACTACATGAAGTAGGTATCAGCGGCGAACTGTTTAGGTGGTTTAAGTCTTATATTGAGAATCGTAGTCAGACAGTAGTACTTAATGGTTATACGTCAGCAACTGTATAAATTCCTTCAGGTATACCGCAGGGATCGCTATTACGTCCATTGCTTTTTGCGATTTTTATAAATGATATAGGTTCCTGCTTCACTTACTAATAATCCTTTATGCTGATGACATGAAAATTTTATGTCCCATCACAAATACTTCTGACTGCCTTGGTCTGCAGCGTGATCTCAATTAACTTGAACGATATTGTTCACGCAATAAACTTGAATGTGTCCAAGTGTTTTATCCTTACCTTTACCCGTAAACCCAATCCCACTGTCTTTCACTACAAATTACAAGAAACTAGTATAGAGAGATTACAATCAGTAAAGGAACTAGGTGTATTTTTCGATTCTAAATTGCTCGACATATCGACAATATCGACTTTAAAAAAGCCAATAGAGCACTTGGATTCGTTTTGAGATTTTCCACCGATTTTCATAATATTAAAACATATAAGATATTTTATTGCGCTCTTGTTCGCAGCCTTTTAGAGTACACCTCTCAAGTGTGCCAACCCAAACTAAAAATTATAACAACCAAAGGATTTTAATAAAAGTTTAAGTGACAAACGAGCATACAATCCACATAATGAGAAGCAGATGTTGTGATTGATGGACATATACATCTGTCCTGGTTCCTGGATTAATGATTAAGTAGGTATAAGTAGTAGGTTCGGTGCTACCCCCGAGAAGAGAGAAGAAAGATATAATGCCCCGTTTACGGTGAAATGGGTCACCGGTCCTCGTTTTTCACTATTCGAAACGCAGTGTTTTTCCGTTTACAAAGAGGTGTTGAATGACTCGCTTGTCTGCAGACGCAAGTGATCGACTGCACGTACCCGTGCTCGGAGGGGCCGCAAGGGCTGGAGCCAGCGCTAAACAACATCTGTGCAGCGGCGCACGCAGCTGCAGTCAGCGGCTACCAGCTGCTGCTGCTCAGCGACCGCGCCGCCGGCCGCAGCCGCGTGCCCGTCAGCTCGCTGCTCGCGCTCGGTACGTACGCACCAGCTGGCCGCAGTCTAACTGCTGCCTGCTGCTGCTGTTGCTGCTCAGCGACCGCGCCGCCGGCCGCAGCCGCGTGCCCGTCAGCTCGCTGCTCGCGCTCGGTACGTACGCACCAGCTGGCCGCAGTCTAACTGCTGCCAGCTGCTGCTGCTGCTGCTCAGCGACCGCGCCGCCGGCCGCAGCCGCGTGCCCTTCATCTCGCTGCTCGCGCTCGGTACGTACGCACCAGCTGGCTGCAGTCCAACTGCTGCCTGCTGCTGCTGCTGCTGCTGCTCAGCGACCGCGCCGCCGGCCGCAGCCGCGTGCCCGTCAGCTCGCTGCTCGCGCTCGGTACGTACGCACCAGCTGGCCGCAGTCTAACTGCTGCCTGCTGCTGCTGTTGCTGCTCAGCGACCGCGCCGCCGGCCGCAGCCGCGTGCCCGTCAGCTCGCTGCTCGCGCTCGGTACGTACGCACCAGCTGGCCGCAGTCTAACTGCTGCCAGCTGCTGCTGCTGCTGCTCAGCGACCGCGCCGCCGGCCGCAGCCGCGTGCCCTTCATCTCGCTGCTCGCGCTCGGTACGTACGCACCAGCTGGCTGCAGTCCAACTGCTGCCTGCTGCTGCTGCTGCTGCTGCTCAGCGATCGCGCCGCCGGCCGCAACCGCGTGCCCTTCATCTCGCTGCTCGCGCTCGGTACGTACGCACCAGCTGGCCGCAGTCTAACTGCTGTCAGTTGCTGTATATGCTAGTTGTGCTCGGTATGGGGTTGCCAACTTACGTTTTATGATTTAGAGATTTTACCGTTACCGTTGCAGCCTATTAGAGACCATTGTTAAACATAGGAATGCCCCATAGATTGCCTTATAGGGAGGCTATTTGCCATAGTAGCTACGCTTGCCAAGCCGATTGGAAACAGCGCAGTTTTTTTATTTTATTTTAAGTCGATATTAGAAAGACCATTTTGCCCGTCTCCTAATTTATTTCCCTCTTCACTTCTTACAACTCCCACGGGATGTTATAGAGTAGTGGATATTCTTACACCGCCACTACACACGATAGAGAATTTGATATAATTAAGGATTTGATATATTTACACGAACAATACACATTGAATAAAACTATTTTTACGGATGTTATCGCGTTTCATTTACTTTTTTTTAATCCCCCCAGTAACCATGAAACATCGGAAATTAAAAATAAATTAATTAAACGCCATAAAATCCGAAAAAATTGTTTTATTCATTTTAAGATTAAATAATGGACATAAGCTAAAAATAGAGGATATCATATTGTTTTCAATAAAATACGGTTAAGGTATCAGTAACAATAATTTAAATAAAATAAGGGATGTAAATACATAATGTAACATTATTTGTTCTCAAACATCGCGCGTTACCTCAACGTGATTTTAAACTCATTGACTTTAACTAGCAGGGGATATGTCTAATATGCACGGTATTGCCTTGTCCTCTGTTGAAGATTTCAAATTACAAAACTTAAATTAAGTTCCAGACGGCTGACACCGCCATCACTGCCATTACGCCGCTCACTCACGCGATACCATAACACTGCCCCTAAACGACGCGACGCCCTCGCAACTCCATCACACCGGCATCACGTCACTATCCCATCGCCGTCCCACGAAGTCACCACACCACACTGTCATACACCGCCCTCAAATGACACCAATATTATCACAAAAATTACACCGCCATCATTTCATCGCTATTACACAAAGTCACCATACCGCTCTCACACGACGCTATTACACCGCCTTTCTATGATGGCGTTATATCGTCATTGCAGCCATTTACGGCTTAATAGAATTTAAATGCCACGTTTCGGAACCACTTACGTCCGTCCATTGCCTTCCTTTTTGGCTTGCCAGATCGTCGCCCTAACTGGAGCGGGTGCGGGTGGGGATTTGCATAAAATGGAAATGCGACCAATTTTGAATAACAACTAAAAGGAGCAAAATCAAATTAAATGGCGTAGTAATTTATTAATGAGGGTCTGCTTCCAATTGGAAATTATAATAAAATTCATATATATAAAATAAACACAGTAATAATTCTTGCACTAATTAAGTCAAATTTCAAACTTCAATAACGCAGGTGCTGTACACCATCACCTGATCGAAACACGTCAACGCATGAAAGTGGGAATTATCGTCGAAACTGCCGAAGCAAGAGAAGTCCACCACATGTGTGTTCTGCTTAGTATGTATGCCTTACCTACATATATTTTTTGTTAAACTAAAACCTAATTGTGCAACGTAATACGATTGTAAACTTTTTTTTTAATAATTCTCGCTGGGTTTCTTGCTCTATTCTTCCCAGCACATATATTTTGAAATGAAATTTCTTTATCGACGTAGTGGAGAAATTAAGTACGGTATCAAAAAAGTCTCGTTTTTTGTAATTTACTTGTACGTATAGTATTATACAACCTTCTTATGTAAAATAAAAAAGAATGATATGTCGTAAAGAAATTTTGCTTCGTATATGTGTGCACAATTAGACGAATAATTATAATTCTTTCAACCAGTGGTAAATTAAGATATAGAATATATGAATTTCAATAAAAATTATTTCTAATCTATATTCAATAAAAAAAGGCTATTTCTAAAAATTAATTATCTGTAATAATGAAGTGTTCTTATACTCATGAAAGATTCTTGCTTTGATTTGATTACTTTTTTTGCAAAATTTGACTAATAGAGTAACATGATACTCGCTATTTCATAACATGGAGAAACCAATTGGCTCGTAATTATGAGGCAAAAATTAAATTTTTAATTGAAAGTAAAACCGGACATCAAACACTAAAAATAATTTCTACATAATACCTTCTGAAGTCGATGCTAAAACATAGGTATTGAAGAATTTGGGCTGCATACTGCAAACGCTATTATGTGGAAATTATTTTTTTCTTTTAAGTTTTGAGGTAGGTTTTTAATTTTTATGTAAAGATATTTTTTATTATATTGAGTTGACTAAGGAATATCACAATCACAAGATACCAACTTACGAGTAAATGTCGCCTAAAAATAGCACTGCGTACATCGCAAGCGTTGCAAAAATCAATTCAAAACCATGCTCAACTTATTGTAAGAATTCACGTACGCATGTGCGCTGTGCAGACTTAACATGTAACGCATAAACACTGCGTACACCGTACACTTAACGTTTACGCAGCGCTCAATATTTCTTTGTTGGTCTGAGGTCGTATAATATAGAACCTGATTTTTTTAACTATACTAATGTTAAACCCTCGTTGCCCGCGTGAGTTTTAACATTAGTATAGTTTAATAATATTCACCAGACCCGAGAGATATTTTCAAAATTAATTTTGTCGATTGTAAGAGTCCATTGTCGTCCATAACATATTTTATATTATTATGTTCATCTATCAAAATTTATTCTTTAGGTTACGGCGCGGATGCAATTTGCCCGTACGTAGCTTTTGAGCTGGCGTTCGCTTTGCGTAATGATAACATTATCGACCCCACCCTTACCGACGAGGATATATACAGCGCCTACCAAAAGTCTATCGAGACCGGTATATCAAAGGTAACGCATATTTATTTTTATGTCTTTGTTTTTGTCATTATAGTACGGCCGCTGAGTTATTACCGATTTGACAGATTATTCTTAAATTAATCGATATAACCTTGCACGAGCGACACATTTGCCGAATGATTTAGAATACCTATTTAATATAAAACTTTATGTCAAAATGTCAGAATCAAGTAATTTTCCAATAAACTCTGTTTCAAAACTTAAAATAGTTTGTAAATAATATGAGAACATTTATTTTTTGTTCTTTGGCGCGCTTGTACAAAGTTACATCGTGCGTCTAGTTTTCATAGTGATGTGCTTGATAGTATTCGGTCCGAATTCATTGGAATAAATATGATATTTATTTTATTTGGATATTTTTATTTTACTTATTCCTTCGAGCAACTAGACTATAATGCTACCATTTTTTTGCGTCTCCTAATTGCACTGTGTTGCCAGTATCTCTATGATTTTTAAGATTTATGTGTGATCCAAAGACAGAAATACTGTTTTCTATTATTTAAAAATAAATACAATTAAAATGATTATGTATAATTTTTAACATTCATAATATATAAAACAACATCTAATAAATATAATTTTCTCCCTCAATTAAGCAATGTTATAGGTGTATTTTTTTAAGTAATTGGCGATACTATTCTGGCAACACCCTTACCACCGCTATTTTAATCTGTTTAATCGTCTTCCGTACTCTCGTGCGCACAGACTACGTTCTATTGTGTAACCGTTGTTTTTTGACTCGGCTTTCTCCTGTTTATCGTTGCGCTTTATTGGACTAATTTTGTTTGTGTTTGGTAATTTTGTTGAAAATGCCGAAACGAGGAAAAACATTGAATAGTCAATGTCGTGAGCTTGTACTAAAGCTACAGGATTACTTTGAGCGTGAGTCACAAAATGGCGGCCCTTTGATTCCTGTCACTCAAGTGAAAGATCGGGTTTCACAAGCTCTTGGAATTGGTGCAAAAACACTATATAATATAAATAAAGAAAAATTTGGTGCTTCTGGAAGTGAAGATAATGTTTTACGCACTCCTAAGAAAAAACGAAGACAAAAGCCCGTGACAGGTGTTTGATGTTTTTGATACAGATGCAATAAGAAACCACATATATGGTTATTATACTAGGAACGAGTTTCCAACTAGACGTTTGCTTTTGGTGTCTTTAAAAGAAGCTGGCTTGTTTAAAGGCGGTAAAACGGCGTTGTCAAAACTATTGCACGAAATTGGGTTTGAATATAAAAAAACGAATAAAAGGAAAATATTAATGGAAAGATTTGATTTAATAATTAAAAGGAGCGAGTTTTTAAGAGAAGCCAGAAAAATCGAGTCTTGGGACAACGTCGTTTTTGTTGACGAAACATGGTTAAATGCGAACCACACTGTGTCACGCTCTTGGACTGACGAAACAAAAGCATCAACCTCAAAGGTTCCAATTGGAAAAGGATCGCGACTAATAATTTGTCACGCCGGTTCTGCTGGATGTGGTTTCTTTGAAAATGGACTGCTGGCTTTCGCGTCAAAAAGTACTTCCGATTACCACTAGGAGATGGATACAGACACTTTTACGAATTGGTTCGAAAATCAATTATTACCCAGCCTGCCAGAGCCTTCTACCATAATAATGAACAACGCTTCATATCACTCGAAACAAGTGAATAAAGCGCCTACTCAGGCCGACAAGAAAGCTGATCTCGTAGCATGGCTACACCAAAATGGAATTGAAACTACTGCCGAAATGCTAAAGTCTGACTTAGTAAAGTTGGTACGCGAAAATAAAACATCAGAGTCCGTTATGAAGTAGTTGAGATAGCTCTAGCACATGGACATCGGGTACTTCGAATTCCGCCTTATCACTGCCAGTACAATGCCATTGAGCTAATATGGGCACAAATCAAAGGTATTGTTTTTTATCGCATAAGTTATGAATATGAATAATTTGTACTATTATAACATCCAATATTCAGCATATAAGTAAAAAGATACATAACTAAGAAATAAATATCTCATGTCCCTTACATGTAGGTAATTGTGTAACATTTCGTTTATTTAATGTAATAAATTAACGTTATTTAATGTTTACATTACAGGTTACGCAGCTCGTAATAATACGACTCCGCCATTCAGTACTAATAAAATGATGGGTCTATTAAAAGATGCTTGCAGCAAAATAACGAAAGAAGATTGGGTCAAGGTCGTCGAAAAGACTCGAAAACTAATAACAGAAGATTATGAACGCGATATAAGAGTGGACACCATTATAGAGAATGAAATTGTCATACAAGTGACTGATAGCGATGACAGCTCTGGCGAATATGGTTCAGAGTCTGAATAATTGTTTTAATAAATGATAGGTAGTCATTTATTAAAACATCTTGTACCTACTCTATTCATTAAAATGTGTAACAGTGTTTACAAATTTGTTTTATTTTGATATGTCCTCGACCAATTATCTACGCCCATCAAGGATACTCCACCTAATAAAGAACCTGTGTCTTTAACTATTATTGTTTTGATTTTATTTAATTACACACTATACTAGAATATTTAAAAACAAACTGTTCCCAAATGATATTAGGGTTACTGGTTCAGTCACTTCACTAGTATTGTCAATTCGTCATGTGTCAAATCGGTAATAACTCAGCGGCCGGACTATAACGTTGAAAATTGGGTGTAAAGTCCGCATGATAATAAGTGATTGCAATAGACTTAGTTACTAGGAGTCGTGGTAGCTCAGGAACTAAGTCTTCACGATAAATTTAATTATACGTGAGCAACACAAAAATAATGAAAAATAAAAAAAACCTGAGTGTGATTTTTATATTTTTGAAGTGGTGTCGAAATGTGGAACTCCTCCTCACTGAAATTTCAAAAAATGCATTTTCAGAAAAATAAAGTATTTCGAGGACTTGACATAAATTGCTGACATGCAGTGGAACAGCGCGACATTTAAAGTGCTCCATAACAGTCTTAGTAATGAAAGGTGACCATCGATGGGACAATCATTATCATGATTACAGCCTTTCACAAGTCCACTGCTGAACATAGGCCTCCCCCAAGTAATGTCCCAAAGCACAGTTCTGAACTATCTGCATCCGTCAACTTCATCTTACCAGTCCCTCTTTATAGAACCTTTTCCTTCGACATTTACTGTGTTCTGAGATGATAGCTATAACACACTTAAATGTTTTCGATTTAGAAACTTGTAAATAAATCATCGGTTTTCACTGCTTAACTTACTTTTTATCAATTTTTATGTTAATATTATTTTCTCACATATAATATGTGAGTTGTGAGAGTGTATTTTTTTTTTCAATTGGATTAATTAGATAGATTTAAATGTTTAATATGATTTATAATGTACCACTTTTGTTTTAACCAACTCCATATATTATAATAGTAGTGTTTGACACCTAATAGATTTTTTGTAAGGTCGCCTTGAACCATACTCTGAGAATTTTGAAGTTATTTTAATCTGTCATTGTAGGTAATGGCCAAAATGGGTATCAGCATGCTGCAGTCATACAAAAGTGCTCAGATATTCGAAGCCGTAGGTCTCAACGAGGAAGTTATTGAGAAATGCTTCAAAGGAACTCAATCGAGAATCGGTTTGTATTTGTATTCCTCTCTAAAATTCAATACAGTATGTACTTCAAACATATTTAGATTTTCTTTTGATGCCACTAAGCTAATGCTTTACGAATATAAAACTCAAGCGCTGTATAAAGTAAGCTTCGTGACGTCTTCTCTATAATGCCATTTTTACTTTTATTTACTACTGGCTGTTCCCCGCTACTTCGCCCGCGTGTAATTTATTACGGTTGGATTTTATATGTTTTTATTTATTTGGGCGGAACCCTAATTCTTTTTCAAAAACAAAAATAGCCCAAGTTACTCCTTATAACATCGGCTATCTGCCAGTGAAAGCCCCGTCAAAATCGGTCGAGCCATTTCAAAGATTAGGAACAAACTAACAGCCAAAAATTTTAAAAATTGTGTTTTTGTTATAAGTACCGTATATACTTTTATATGCATAAGAAACACTTCAATTTTATTTATTTGTATAGATGGTGCCGTAAGGCGCACTTTACGTTTTATACTATAATATTTACTTGACCTTGAGACTCGTGCCAAGTAAATATAGGAGGAGATAGGATAGTCATTTTAAATCCGCTAAACGTTAAGCAATCAATGTACCTGATGTATAATATTTAAATACATTAAATTTCTATAAGCCAAATTATTTTATATTGTTATAATAAACTCGGAATGTAGAAGTTAACATATTTGTTTAATTTCAGGTGGCGTCACATTTGAGATTCTATCAAAGGAGACATTCGACAGACATGCACTTACCTATGAAGCCTTCACAGATACTCTTGTTTTGAGGTGTGAATGTAATATATTGATTATGTTGTTATCCGATCTGCGGTTATTAAACAATCATTGACTATGGCAAATGTTAATGAGGATTATTAAGGGTAAAATTTTCATGTGGAGTGTAATCATCATCATCATCATCACAGCCTCCCAAGTTCACTGCTGAACATAGACCTCTCCCAAGGAATGCCACAAAGCACGGTCATGTGCCACCTGCATCCATCGACTTCCTGCATGTCTTACCAGGTCGTCACTCCATCTAGTGTGGGAGTCGCCCTACACTTCGCCTACCGGTACGAGGTTGCCACTCGAGAACCTTTTTTCTCCATCGGTTGTTGGTTATTCGAGATATATGGCCGGCCCATTGTCATCTTAGCTTATTATTGCGCTGGGTTATGTCGTTCACTCTGGTTCTACTGCGGATAGAATCATTTCTAAGTTAATCACGCAGAGAAACCTTGAGCATTGCTCGCTGAGCGATCTTGAGCTTCCTCATACTGCCAGCAGTGTAGGACCACGCCTCAGATCTATAAGTCGTCACTGGCATTAGTTTTCACCCTCGCGATCACAGAGACATCACTGAACAGGTGCCATCAGTTGTTATAACGACGTCAATCTTATTTTTGTCAAACCGTCGGGGTTCGACCAGGTTCACTTCCTGTGGGGCCGCTTCTGAAAAAAAGACTTTCATAAAGAGTCCCTCTTTCTCAATGAAGTTTGATAGCTGCTGGCCCCTTGGGTTCCATTGCCCTATCCCGAATTTCTTTACTTTCAGCTCATCGTTCTCTCTTGTGCCTAGTTTTGTCTAACACCGTATAGTGAGTTTTGGAGGAATGCATGGCTTTAGAGATATCCTCATACATTTCCTGCACCTCGGAATGTGCCGAGTATGGTGCGTAAACGTGTATGACGAAAATTTTATATTCATTAAGCCAAAGTGAAACTTAGAGCGCCGCCTGGTGAAAGTTCAGAAGTAGGTGTGGTGTGGCAGCGAGTGCACGTGTGGCGTTGCTTGCAGGAACCCGGGGCACTACCACTGGCGCGCGGGCGGCGAGAAGCACATCAACGAGCCCACCTCCATCGCCAACCTGCAGGAGGCCGCCGTCGCCAACAGCAAGTCCGCATACGACCGCTACAGGTATCCACATCTCTTTTACATATTTTTCTTCATTTTCGCTCCACTCCATAAAAATCTATCCATTTGTATATAGTAATTGTAGTAACCTACAGTCTTACTAGTGCCTAGTAATAATCGTTAGTAACACGTTGGTCGTTTGTATTGACTGATTTAAAAATTAAAAAAAATGTTATCAACAAATCGTTTGCTTTAAAACGAAAAAAAGTCTAAAGCTTAAATGACAATTCAAATGAAATATAAAATACCAAAATTGTCTAACAGTATTAAGTGATAAAGACAACAATGATACAAAATATTTAATACTATAGAAAGTCGGTATAATTAGATAGCCTGTAAGGTATTCCATGTTAGTTCTCAGAAGTGGCAACACATTTGTAACTTTTTTGTTTCTAGTTAGCTGCAGGTTTACATGGACTGCAGTACCCACTTACCATCACGTGTTCTATAAGTTCCTGTCTCTTTAGTTTAAAAAAAGTTATAGAAATATGTAGTAACAAATACAATACCATGAAGGAATTACGTAAGGGAGTATGCCATCTTGTCTTGCTTTATGTACAAAAACAAATACACAAATTATCTTCTAATCTCTCTCTCTCTCTCTCTCTCTCTCTCTCTCTCATTTTGTAATGTGTAACTATCAAATTTAATTTAATATTTTTTTTAAATCGTTTTAATCGTATATAATATTTTTCACTGTAGAGAGAGCGCGCTAGAGTCAATTCGGGCTTGCACACTGCGTGGGCAACTCGAGCTTGTTAAGTTGGACGAGCCAATCCCCATTGATGAAGTGGAGCCTGCCTCTGAGATTGTGAAAAGATTTGCCACAGGTATATAAACATCTGACTTTAATATATAGTTTTAGACCAAAAATATTGTCATAATATTTTTTAACTTCTCATATGGTTGTATTTTCTGAGAAATAATACACGGGTTACCGTTTATTTGCGAATAGAGGATTGAGGGCTGTCCGACTTCTACTTGTATTGTTACTCTCGTTTAAACAGATATTTTTATCAGTGCATACAGTATATTTTACAATACATTTTCCAAACTAAATCAACCTGTCTGATGACTATTTCAACTTTTTGTTTTTAATATTGCAACTTACGATGCGAAAAGTGTACCTTATTGGTCACGTAATGAAATGCCCTTTATTATTTAAACCCATTTCTATTCATGGAAATTTCAACTGAACATAGGCCCTCCCTACAGAAACTACTGAACAAAACAAAACTACAGAACAAAGGCCCTAAGCCACCTGTTGCATCGACTACCTACGTGCTTATTCAGGTCATCACTCCATCTTAGTGGGGATTCGAATAACACTACGCTTGTCAGTGTGGGCAGGATATAGCCTTTCAAAGATGCGCTAATTGATATGCGTAATTTAAAAGATTTGCTTACACTGAGTACCATAGGCAAGCTCACACTGGTACTGTGCTACCGATCACCAGTCTGGAATTTAGGGCTATTTTCGTATGAAGTACCGCTATTCATCAGACTAGACTAACAGGCATTTGGAGAAAAACTAATTAAAGTCCGCGCGTTCTATTTTGGCCGGGCTGATGTTGGCTTTGTAAGACATTCGCGCAAGTACGGTCCGCGCTTTCTATCTAGGCCAGGTTGAAATTTTCTTTCCGAAACATTCGCGCATGTACAGATGCTAGTCGATAGAGATGTGCCACTTCAGATTCGCTCCTAAGATTGCTTAGGGAAACTGTTTTGTCTATATCGATTATAGAATAAATTGGAAATTATTATTATAATGAAAATATTTTTATGTATTTCAATAAAGCAATAGTATCTAATAAAAAATTACGTTAAACAGTTTGAATATATTGTAAATACACAATATAAGCGGGGACAACAAATTATTTCAGTAACCTCAAAATAATATAACATTAAATTATTCAATAAAATCTTCAATGCACATTATAATCACTGTATTTAAAACATTTTGCATATACACACCAATGAACCATAAAAAAATATAAAATAAAATCGAATCATCATCGATACTAACGATAATAGATTATTTACTTATTTATTTATTTATTTATTTATTTATTTAGAAAACCAACAGCGTATATAGAAAATATTAACATTAATGTAACAAACTTAAAGTATGGCCAATAACAGGTTTCCCTTATATTGTTTGATGGTAGGTGTATTGTTGTTAGAAGAAAAGAAAAAAGAACAATCTAATAGATAAATTATAAGCAAAATTATAAGCAATTCAATGTAATGAAGGTGGTCATAAGTTTACAGATCAGGAGAGATAGTCAGGTAGAATGATATATTACGTTACCTTTATATATATATATATATATATATATATAAACATATAAGATATATATATACATACATATATATTATTTACTTATGTATATATACATATTAAATGTTTAAATATATAAACATAATACAAATAATTAATTATAATATATATTAAATAAAATAACTTAAGTACTTATATTTATATTAGTAGCCTCAAAAATACATATAGAAGAAATAGATGAGAGAATATATGATTGTATGTGATTTTAACTTCAACTGCTCTATTTCGTAATAGTTTTCTTGATGTAATCTTTAAACGTAAGTTTAGATTTCGCAAAGAGGTCAATGTGTCCAAATTGTTCATTATATGTACGAGCAAGCCGCGAAAGAACAGTGTTTCGACAGTAGTTTGAATGATGCCAGGGAGTCTGTAACAATGTAGTATTGCGGGTACGGAATTTTGGAGTACGAAAGGTGATTCTTGAGACAAGATATGGACAGTCAATATTACTGTTTATTATATCATATAACAAAGCCATGTCAAGCAAAATGCGCCTGTGTTCCAGAGATAAGAGATTGTGCTCAGTGCAACTGTCTGTGTAAGTATCGATTTTATTCCGACAGCGAAAGTTAAGGTGATTAACAAATATTTTTTGAATACGCTCAAGGCGGCTTTTGTAGACATTGTACTGTGGAGACCATATTGAACTAGCATATTCCAAAACACTTCTGACATATGCAAAATAAACCATTTTAATTGTATTAATATTCGAGAATGGTTTACAGATGCGAAGAACAAAACCAAGATTTTTATAGGCTTTACTGATAACGTAATCAATGTGTTCGGATATTATCATTTTATGATCAAAAATTACGCCTAAATCCCTAACACTTACTTTTCGGCTGATTTCTAATCCGTCAAAGTGATATTTATTTAGAATTGGCTTAGATTTCCGTGTAAAACTAATACATTCGCACTTGCTTGCATTGACAGTTATATTATTTATTTTGTAATATTCAAATAAACGGTCCAGGTCTTTTTGTATCAATAGGCAGTCATGTATGGTGTTAATTTTACAAAAAATCTTCTTATCATCTGCATACATGAGGTAATTTGTGTGTATAATGCACGAACCAATGTCATATAGGTAGGCATTGTAAAAAAGTGGACCTAAGTGAGAGCCCTGAGGAACACCTGTAGGTATGTTTATGTAGTTCGAACGGAAACCACCTATCACGACTGCTTGTGAGCGGTTTGTGAGATATGATTCAGTCCATCGGAGCAAGTCACCGTGAATCCCTAATATTTGTAATTTGTTGAGCAGGATCATGTGATCCACACGATCGAAAGCTTTTTCAAAATCAGTGTAGATCACATCAACCTGCCCACCTTGATCCATATTTTCAAGGACAAAAGAAGAAAAACTTGCCAAGTTCGTAGTGGTGGATCGCCTTTGTAAAAAACCATGTTCCTGCTCAGGGAAGGCACGTGAAAGCGTGGAGTAAATTACGTTATATACTACTCGTTCAAGGATTTTAGCCGCGGTGTTCAAAATAGAAATGCCTCTATAATTATTTATTTCTGTACGTGATCCCTTCTTGTGTACAGGGATTATGTGTGCACACTTCCATTGATGCGGAAATATCCCTTCACGTAGAGAGCGATTAAATATAATAGTCAAGGGGAGAGCAAGTGATTTAGCGCATCGTGACCAAAAAAAAGAAGGTAACCCATCACTACCGGCACCTTTGTTCGTGTCCAAAGTTTTCAACATTTTTTCAATTATTGCAGCGTTTGTCTGTACATTAGAAACGGTGTCAGTACACAACGATTCCGTATGTGGATATATGTAGTTATTACTAGGAATACCAAATACACTCTTGAAGAATGAGTTGAAAGCATTGCATATGTCCATACCATCGGTGTACTCTATATCTTTCAAATATATATTTACGTAATTGTAACCGCGCAATATGCGTATTTGCATCTTTAGTTTTAGTTACCCTCCCTCCCACTGTTCTGGTCACCATTTTGTTCCTAAATACTATATCTGCGCAGCCACTCGCGACTAACTTCAGCCCGACCAAGATAGAGCGCGCGGACCTTACACCTCTATAAATAATGATTAATATTGAATATTCCCCTCAAAATATTGAAAGGGATTAATTCTTTTTTGTAACTATCAGGTGCCATGTCGTTCGGATCGATCTCCTTGGAAGCTCACACAACGCTGGCTATTGCTATGAACCGAGTGGGCGGCAAGTCTAACACCGGCGAGGGCGGCGAGAATGCAGACAGATATCTCAATCAGGTAAAATTCATTATTATTTTATGTTTTACTAGATTTGTTGATATTTTAACGTATTAGAAAAAGTTGGTTCGATTGGGGAAGAAATACGCTCTCACAGAGTAACAGAGGGAAAAATAATAAACCTGCTGAGTTTCGTATGGTGATTGTAGAGAACTGGAAACCCTTTTACTGGTATCGAGACATTCTACCTTATACCTTTAAGCTGACATCCCGGTAAGCTAGATGAACTAGAGAATTTAAATTTTGAACATAGCTCAGAATCGCATGACAATTTAAGAATATGAAGAAACGCAATATATTAAAAAAATTGTGTTTTCTTAATATAAAATAAAATTAAATGTAGGTGAAGCCCTTAACAAGTGCACTGCTGAACATAAGCCTCCCCCAAGGAATGCCACAAAGCACGGTCCTGCGCCACCTGCATCCATTGGCTTCCTGCATGACTTACCAGGTCGTCACTTCATCTAGTGTGAGCGTCGCCCTACACTTCGTCTACCGGTACGAGACTGCCACTCGAGAACCTTTTTTCCCACATCGGTTGTTGGTTCTTCGTGCTATATGGCCGGCCCATTGCTACTTCAGCTTACTAATCCTTTAGGTTATGCCGATCACTCTGGTTCTACTGCGGATATCCTCATTTCTAAGTTCATCTAGCAGAGAAACCCCGAGCATAGCTCCATAGCTCGCTGAGCGACCTTGAGCGTCCTCATACGGCCAGCAGTGAAGGACCACGTCTTAGATCCACAAGTCATCACTGGGGCAATACGCACTGGTTGTCAATCTCAATCTCGTTTTCAGGTTTTGAGGTATGCCTGACGAGAAGATGTGTCGTAATTTCCCAAACGCTGCTCAGCCGAGTTGAATCCATCGATTTACCTCTCGGTGGACGTAGACTTACCTAGTCGGATTATTTGTCCCTGATAAACATACTCGTCAACAACTTCGAGCTTAGTGCTCCCAAAACTACCGGCATAAGTTTAGTGTGACAAGGACATTACACATAATCTTTGTTTTGTCCATGATCATCTTGAGATCTGTCTGTTCGGAGACACTATTGAGGTCATTGAGCATATAGTACTTAGGTCCTCCAGCGATTCTGCCATAAGCTATATCGTCAGCAAATCGAAGTTGCCAGTCCAGTAGCTCGAAAACGTCTTCCAATGCAGCGTTGAAGAGTTTCGGGGATATAACGTCACCCTGTCTTACACCTATCTGCAGTTGGATAGGTTTCGTATTCTGGTTCTGTACTCGGATAGCTATCATAGCCCTACTGTACAAACACTTCAGCACTTCGATATGCCGACAGTCAACTTGTACCACCGCCCAAAATTCAACGGAATCAAAGGCTTTCTCATAGTCCACATACGCAAGTCAAAGTAGCAGATTGTACTCTTCGGAAACCAGCTTGTTCGGGAGGCTGGAAGTCGTCGAGTCTCCGTGCGAGACGATTCGTAATGACTCTCAAAAACAGCATGTAGACGCGGCTCAGAAGGGAAATCGGTCTGTAGTTTTTCAAAAGTTGTCGCATTCCTTGAAGAACAGAACCACCGCACTTATGCTCCACGCCTCCAGAGTAGTCCCACCATGGAGGACAGAATTAAAGAGCTTCAGAAGGACTTAAAGTATCGGTTTTCCACCCGTTTTTAGAAGCTCCGCTGTAATTCCATCCTCGGCAGGGGTCTTGCCGTTTTTAAGGTGCTGGAGAGCCATTCTAATCCTGGGATGTTCCACGGTGTAAGGAATTCTGTTCCGTAGCTAGGAATAGCAGAGCCACTGAGGACTGGGGGCCGTCTCTTCGTACTACTTCGTAACTTATGGGGGGGGGGGGGGGGGGGGATTTCACTGAAATATATTTGTTGCTTGGAAATTCGTTTCGGTTTTTTTATTATACATTTTTTTTAAAAGGTGTTTATGCAGCATCCATATAAGTATATTCTTACCTATTTTGCCACCAAACAGCAGTGCATGCACTGTTGTGTTTCGGTTTGAAGGGTATAAAGAGCCAGTATAATTATAGGCTGCGAGGCAATTCTTTTTAGTCCTCGGAGATGTCGAGTATTTGAAGTTAATTATAAGTGTCTATTTGCTGCAATATCGACTTTAGTTGTATAGTGAGTTCGTTTGTTACTTCAATTTTCAAAAATCCTTATCGTACCGTGACTGTGTAAGAATATCCGCTACCCCATATCATCCTGTGGGTGTTGTAAGAGGTGACATAGCGAAATGAAACAGGATAAATACAGCAACATCTTCCCGATAACAACCTTAAATTAAAAATAAACTGTGGTTACCAGGACGTAGTTAGTCGACTCCACTACCATCTCGAGACGGCGAAGCCGGCCTTGCTCTTTCTGACCGAGATGCAGGTTTCCTCTCAGGCTGATATTTCGTATCTCTCCTACCCGGGGTACAAATTGGAGCATTCCTTTGTGCCTCGGGCTGGAGTTTGCGTGTATGTCAGAGAGGACATCTGTTCTCGACGCCTTGGCAGTCTTGAAGGTTCGGACCTGTCCATCCTTTGGCTACGCGTAGACAGCGACGACCATCCGCGCGTCTACGGGTGCCTCTATAGGTCCCATAGCGGTAATGCCGAAACAGACCGACTCATCGACCACGTCCAAATGGCTACAGATTCCTTGCTACAACAGGTCCCATCCGCAGAGATCGTGATCCTTGGCGATTTTAACGCCCACCATGCCGAATGGCTCGGTTCACGTTTAACCGATCATGCGGGGAGATCTGTTTATGACTTTGCCTTGGCATATGGTCTGACACAACTGGTTACTTCGCCTACGCGGATTGCAGATGTGGAGGATCATACACCTTCCCTGTTGGACCTTCTGCTGACCTCTCATGCGGACGGATATCAGGTTTCCGTCGATGCCCCTTTCGGCTGTTCGGACCATTTTCTGATCCGGAGTATGGTGCCACTCACGCTCCCTTCGCGGTTGCGTTCTGCAGGTTGCCGCCGTGTTTGGCATTACAGGTCGGCGGATTGGGACGGAATGCGGTCTTTCTTTGCATCCTACCCATGGGGGCGGGTTTGCTTCTCGCCGGATGATCCCAGCGCTGTTGCTGACTCTGTCACTGATGTGGTGCTACAGGGATTGGAACTATTTATTCCATCATCTGTGGTACCCATCGGAGGCAGATCTCAGCCTTGGTTTGGTCGCTCCTGTAAGACTGCATTGCGCAGTAAGCAGGAGTGTTATCAAGCCTGGGCTGCGGCTTCGGTGACTCGGGATGTAAACACCAGCACACTTAAAAAGAAGTATAACTTCGCCTCCAGGTCCTTCAAAAGAGTTATTGCAAAGGCAAAGTCAGAGCACATAGGCAGAATTGGCGAGAAACTAGTTCGCCTTCCTTCGAGAACCCGTGCATTCTGGTCTCTCGCCAAGGCTGTCCAAGGGAATTTCTGTAAGCCATCACTACCATCTCTGCACAGGGAGGACGACTCACTGGCCCAAGACGCAAAAGACAAAGCCGACCTTTTAGGCTCCCTTTTTGCGTCCAACTCGACTCTTGATGACGGGGGGAAAATACCGCCGACCATCACGCGGTGTGAGTGCTCCATGCCGGATGTGCTATTCTCACAGCGCTCAGTTCGCAAAGCACTTCTCTCCATGGACATCCAGAAGTCGAGTGGGCCTGACGGAATCCCCCCAATTGTGCTGAAGACGTGTGCTCCGGAGTTGGCACCGGTCCTAACGCGTCTTTTCCGATACTCCTACTCCCAAGGCGTAGTCCCGAATTCATGGAAGACAGCTTTTGTCCACCCGATCCCTAAAAAAGGCGACCGCTCAGACGCAGAGACTATAGTATCCAACTATAGGCCTATCGCGATCACCTCCTTGTTCTCCAAAATAATGGAATCCATTATTAACTGCCAGCTCATCCGGTACCTTGAGGATCACCAGCTGATTAGTGACCGCCAATACAGTTTTCGTCGGTGTCGATCAGCTGGTGATCTTCTGGTCTACCTGACCCATAGATGGGCGGAGGCAGTAGAGTCCAAGGGGGAGGCGCTGGCCGTTAGTCTGGACATTGCGAAAGCCTTCGATCGGATTTGGCACAAAGCGCTTCTTTCGAAGCTGCCTTCCTATGGGCTTCCCGAGAAATTGTGCAATTGGATCACCAGCTTTCTTGCAGATCGGAGCATCAAGGTCGTTGTAGACGGTGCATGTTCTGACTACAAGCCTATTAACGCTGGTGTTCCACAAGGCTGTGTGCTATCACCAACGCTGTTTCTTTTGCATATCAATGATATGTTGCTAACTGGTAACATTCATTGCTATGCGGATGACAGCACTGGTGATGCTCTATACACCGGCCGGGCCAATATTTCTCGGGAAAACATCGCCGAGTACCGGAACAAACTTGTGTCTGAAGTCGAGTCTTTGCTGGACAAAGTCTCGGATTGGGGGCGACTAAATCTAGTCCAGTTTAATCCTCAGAAGACACAAGTTTGCGCGTTTACCGCTAAAAAGAACCCCTTTGTCGTATCTCCTCATTTTCAAGGTACTCCCCTTCCTGCCTCAGCCAGTATCGGTATCCTCGGAGTCGACATATCGAGTGACGTGCAGTTTCGTGGTCACTTGGAAGAGAAGGCCAAATTGGCCTCTAAAAAGCTTGGCGTGCTCAGCAGAGCGGGACAGTATTTCATGCCGGCACACCGCCTGCAACTTTACAAGGCGCAGGTTCGGCCTCACATGGAATACTGTTCCCATCTCTGGGCAGGGGCTCCCCAGTGCCAGCTCCTTCCACTTGACCGCATCCAGCGCAGAGCGGCTCGAATCGTCGACGACCGAGCCCTTTCCGATCGGCTCGATTCATTGGCACTGCGAAGAGATGTTGCATCCCTTTGCATTTTTTTTCAAATGCAAAGAGCATTTTCTTTCGCATCTACCATGGGGAGTGCTCTGAGGAATTGTTCGGATTAATCCCAGCCGCCAAATTTCATGAACGCACATCACGGCAGAACTCCCGATACCATCCACATCATCTGGATGATTGGCGGTCCACCACTGTGCGATTTAGAAGATGTTTTCTTCCTCGCACGACTTCCTTGTGGAATCGATTACCATCAGCGATTTTTCCGGACCGATACGACTTAGGGACCTTCAAGAAAAGAGCCTACTCCTTTTTAAAAGGCCGGCAACGCATCTGCAATTCCCCTGGTGTTGCGGTTGTTCATGGCCGGCGGTAGTCACTTACCATCAGGTGAGCCGCATGCTCGTTTGCCCCCTCTCCTATAAAAAAAAAAGTCGATCGGAGATGGGATGGGATATGTTTAGCAGTGGGCTTTTGATAGATTGCAATGATGAATGATGAAAAATAAATCAGGAGGACTGTGTGTTGGTTTGTCACCCATACTCTTTAAAAAAATCGTGGTTGAATTTTATTGTAAATTGTGTCGTGTTATTAAGTGTGTTATGTGTGTGCGCAGGATCCGGAGTTCAGCAAGCGGTCGGCCATCAAGCAGGTGGCGTCGGGGCGCTTCGGCGTGACAGCGTCGTACCTGGCGCACGCCGACGACCTGCAGATCAAGATGGCGCAGGGCGCCAAGCCCGGCGAGGGCGGCGAGCTGCCCGGTGCGCTGCTTGCCTCTCGCCTGCACTCGTCCTTACAGCACACAAGCCCACTGCTGAACATACGAACATACGCCTCCCTCAAGGAACACCACAAAGCACGCTTCCAAACTACCTACATCCATCGACTTCCTACATGTCACCCTATACTTCAACTACCGTTACGAGGCTAGCTACCGCTCGAGAACCATTCTTTCCCATCAGTTGTCGATTCTTCGAGCTATATGGCCGGCCCATTGCTACTTCAGCTTGCTACCTGGAACTCACCCCTGCAATACTTGCCAATATTTACTTAAACCCGTGCAATTTGCTGTAAGCCGTGTGGTTTCGGCGTATGGGAATAAAGTATCCATATCGTCACGTAAGCTTAAGTATTACGAGACGAGAAAGATAATTATTAGCCAAAACAATTAGGCGCATGACAGAAATGCGTTTTCGGCGCCTGCACCCCGCCTCTATCCTCGCGCCTCCCCTAGTGATCAATCACCGTTCCGGTGTTCCCTCCTTAGTCCGTATGACGTCTTAACTGTCATACGCCTAATTGTTTTGGTCACGTAATAGATGGCAACAAACATCTTCCCAGTAACAACACAAAAAATTTTGCATCGGTCTGTAAGTTACTACTGGAGTTAGCGCTTAAGAACGGATTCGACCAAACTTAGTATAAGTCTTATCCTGAGAATAAAATCACTAATTACTCTCGAGTTAGAGAATTTTCGTTTTACCAAATATTAACCCAGGTATGACTGTCTATCCGAGAGTAAATTGTTATACCGCCAAAATTCATGGAGTAAACAAGTTATCCCAGAGTATTTTAATGGCGGCCGCTACACTTCAACAGCTGTTTTCGTATGCTTTGTTGAAAAAGTAGGATATTTTATCGTTGTGCATTTATAATTTCTTGTATTTTTGTGATAATTGTAGGGATTATTTTTTGAAATAATGCAACATTTACGAAACATAGAAGATAAGAATAAGATTAGAAGAATAATCAACTAACAACTCGCCTCGTGTTAATATTCTAGTCTTCAGTGACAGTGGACACTAATATAATCCGGCAAAACTAAGTGAACAGAAAATCTTGCATTGAGCTATATAAACAATTGTATTTCAATTTTAGTTGGCTTACATGTTCATTCATTTTTCATTCACCAACTCTAGAGTAACAATACCCAGTATTAGCTACTCTACGTTTGTGTTTGAAAAACGCAAAGGAAGTTATCTGAGAGTAAAACCAAAGAGTAAAATTATTCGAGGATTAGTTACTCTGGAGTAACGTGTTATTTGGTCGAATCCGCCCTAAGCGACGTTGTTGTTACTCAGCGGTCAAGCCGTGGTTTGGTGTCGGTCATGGATATATCTGATAACGTAGATATTCAACTAAATATTTTAGAAAATCCTCTTGTATTAATTCACTATCACAGAACTATAAAAAGTGTTTTATGATTCTGTGATAGTGAACTAAAAAATAAATATAATAAGTTAACGAACTCACATTTCTTCAATTTTTTAACACGAAATAAGAAAAATTTATCTAAATAATGAGAAACTATTTTTGACTTAGGTATATGTTCTTTATGGTATAAATAATGAAATCATTAAGATAAAAATATTTTGTATTGTTTCATCAATCATATAAAATAGAATTGTATTTTACCTTTTCTGTTCACAGGTTACAAAGTGACAGAAGATATCGCAAAGACACGTTGTTCAGTCCCGGGCGTGGGGTTAATTTCCCCACCTCCCCACCACGATATTTACTCAATTGAGGACTTGGCTGAATTGATATATGACCTCAAGTGCGCCAACCCTAAAGCTAGAATCTCGGTAAAATTAGTGTCAGAAGTTGGGGTCGGCGTTGTTGCTTCTGGAGTTGCGAAGGTATGTATGATTATAATATAATTTCGATTAAATTGACCATTATAAATACCACTTAAAAAAAATTTTTTTTCAGTCAAGTTGTGTTTGCCTTTAAAGTAGGCCTAGTTAGTTATGATTCTCTTTAAAATGTCTGTAAGGCCTAACAAATTTTAATACGCTATGCAACTCTTAAAAATCGAGCGGGTGTGGTCAAGATAAGTCATGTGACAGTCACGTTTCTTACGTGACTGTCGCATGACTTATCGTTGACATATCTCGTTTCCATTAATTTTTACAGTTCGCTATTGGCATTAACGATTATATAATATTGTTAAATATGATTTGAAACATATTTTCGCAGTTTAAAATATACATTCAGGCAAAAAATGCTTTGTAGATTTGTCATCATTGACGATCACTACGCTAGGTGGGCTAAGGCTATGATGTTCCCAACCAGTTATAAAAATTATTTTGTTATTTTTGGATGAATTTTCTAGTGACTGTAACCTCTGTTAAAAGGATGCATTGTGTGCATGAGGTTGACATTACATAACAAAATGGCAAAACATTTTCCTTTACGATATCTAACCATTGAATAAATAATGTTGAATAGTTAATGGGCTTAGCTATCCCATAACATATATTATCGCTATTTTTACGGATTTTATCGCGTTTAATTAACTTATTTTATATTCCCGACGTTTCGGTTGCTTTCTAGCAACCGTGGTCACGGGGGACTGAGGTGATTGACGTCCCGATGTCAAAGTTAACCCGGAGTACCTTCAGCTTTTTAATTATTAATTTTGGTCCGATCTACGCAGAATGAACTAACTGTGTCTTGAAGTCTTGCAGTGGTATGCTTGGGTTTAGTTTTAATTTTATGAATTACAGGATCCCAAGCAGGTGGTAGGACCCAGCCTCCCTCTCTATTGAAATTAGGATGGTTTTTAATTTCAATAGCCTCACGTATCATCCTTGGCAGGAATCGATGTTCTTTCGCGAGGACTTGTGGTTTATCAAATCTAATGTAATGGCGGGGGCCGTCTAGGATATGATCACAAACTGCAGACTTCCCGGAGCGTTGGTGCTTCACGTCAGCTATGTGTTCTTTTACGCGGGTTTTTATTGATCGTTTTGTTTGCCCTATATATGAGAGACCACACTCACAATCAAGCTTGTATACTCCTGCATCTTGTAGAGGAATATTGCACTTGACGGATGGTAAGAACTGACTAATCTTCTTCGGCGACTTGAAGAATGTTCTAATAGAAGCTCGCTTCAAGATGTAGCCAATCTTGTCTGTGACACCTCTGACATATGGCACACGCTCGACTGTGGCCGACTTCACTCGGTCACTGTGACGTAGGCGCGGAACCCGAAGCTTGTTGTCGTGCAGAACCTGCTTGACGTGCTGAAGCTCGGCGGCCAGGTGTTTGCTGTCACAGATCCCTCGTGCTCTCTGCAACAAAGATTTGCCCACGGTAGCTAACTGTGAAGGGTGATGGTGGGATTTACCGTTTAAGTATCGGTTTGTATGGGTCTTTTTTCTATACACAGTGTGACCTACGGTGTTATTAGGATTTCGAATGACTAACACATCTAGGAAAGCTAAAGAATTATTTTCCTCTAACTCCATAGTAAATTGAATTTTAGAGTTTATGGAATTAAGATGTTCTAAAAATGCAGTTACTTTGTCTGATGGTAAAATTGTGAAAGTATCGTCTACGTACCGCTTGTAGAAACTTGGAGTTACTGGTGCAGTAAGCAGGGCTTTCTCCTCAAAGTCCTCCATGAAAATATCGGCGACAATGGGAGATACCGGTGAGCCCATCGCAGCACCATCTACTTGCTTGTAAAACTGTTCCTTCCACAATAGGTAGCCAGATGTAAGGCAATGTCTGAGTAATACTGCATATTCTGCTGGCATGTTGTTTTCCTCTAGTTTCCTAGTTATAATTGAGATGCAGTCTTCAACAGGTAGGCATGTAAATAGAGACTGAACATCAAAACTGACCATAGTTTCATTGTCAGTAAGACATAGGTCTTTTATCTCACTGACAAAATGGTATGAATCCTTAGTGTGTGCTCTTGTATGTCCTCTGAGTGGTGATAGTACTTTTGCTAAGTGTTGAGCCAATCTGTAAGTTAGCGAATCGATCTGACTCACTATTGGACGTAATGGAGCGTTCGGTTTGTGTATTTTTGGTAACCCATACAACTTCGGCGGTTTGGCACACGTAGGTATTATCGAATTTACGTCTAGATTCAGTTTCTCGGAGTATTTCTTTATTAGATCGCTAGTTGTTTTAAGCGTATTAGTTGTAGGGTCTGTTTTGACCTTTACGTACGTACTTTCATCCGATAAAAGTTGTTGTATTTTAAAATTGTAATCCGACGTATCCATTATGACCACGGTTGCTGGAAAGCAACCGAAACGTCGGGAATATAAAATAAGTTAATTAAACGCGATAAAATCCGTAAAAATAGTTTTATTCAATGTGTAGTGTTCGCGTAAATATAAGAAATCATTATATATTATCGCTTTTGTTGATTAGGGCAAGGCTGAGCACATCGTGATCTCCGGCCACGACGGCGGGACTGGTGCAAGTTCGTGGACTGGTATTAAGAGTGCAGGTCTTCCCTGGGAGCTGGGCGTGGCCGAGACGCACCAAGTGCTTGTGCTTAACGATCTGCGCTCCAGGTAACCGATGCTTGTCGACACAATTGTACGATAAAAATATTTTCTCAGTTTCGTTTTTTTTTCCATGGAGATATTTTGGAAGTAAGGTCAGTTTTTTTTTACGTTTATAAGAGCTTAATGTATGCCTCATTTTTTGGCTTTGCGACAATATACATATAAAATATTACATACATATAATCACGCCTCTTTCCCGTGGGGGTAGGCAGAGACCAGTTCTTTCCACTTGCTACGATCCTTGCATACTTGTTTTGCTTCGTCCACTTTCATTATTCCCTTCATACATGCTCTACGGTTTAGGGTACTCTTGACCTGGCCTTTTTTCAAGACGTCCCTGATTTGGTCTAGAAATGTCCGCCTAGGTCTACCCCTTCCAACACTTTCACTCACACTCGCCTTATACACTTTTTTCGTCAATCGTTCTTCATTCATTCTCTCGACATGGCCAAACCATCTCGGCATACCTTTCTCAATTTTTGTCACTACATCTTCTTTCAGACCACAACGTTTCCTTATCTCACTATTTCTTAGCCTGTCACTTAGTTTAACTCCTATCATACTTCTTAATGCTCTCATCTCAACTGCATTTATTCTGCTTTCATGTTTCTTCTGCCATACCCAAGTTTCACTTCCGTACATGAGTGTCGGGAACCAACACCCCCTCATGCACAGCCAAACGAGCCTTGTTAGACACCTTCCGACTGCTCATAAAAGAGTGCAAAGCTCCATTCACCATGTTTCCTGCATTCACTCTTCTTTCGATGTCACTCTCACACTTTCCATCTCTTGTAAACTTTGAACCCAGATACACAAACTCTTTCACCTGTTCAATTTGTTCATCTTCAATCACAATGTTGCAGTCTGTCACTGCCTCATCTTTTTCAAACACCATCACTTTCGTCTTCCTTACATTCATCTTCATTCCCTTTCTAACAAAAGCTCCACTCATAGCAGTTACCATCTCCTGCAACTCGTCGGCCGAAGACGCAAGTAATACTTGGTCATCAGCATAGAGAAAACATTTGACGAGTAACTCATTCATTCTCAACCTACTTTCATTCTCTTTTAAATCTGTCAAACAATTGTCCATGAACAGATTAAACAGCCACGGTGACGCTACACATCCCTGTCTAACAACTTTTTCGATATTAAACCATTCAGTGTATGCCCCGTTTATCCTTACACAAGCACTAGAATCCCTATAAAGAGATTGCATTGCTCGTATGAGGATACTGCTCACACCGTTCACGGACAATGCTGACCACAATTCATTCCTCACCACTCTATCATAGGCCTTTTCTAGATCTACGAACGCGCAGTAGACTTTCTTGTTTTTAGCCATATACTTTTCGGCTATGCACCGCAAGGAAAAGACCTGATCCGTACATCCCATTCCCTTTCTAAATCCCGCTTGTGCATCCCATACTTTCTTGTCTGTTTCATTCACAATCCTTTCAATCAACACTTTCGCATACAATTTACCGACGACGCTGAGAAGGCTTATACCGCGGTAATTTATGCAGTCCTGCCGTGACCCTTTTTCCCTTATACAATGGCACGATTACGGCTTTGCACCAGTCTCCCGGTACTTGCCCATTTCGCCAGCACAGATTGAAAAGGCGGTACAGCTGACTAGCCACCAGGCCCTGTCCAGCCCTCAGCATCTCGACGGTAATCCTATCATACCCTGCAGCCTTACCTAATGTCATACTTTTCAACGCTTTCACTATTTCATCCATACTTATCTCATTGCGACATCATCATCGACATCTCATGCGACAATATAAATAGGCTGTATATATAAACTAGGTAAATATGGTTACTTTCCTTTAGGGTTAGTTCCACGTAGGTATCTCTGTCTTACCAATTTTTGATTGTAACCGAGTTAAAAGAATATATAGGACTAGTGTGATAAATTGCAGTTAGACATTTCATGTTAGTCTTCAGGAGTACTATAGAATTACTTTTGTCGATAAAAACTACAAATACTTGGTCACTAACTACCGGGTGGACTTGCCTTGTTCGTTTCTTAACTCACTTATTTATATGTCCCAAGAGTAATTTTGAGTAATACTTACGTCACACTTCTTAAGAAAAGCAAGGTTACCAAAGGAGCAGACGTATCGCTTGTTGGTTGGTGTATGCGGTATCTATAGATTACATAGTCGAAAAAAAATTCAAAATGCAGATGTCTTCTGCGTTCAATCAGGTATAAAATATTGGCAATATCATATTTCTGTATGAATAGTTTTCGTAGAATACTTAAATTGTTGCAGGGTGGTAGTGCAAGCGGACGGGCAGATCCGCACTGGTTTCGACGTGATGGTGGCTGCATTGTTGGGCGCCGATGAGTTTGGATTTAGTACGGCGCCACTTATTGTGCTTGGTTAGTACATATTTTCTTACTGTATGAGTAATTTTGAAGTGTTTAATAGTTTGAGTAGCTTTTAAACTACTTCAATACTTCAGAAAATATGGAATGTTAAAACTCCATTGCACTGTATAATTATTATGTTAGTAAAACATATCTTGGAGATTAGTTAACCCATTTTGTTGATTTTTTTTCGTATTGAAAAAGTATCGTTTCCCCTAAGCCTGCTTACGTAATACTTTTTTTTATAGGATAAGGTGACAAACGAGCACACAGTCCACCTGATGGTAAGTGGTTTCTGTGACCCATAGACATACACATTTATCCTCAATAAAGAATCAAAATGCAGATGCGTCGGCGCCCTTGAGGACTAAGATGGGTTGCCTCTTTTCCAGTAAAAAGGGTCTCCGGTTCTCTACATTCACCATACGAAACATAGCAGTGTCAAGCTGCCATTTTAAGCTGGTATTCCGTGAGAGAGTTGGTAGTCTTGATCGGGTCCCAATCTTAAACAGTTATTATCCGTTTTTTAATACTTTTTTCTATTTTTTTTAATAATCTAATAATTATAATTTTGTTCTACTATTACTATTACTACAGCTTATCATAAGTCCGCCGCTGAACATAGGCTTCCCTATAGACTTTCACAACGTATGATCCTGAGCCACCCACATCGAGTTTCATCAGGTCATCACTCCCATATAGTGGGAGATCGCCCAACACTACATTTGCTAGTACGAGTTATTAGTATACGTATTGCAAAGTCGCTTTTTCATTGCAGGTTGTACCATGATGAGGAAATGTCACCTGAACACGTGCCCAGTGGGCATCGCCACACAGGACCCGGTGCTGCGCAAGAAGTTCGCCGGCAAGCCTGAACACGTCATCAACTATCTGTTCATGCTGGCTGAAGAAGTGAGCTTTTCCAACACATAGACCCCCACTAACACCGTCACATAGTTCCGTTATTATTTTTATTATTATGTACTTCAATGTACACCACAAACACAAAAATACAGATTACTAGATATAAAAAAGCCACTCTGATTAACATTCGATTAAAAGACGTTCGAACGACGCAATTTTACATGTAGATTTATTCAAGCGTAATTGCTTATTTATCTAACCGTGATGTATATTAACCATGGAGTTGAGCGTTGTGAATATGTTTTATGTAAATAACGAACGTTGGAGGAGGCCTATACCCGCCAGGGGCCTTAACTATATAAAAGTGCATAATATATTACTATGTATGATCTTAGTATAATCCAATATTTAATGTAGTTTAAAACTCTGTAAGTTAAGGAAAATAAAGAGGCTTTGTTATTATTATAAATAACGAATGTGTTTTGTTTCGTCAAACGTGCAGTTTAAATGCAAAGGTTTTTTAGACACTCGGGGGCACCGTTCATAGTTGTTCTTTATGATACTGGAATAATTACTTTTTATTGTTTGACTCCTCAGGTGCGTCAACACATGGCTGAAGTGGGCGTCCGTAAATTCCAAGACCTCATCGGTCGCACAGATCTGCTGAAGGTCCGTGAGAACAACGAAAACCCCAAGGCTAGGTTGCTGAATCTGAGTCTCATATTAAAGAACGCCCTGCACATGAGACCTGGAGTCAACATTATAGCAGGTTCCAAGACACAGGTACTTTGATTCATTTTGTTATTTGTAGGTCTTAATCATCAATATTTTCTAAAATGGCAATAATAAATGTAATTTCTACAAACACGAAAATTTTTACTAAATAAAATAAGTGGCAATTTGTTTTCAGAATTACTCTATGAATAAAAATAATACTGTGCTTATAATTATTCAAGATAATAGTATTTTTTTAAAACTTCATTAGATACCATCTTGAATCTACTTCACTTTCGACTATAATTCACGGCGACGTGTTTGTTTATTTTTTTAATAGTATAAATGACAAATTATTATTTTAGACTTATGTTTTTTTTTTATGAATATCTATAAAAGATCTTATTTTGATTTGGTTTTTAAACTTATACATCTCAATTTTCACTAGGACTTCCAACTAGAGAAACGGCTCGACAACCAACTGATCGAGCAGTGTGCTGGCATCCTGGATGGCACTCAGAAGCACCTAAATATCAGCATGAAGATCAATAACGAGGATCGCGCATTCACTTCTACACTCTCCTATCACATTGCTATGTAAGTTTTCAGTCAGCATCAGCTTACTGATTCCTTAATAAATTCTAGTTACGGCAACAATTCCATCTCTCCAAGAAACTGGACAAGCCCCCTCCATAAGCACAGACACCATTCAAGTACCATTGAGTCTTAACACAAATGTATTGTGAAGTTTTTTTTTTTACCTGGTAGAACTATGCTACACCTATATTGCCGTTGCAGCACGAATGGGTCGGCTCAACCGCAGTATGTCCGCGCATTCACAGAATACCAACGTAAAATAGCAGCTTAATGCTGCTGTGTTTTGTATGGTGAGTGTAGAGAACTGGAGACTCTTTTTACTGGAAACGAGGCATTTCATCTTAATCTTTAAGGGTGACAACGCATCTGCATTTTGATTCTTAATTGATGATAAATGTAGATGTCTGTGGGCCACAGCATTTATTTACCATGAGGTGGACTGTGTGCTTGTTTGTCACCTTTATTTTATATTAAAAAAAGTTATCAACTTTTTGGAATAAACCGAAAACTTAGTATTTATTACTTAGAAATGTTATAGGTTATTTGAACGATGAGAAGTGAAATAAATGAAGTAATTGTGTGATACGAGAAAAGAGTGCTTTGCAAAATGTTGAGACCCGGATTAGGAAAGAAATGCTTCTGTGGGTTAGACACTAAGGAAAATTGCTTGAACAAAGAGTGGCAAAGCAAATTTATGCTACCTGAGTAATTAGTAGAGTTGTCAATTGACACCCTAGCAGAAAGTTCATTGACCAAATTAGCGATGTATTGAAGATGGGCTAAATTATCGAATACCCATAACCGACGAACATGTATGCGTAGGCATATGTATGTGAACGAAGTGAGAGAGCCCTATTTCCATTAGTAAATGAAAATAAATGAAAAATTAAAATAATTATTTGACAGATTGCATTTTTACAAAAAAATTAGCAACGGTTCTCACACTAGGCGCGCAGACCTGTATCGTAATAGGCATAATTATATATACACAGATTAACAAAAATAAAATTAATGCTTGACTGACTTTACAATGTTTTCCCTTTCTTTAAATCTCTTCCTTATTTTTAGCGGTCTTTATCTATAAAATGTAAATATATACTAAAACATGCATACACACACATTCAGATACATACATATACACATAAAAATTATATAACATGTTTATGTTACAGTATTTTGAATTATTACTATGACAATATTAGGCATATTGGGCATAACTATGACAATATTTAGACCGTAAGCAATCAATTATGGATTTTCTTAGCTGTGTTCGTTAGACAAGCAATCTCTTATGTTGCATGCCATCATAACTTTCTTAAATGTTTGTGTTTCAATGAATGAACTAAATCGTTTTGCGAAAGCTTGGTAATGCCATTTGAAACACGCGTTTTTGCAGCAGTTCGCGCGTACAGAATCGTGCCAAATGAAAATTCGTAGTTCCTACCTGCTGCCCGCCTGAGAACACCCAGAGGGCTGGGTGACAGGAATGAAAATTTCAAGTGCTTTAAGAAAATTGATTCACAACATGACAAAGAAACAGCATTTTTACTGGCTGTCTATTATATAAGTTTAAATTTGTATTTTTAGGAAATACGGTGACGAGGGTCTTCCAGAAGGAACGAGCATCGATATTTCGCTGGAGGGCTCCGCTGGGCAGAGTTTCTGCGCATTCCTCTCCAAGGGAGTGAAGGTTACGCTCGAGGGAGACGCCAACGACTATGTTGGTAAGGACTAACTGCGATGTGTTAAGACAGCATTTTAAAATGCCGTGTAAATAATTTCTGTAATAATTATTAAAGTTAATATTGCCAAATGTTTAAATACAGTAATGATATAATAGATTTTATAATTGGTCGGCACGACTGGGAGAAGGACCTCATTTATTTATTCATTCATTACAGCTTATCAAAAGTCCGTTGCAGAAAGAACGAACTGAAAGAAGGGATATTTGCCATAGTTGCCAGCGTGGCAACGGGCGAGTTGGCAAGCGCAGTTTTCTTTTATTACTTTGAGTACCTAGTTATTTGGAAGATGCAGTTACCCGTCGCTTGTGTCATTTCCCTTTGTCGCCTTTTACGACACCCACTGGATGATATGGGGTAGGGTATTATATTATGCCGTCACTATAAACGAAAAAAATGTTATTCGCCCAGGATAGTGGTTAGCAGCGTAATGCAGCACGCTTTGTGTAGTAAGTGAGATATTACATCGTAGTCTTCAGTATCGACAACGTATCTACGTATTTGTTCTTAAGCGAGAACAAATATTGAAGCTATAACATCCTTGATGGTTCGGTGACGCAGTGGCTTGGCAATTTGTTAGTAGCTAAGAGCTACGGATTCGAATCCCGCACGGAACAAGTATTTGTTTGGCCTACAAGTAATTGTTCCTAGTCTGTATGTTTGTCCGTGTGAAATTTTATACGTGGTAGAGCCATGCTGCAATTATATTAATAGTATAGTTGTAGCACGTATGGGTCGGTTCGATCGGGGAAGGACCACGCTCTCACAGAATACCAGCTTAAAATAGCAGCTTAATGCTGCTTTGTTTCGTATGGTGAGTGTAGAGAACCGAAGACCCTTTTTACTGGAAGAGGCATTCCATCTTAGTCCTCACGGCTGACAACGCATCTGCATTTTAATTCACAAACGAAGGTAAACGTAGATGTCTATGTGCCACAGCAACCACTTACCATCAGGTGGACTGTGTACTTGTTTGTCACCCTTATTCTAGATAAAAAAAATATGTATGTAAACTGTCCATTCGATACAGGGGAAAATCCTAGTGGTAACGTTTTAAAAATATATGTGCTGGTGTGTTACTTTTATAAAATAATACAAGATATCAACGATGTAGTATCAGGTAATATTGCTTAATTACAAGTAATTCTTACTACTATTTTGTATCTTCTACAAAGACATGTCTGTTAGCCTTCCTAAAGTAAATAAATGTGTGTTGCAGGCAAGGGTCTGTCGGGCGGCACGGTGGTGATCTTCCCGCCGAAGTCGTCTCCGTTCGAGTCGCACTTGAACGTGATCGTGGGCAACGTGTGCCTGTACGGCGCCACGGCCGGCCGCGCCTACTTCCGGTACGTGCGCCGCAGCCCCCCGCCGACACACCCGATACCAGAATGTTACAGCACACCCAGTAACCCGCAGCTTGGCCGCGATTGCTTCAGGGGTTTTCCTTTACCAGGGGTGCTGGTACCCTCCGGGGGTAGTCTTTAATTTTTAAATTCCGCTACTATGTTATGAGAAGAACTTGAACTTTCTACCTGCACTTACCACGCTAAACGCAGCAGTGAAGATTCTGCTGGAACACAGTGTGTGCACTGCTATTTTCCAATTCTGAAGGATATGTACCGTTACGGCCTATCAAGTCTATCTCTAAACATAAGCTATCGAGAAGGTCTTTTTCATAGGCGAGAACGATATTTACCATAGTTGTTATTAGAAAGATGTTGCCGCCCCTCTCCTGGTTTGGGTCCCTCTGCTTTTTACGACACTTAAGAGACATTATGAAGTAATATATATTCTTACACCGTCACTACACGGTCAGCAGTAGAACCACTATAATTCCAGGCTGTGAGGTCATCTTAGTCATCAGGGCTAATCACGTTTTCTGTTTGGATTAGTTGCTGGTATCCACGGACTGCAGTAGCCATTTACCATCGGCTGGAATATAATTTTGTTATTATAGTAAAATGGGACGTTTTTACGCAAAAAGGATGTAACTCACAACTACTGTTTTGTAGAATTTTTTTTTAATGAGGGTGTAATGGTTTTTAATATAAAAATATGTATCAACATTTATTTATAATGACTCATTTTATTGACTGACAGTTTATTGGAATTTGTTTTATTGTATATAAAAAATATATTTTTAGGGTTATTTTTGAATACATAACTAATTTTTAACCCGACTGAGAGTTGGATCTTTTTTAACTACATCCAATTGTATGTGTACGTATATATAGCTTAAATAACCGACAATCGATTGGGAAGAAAGATTCTCAAGTGGTAGCCTTGTACGACGATAGGTGAAGTTTAGGGTGACCCCCCACTAAATAGAGTTACGACCTGGTATGATGTGTAGGAAGTCGATGGATTCAGGTGGGTCAGGAGCGTGCTTTGTGGCATTCCTTAGGGAGACCTATGTTCGGCAACGGACTCGTGAAGGGCTGCAATGACGATGATGATGTTGTGCAGGGGCATAGCGTCGGAGCGGTTCTGCGTGCGCAACTCGGGGGTGACGGCGGTGGTGGAGGGCGTGGGCGACCACGGCTGCGAGTACATGACGGCCGGCACCGTGCTCGTGCTCGGACTCACCGGCAGGAACTTCGCCGCCGGCATGAGCGGTACGTACATACGTACATACATACATACGTTCATACGACCACGGCTGCGAGTACATGACGGCCGGCACCGTGCTCGTGCTCGGACTCACCGGCAGGAACTTCGCCGCCGGCATGAGCGGTACGTACATACGTACATACATACATACGTTCATACGACCACGGCTGCGAGTACATGACGGCCGGCACCGTGCTCGTGCTCGGACTCACCGGCAGGAACTTCGCCGCCGGCATGAGCGGTACGTACATACGTACATACATACATACGTTCATACGACCACGGCTGCGAGTACATGACGGCCGGCACCGTGCTCGTGCTCGGACTCACCGGCAGGAACTTCGCCGCCGGCATGAGCGGTACGTACATACGTACATACATACATACGTTCATACGACCACGGCTGCGAGTACATGACGGCCGGCACCGTGCTCGTGCTCGGACTCACCGGCAGGAACTTCGCCGCCGGCATGAGCGGTACGTACATACGTACATACATACATACGTTCATACGACCACGGCTGCGAGTACATGACGGCCGGCACCGTGCTCGTGCTCGGACTCACCGGCAGGAACTTCGCCGCCGGCATGAGCGGTACGTACATACGTACATACATACATACGTTCATACGACCACGGCTGCGAGTACATGACGGCCGGCACCGTGCTCGTGCTCGGACTCACCGGCAGGAACTTCGCCGCCGGCATGAGCGGTACGTACATACGTACATACATACATACGTTCATACGACCACGGCTGCGAGTACATGACGGCCGGCACCGTGCTCGTGCTCGGACTCACCGGCAGGAACTTCGCCGCCGGCATGAGCGGTACGTACATACGTACATACATACATACGTTCATACGACCACGGCTGCGAGTACATGACGGCCGGCACCGTGCTCGTGCTCGGACTCACCGGCAGGAACTTCGCCGCCGGCATGAGCGGTACGTACATACGTACATACATACATACGTTCATACGACCACGGCTGCGAGTACATGACGGCCGGCACCGTGCTCGTGCTCGGACTCACCGGCAGGAACTTCGCCGCCGGCATGAGCGGTACGTACATACGTACATACATACATACGTTCATACGACCACGGCTGCGAGTACATGACGGCCGGCACCGTGCTCGTGCTCGGACTCACCGGCAGGAACTTCGCCGCCGGCATGAGCGGTACGTACATACGTACATACATACATACGTTCATACGACCACGGCTGCGAGTACATGACGGCCGGCACCGTGCTCGTGCTCGGACTCACCGGCAGGAACTTCGCCGCCGGCATGAGCGGTACGTACATACGTACATACATACATACGTTCATACGACCACGGCTGCGAGTACATGACGGCCGGCACCGTGCTCGTGCTCGGACTCACCGGCAGGAACTTCGCCGCCGGCATGAGCGGTACGTACATACGTACATACATACATACGTTCATACGACCACGGCTGCGAGTACATGACGGCCGGCACCGTGCTCGTGCTCGGACTCACCGGCAGGAACTTCGCCGCCGGCATGAGCGGTACGTACATACGTACATACATACATACGTTCATACGACCACGGCTGCGAGTACATGACGGCCGGCACCGTGCTCGTGCTCGGACTCACCGGCAGGAACTTCGCCGCCGGCATGAGCGGTACGTACATACGTACATACATACATACGTTCATACGACCACGGCTGCGAGTACATGACGGACGGCACCGTGCTCGTGCTCGGACTCACCGGCAGGAACTTCGCCGCCGGCATGAGCGGTACGTACATACGTACATACATACATACGTTCATACGACCACGGCTGCGAGTACATGACGGCCGGCACCGTGCTCGTGCTCGGACTCACCGGCAGGAACTTCGCCGCCGGCATGAGCGGTACGTACATACGTACATACATACATACGTTCATACGACCACGGCTGCGAGTACATGACGGCCGGCACCGTGCTCGTGCTCGGACTCACCGGCAGGAACTTCGCCGCCGGCATGAGCGGTACGTACATACGTACATACATACATACGTTCATACGACCACGGCTGCGAGTACATGACGGCCGGCACCGTGCTCGTGCTCGGACTCACCGGCAGGAACTTCGCCGCCGGCATGAGCGGTACGTACATACGTACATACATACATACGTTCATACGACCACGGCTGCGAGTACATGACGGCCGGCACCGTGCTCGTGCTCGGACTCACCGGCAGGAACTTCGCCGCCGGCATGAGCGGTACGTACATACGTACATACATACATACGTTCATACGACCACGGCTGCGAGTACATGACGGCCGGCACCGTGCTCGTGCTCGGACTCACCGGCAGGAACTTCGCCGCCGGCATGAGCGGTACGTACATACGTACATACATACATACGTTCATACGACCACGGCTGCGAGTACATGACGGCCGGCACCGTGCTCGTGCTCGGACTCACCGGCAGGAACTTCGCCGCCGGCATGAGCGGTACGTACATACGTACATACATACATACGTTCATACGACCACGGCTGCGAGTACATGACGGCCGGCACCGTGCTCGTGCTCGGACTCACCGGCAGGAACTTCGCCGCCGGCATGAGCGGTGAGCAAACGCCACCTTCACACCTACACCTACGATCATAGACAGCGGTTCACTGCAATTACACTGTTCACACTACACCTACATTCATGTTTTCCTGGTAGAGCCACGCTGCAGCTATATTATGATTATAGCGCGAATAGACCGATTCGATCGGGGTAGAACCACGCTTTCACGCGATACCAGCATAGAGTACCGGAGTGAAGATATGGGCCTTAGGGACCGTTCAAGTATTACGTAACGCAATTTTTGAAGATTTTTGACCCTCCCACCCCCCTATGTAACGCGCCGTAACGTTTATCTAGACCCCCCCCCCCTCCCCCTCTCTAAACGTTACGTAACACCCAAGTGACCATTTTTTCCTAAAAGTCACAATTACTTTGCGCAAATTACCGGAAAGTCGCTAAAATAACTTTGTTATTGTTTTAATCGCGTTTACGGTAATCTGTAATATAAAAATGAATCGCTGAATGTGTTGCTAAGCGTAAATCTCGAGAGCACCTGGTCCGATTTCGCTAATTCTTTATTTATAATATTCCCTGAAGTACTAAGATGTTTCTTACGGAGAGAAAAGTTTAAAAAATTTCCTGAAAAAGTATAAAAACAACACTTTTCTATATTCCCAAACAAAAGATTCGTAACAATACTTAAAAGGCAATTTGAACTTTAATACCATACCAATAAAGTTTAAGTGTTAGTGGAGGGGTTCCGGGAAGGCAAAACAATTGAGTGACGTTATTATCGTATAAATATAATATATCGTATCGTATAAATATTTGTCAATATTTCTACGATGGTAACATTGCGGTACGAAGTTCGACGGGTCAGCTAGTAATAAATAAAACGAGATTTCTTCCTCGCAATACGTTGTTGATTTTTTATTTTATTTATTCATATTATTGTTATTTAATAAACAATCACACAATGTAATAAACGTTTGCTTAAGTTTAAAATATGTTAAAATGGGCTCAAATCAGTCCTAATAAACTTTTCTACTAACCTTACATTTAATTACGCCGTTTTTTTTAACTTGGCCTTTTCCTTACATACATTTTATTAAATAAACTCTTAAAATAAAATAACATATTTATTTTTACCTTTGGCAATGCTATGTAAAAAACAAACAAAAACTTGTGTCTGAAGTCGAGTCTTTGCTGAACAAAGTCTCGGATTGGGGGCGACTAAATCTAGTCCAGTTCATTCCCCAGAAGACACGAGTTCGCGCGTTCACCGCTAAAAAACCTCTTTGTCGTATCTCCTCAGTTTCAAGACACCCCCCTTGCTACCTCAGCAAGCATCGGAATCCTCGGCGTCAACCTAAACGAAAAGGGTTGCTAACTTGGAAGATTTTAATTCCCTTGTTCTTTTATTTAAAATGAACAAATGTTACGTAACGCGTTGGTCGAACCCCCCTCCCGCCCCTGTAACGCATCGTAACGTTTTACAAGACCCCCCCTCCCCCCAAATTGCGTTACGTAATACTTGAACGCCCCCTTATGGGCCACGGCATCCACTTACCATCAGGTGGACCGTGTGTTCGTTTGTCAACCTTATTCTATAAAAAAACTCAAGCCACCTTCACAGCTACCCTCATACTCAGTGGTTCACTACAAGCCATCTAGCGTCCAATTCTATCTTAATGAGGGCTAATAATATTCTTTAATTAATAGTCGCTGGACAAGCAGACACAATTTTTTTAGAAATGGTTATTAATATCCTGATAGCATGCAAATAGGAGCCAGTTATTTCAATATTACGGACAGACACTTCAATTTTATTTATATTTATAGAAATTTTTTAGTACCTATATTGAAATGCCCTTTCCGATGTTATGCAATAGGAATTTCATAGGATTCTTCCATGAAATCTGAGATATCGTATCGATACCTACCTTCGCGAGATTAGTATGTGAAGGCATTTTCTAGAAAGTAAATGGGCTTTTTATATAAAAATACAAATCCAAAAAGGCAATTCCATGCCCTAAAACCATTACAGAAATTAGAAGAGGCCCGTACCTAGAAATGAGACCGTATATAATACAGACGTAATTATTATAATTGTAACTTTACATTTCCTTTAATAGATACAAACTTCGTATTTGATACTGATAAACAAAGACGGCAGCTACGATTTTCCTCACACAATTTCTTAGAGTCTAGTCTCGTTAAGTTTACCACTTCCTGACAGCATTTTAATGATGAAATCACATTGCACTCCGCACTTGACAGTTCTTCAAAACGTTCACGGTATTTGACCGGATGCGTTACTATGATTACGTGGTGTCTCAAACCACACCTTAATTCACACCTGATAATCATCTACTATGCTGTTTTGAGTTATTTGACGAGCACCATACACGAGTAACCACTCGTAGTAGAGAACAAGAACACAATAATAACTACCATAAATATTTTAATACAAAGTATTAATTAACAGGTGGCATTGCATACGTGTATGATGTCGACGGATCCTTCAAGGACAAATGCAATCCTGAAATGGTCGAGCTGCTGCCATTAGAGAAGGAAGATGATCTAAATGTAGTGAAACAACTTTTAGAAGAGTTCGTAGAGTATACTGGGTACGTATTTTGATATTTTTAAACAGGCCACTACGTTATTTAATAAAACGCTCAAAGGATTTTACATGTTATCATTGAAAAGGTCATAATATAGTTTTCATAACCGTATAAAATTCAAAGTTAGATAGCAAGACACGACGAGCCACGCGACGTAAGTGATCTACTAGCTAGCTACCAATCACTAACTTTTTCCTCAATCCTTATGACGCGATACATCCTGCTGCAACGCGGTACATTACCAGCGACCCAATTGAACTAAACCCGAACCCTAGTGAACCCACCCGCGTGCAATAACTCACAGATTGACGATTTTAACTTTGTAAACTTGTCTCTTTTAGGTCGATTATCGCTAAAGATCTTCTTCAAACTTGGCCAGAGCCTGCCAAAATGTTCATCAAAGTATTCCCCTATGAGTACCAACGAGCCCTCAAACAGTTGGCTCTGAAGAAACACACGCCCAAGGCTGAAGTTAATGGAAAAGAGGAGAACGGATTGATTGATATAGAGGAAGCTGTTAGGGATATAGAATTGGAAAAGAAGAATTTGGAGAAGGTGCTTGATAAGACTAGGTAAGTTAGTTAACTGTTATTACCTAAAGATAATGTCATTTATAACATAATAAATTAGGTACTAATTTCATACATTTCATTTTAATATGAGGAATTTGATTAATTATAAGGCACTTACAAATGTTTTGATTGATATAAAAATTTTATTTATTTATTTAATGTCTGATCTTTATAGAATGTAATGTAACATTTGGTTAAGTACTTTAAAGTTATGTATATAATATGCAAAACAAACAATGTACATATATACAATAAAAAATATTTCGAACACGTAAATTCCTCCAAACACGTATAGGGTCTAAAACCCTGTCAGGAATCAGAGACTTGTGCCCAGTTGTGGGAAGTATATAGATATTAGTGTAAACGTTACTTACTTTATTGGTAGAAAAAACCCTGTGGTTACCGATAAGTGCATTATCAGAATCTGTCTTCAAACGTATAGAAATAACTTTAAAAAATTCGACCATAAGAAAATTAAATTAAATTTAAATAAAATTTTATTTGCAAATTGTATGTGGGCTTATTACCTCTGAATTGGCCAGGGAGTAAGAGTATTGTCCACTTAAGATCTGGTCTGATACACCAGGCTTAAAACATTCTAAAACCTTAATCAGGACTTATGAACGTAAATTCGCTACAGAAGCCCTGGGATTAAGTAAGAATAAACGGCGTATTATGGCAAGAGCCCTGACTTGGACACTGTTGTCTAAAAAGCACATGTCCATCCTGAGACTAAGCAAGGATGTGCCGATTCTGTTCCTTAACGTAAGAAACACCTCTGCACGCCTACCTAATTGTGGACCCTTATATGGAAACGTAACATTCAAGCTATGTACTTCGCCCAGAAGAAGTGAAATTGCCCACGGCTAAGCAACTCCTTCAATTAATTGAAGACATAGGGCATAAAAAAACTGAAAAAAACTTGAAAACGAGACTGTACACCCAGTGCGTGTTGCCAGTGATGACATACGGAACTGAGACGTGGCCCTTCACCGCTGGCCGGATGAGGAAGCTCAAGGTCGCTCAGCGATCTATGGAGAGGGCTATGCTCGGAGTTTCTCTGCGTGATAAACTCAGAAATGAGGATATCCGCAGTAGAACCAGAGTGACCGACATAGCCCAAGGGATTAGTAAGCTGAAGTGGCAATGGACCGGCCATATAGCTCGAAGAACCGACAACCGATGGGGAAGAAAGGTTCTCGAGTGGCAGCCTCGTACCGGCAGGCGAAGTGTAGGGCGTCCCCCCATTAGATGGAGTGACGACCTGGTAAGATATGCAGGAAGTCGATGGATGCAGGTGGCTCAGGACCGTACTTTGTGGCATTCTTTGGGGGAGGCCTATGTTAAGCAGTGGACTTGTGAAGGGCTGTAATGATGATGATGATGATAGGGCTTAGCAGTGAACTATAGCCATAGCAACTATCACAATAGGATCTTATAGGTTTCTAAATCTGCATAGATGCTTGCACACAACAAATACCTTAGTGGTTACATATAGTGTATACTATACACGATTGCTGATCATCAGGTCCCGGGTTCGAATCCCGGGTCGGGCCAAAATCAGTTATTGGGTTTTTCTGTTAGAAATTCTCAGTAGCAGCCCTGAGTCAAGAAGTCGACGTTGTTCCCCCCCCCCCCCCCCCCCGCCTTGGAATGCACCTAAAGATCTTGGTCCTGCCCCTGATTTCTTTCCGGTAGTATTGAATTACCGTATCGGACTGACATGAGAGTTAGGGAATGGAGAGTGCAACTGTGCTAGTTGCCGTTGAGACAGGTTGTTGTTACTGAAATCGGTCTGGAGTACATTATTATTATTATTACATATGTTACAGGGGCTTCATAAAGTACCCGCGGGAAACATCGTTGTACCGTCCGGCGGAGAAGCGGCTCATGGACTGGGACGAGATCTACAACTTCGGGCACGTGCGGCGCGGCCTGCGCGTGCAGGCGGCGCGCTGCATGGAGTGCGGCGTGCCGTTCTGCCAGAGCGGCCACGGCTGCCCGCTCGGCAACATCATCCCCAAGTGGAACGACCTGGTGTACCGCGCCGACTGGCACCAGGCGCTCAAGCACCTCCTGCAGACCAACAACTTCCCCGGTCAGACACGCACTCCTTTCAATTCGCTTCCTTTTATATGCAACTTGATCATATTATTTATATATTTTGGAGACCATTCATAAGACCTACCATAGACCTTTGGTCAATTTAAAAATTCATAGATGCATAACACCAAATTCACCTTGTGATGCACTATCTTATACATTCCCAACGTGCCATTACCAAACGACAAATGCAGCGGAAACAATAAAATACATAGTGGCAATGGTTGACCATAAGCTATCGTCCACATTTTGCCTATTTTGCTGCTCAAAGTTCAAAAACTAATTTATGTATTCAAACTAATACGTAACAGTGCTACCATTAATATACTAAAAATATTTTACTACCCAATGTGACAGTCCATTGTGCGATACTACATGTGTTGCTACAAAAGAGAGAGAGAGAGAGAGAGAGACGGCTCCGTGGCGCAGTGGCTTAGCAATGAGTTGCTGCGCTGGGGGGCGCGGGTTCGAATCCCGCACGGAACAAGTATTTGTATGGCCTACAAATGATTGTTCCGGGTCTGGATGTTTGTCCTTGTGAAATTTGTGTTTGTAAACTGCCTCCACGATACAGGAGAAAATCCTAGTGTGGGGGTAACGTTTTTTAAAAGAAAAAAAAAATAAAGAGAGTGAGAGAGAGAGAGAGAGAGTGAGAGTGAGAGAGCGAGAGAGAGATATAGCTCAACGAACAACGATTTTTTATAGAATAAATGTGACAAATAAGCGTGAAAAAAACCGGTGGACGATGCGAACGGTATCGAAGAGCACCGCCTTCTCCATTTTAGCACGAAGCGGTCCATCACTTAATTCCGGCCGCCTCAGAGGCTGACTGGGATTAGCCCGTTATTAGAAACTACCACAGGAATAATTTCAGTCGGCAGACCACCCCCACATGTCGATCACCTCGAGAGCCAGGTCCAGATATTTTGTTAGCTCTCTTTCGGCTTTCACGAGGTTCTCGTCATACGGAATGGTAATGTCAACCGAAAATATTTTTAGCTGTGCCCGGTGCATCACCATAACAGGTGTGTCTTATTCGCAAGAATAGTTCTGTCTGTGATGATGGCCCGTTCCCAGTAGAACTTGGTGTTTTGATTCTTAATTGAGAATAAATGTAGATGTCTATAAGCCACAAAATCCACCTCCCATATTCTATTAAAAAAAACACTGCCCGTAGAAGTCTAACTGTACTGCCAACCTTGTACAGCACCGAATTGAATGCCTTTCTGTGGTCAATCCAGGCGGCGGAAAAGTGACGGTTGCGTTTAACTACCTTGCCAATCACCGTGTCAATGAGGATTGGTTCCTTGGTGCCACAACCATTGCCCCGACATCGTTTTGAGCGCGCAATATCACCTGATTTGATTTCAGGTGAAGAGTGATTCACGCGCTCATAATGGATTTTGGTGTCATGTAAATGGTGGTAGACACGTGATCAGGCGGTATTTACTCGGGTCTGTGGTATCCTCGTATCTAGGAACCAAATAAGTGATCCCAGTAGTGAAGAGCCTGTAGTGCAACTTCTGGTTAAGAGCCTCTTAAAACTGTCGGGCGCGCACAGCGTGACACCTTGAACCTCTTCAGCCATTAGTGATGCAGTGACGGACTTTTTTAGTTAGGGCCCTACGGGCCGCTTCAGCTACGTCGTCCGACGTTATGATTACGGGATCCATGGGCGTAACAATCGGACACTGACTCACCACAACTTTTGTCCAAGGGCCCTCGCTGTGGTTTACGGCCCCAAGCAGCGATTCTCTGATTTAGGTCGTTTATCGTCGATTTCGTCCTAAAATACGCCTGCAATGCGTTTAGAATAGAATAAAATAGAACAGAATAGAATTTATTTTGTCCAACTTGTACTCCACCAGTGGCTAGGTGCCGCTTGCCGAGTTCACTAGGATTCCGCCGACAGCTAGGGATGTTAGGTGATAGTGCAGCCGGTGGCGCTCGGCTGGGCGCATGGTGTGCGATACTAAGGTGTGGTGTGGCGCGTGTGTGCAGAGTTCACGGGGCGCGTGTGCCCGGCGCCGTGCGAGGGCGCGTGCGTGCTGGGCATCTCCGAGCCGCCCGTCACCATCAAGAACATCGAGTGCGCCATCATCGACCGCGCCTTCGAGGTCGGCCTCGTGCGCCCGCAGGTCAGCCAGCCGAGCCCTTTGTCTCCTCACTCACTCTTCTTTATCGCCACATTAACCTCTCCTGCTATAGGACGGATAAGTCTAGAAACAGCTAGCAGACAACTCAAGTCACATGTACTCGTATTATAATATTTATGATCACTACACCAGTTAAGCTTATTGTACAGGTATTCTGGTGACCTTAATTTTATATATATATCCTGTCTGACATAGTGAGTTATTTCCCTTTTTCTAATAAACACAGAAGAGGAAACATGTGTACGTGAAGGAATATTAAATGAAAGCTACCGCAGTGCTAAACCTGGACTCTAACGCTGCTGCCCGTCATCGGTCTAGGAATTTTACGTCTTAATGTAAAGTGCATGGATGTACCACCATCTATAAAAATTTCGTCGCCTCTTACCGGCACCCATGGCACTAAATGGGGTGATATATCTCTTACGCCGCCCCCACACGATATTGCCTAATTTTTTAATGAATTACTTTAATTAAATAAAATACATTTTGTGTTCGCGATGATTTTCTTCTGATTCTTTTCAAGGACGGAAGCCTTTTATGAACGAGTTGTTAAAGAATAAACGATTTTCAATATGCTAGTGACATTTTTCAAAATCTACATTAAATTAAGATTATTTTATTTATCATCTTAAGTCTGTATTAAACAAATAAAAATAATATTAAATAGTAAGAAATATTTTCTGCCGACTTCCATAAAGGAGACTGTACTCAATTCGACTGTATGTTTTTTTTATGTGTGTTACCTCTACAACTTTGTACTGGGTGAACCGATTTCGATGATTTTTTTTTATATGAAAGCTGATAGTTCTCATGTGGTCCCATATGAATTTGATCAAGGTCAGACCAATAGTTTTTGAGTTATTTTTAAATAACTTATATTGAAGTCGGCTGTACAAAATTTTTAATTTTTAATTATTTACTTCACGGTTAACATATTTTTTTTATACTTGTTACGAGTTTATATTATTTTTTCAGATTCCGGATCACCGTAACGGCAAAACCGTGGCTGTAGTGGGGTCCGGACCTGCAGGCTTAGCTTGCGCGCATCAACTCAATAAGGTATACAATAACTAATTGGTTTTTATTTTCTTACGTTAGAAGTGAGTAAAAATGATGATAGAGATGTATTCTTCCACACACAAAGCAAGTGTAAAATCACGTCGTCCAAAATCGCTAAGCTTCTTCGGTGAGGTCTAGGAGTGAGGCGTATTTACCGTAACAGGTATCTTAAAATAGCAGTCTGTAACTGTGTCAAACAAACTGAAAGAACAGCTCCTATTCTGGGAGATAACAAAGTTCATTATGCAACAGTTACAACCTTTTCTTTATTCATATATATTATACAGTTACCTTTATTAGAATAAGATAAAAAATTATACTGTTACACCATGACACCTTGTTACAGTTGTCACAAACTCTTTCCTTTTCTCGCATAGGTTCTAACACCTTAGTTAGAAAGAGAAGTACCCTATGCAAGTATCTTAAAATAGCACCCTGTCACTGTGACAAACTGAAAGAATAGATCCTGTTCCGCGAGATAACAAAGTTCATTATACCAGCAGTCACAAGGTTTTTTTTATTCGTACATATGACAGTATTCAATATGACGTTATTCAATATGACAGTTACCTTTATTAGAATAAGATGTGGTAACGCCAGCTAATCTAATTTATAAATCTAATAGAATACTTGGTACATGACTTTAACCCTCTCCTCTCTATGCACGCACGGCCGTTGAAGGCGACACAATCGCCACGCGGCGGCAATTTAGTTGCAATCGAACAATACCCGCGACCACTCCGCACGAGGACATTGCTTCCTTCGCCCCCCGCTTTAATATTAATTATCACCGTACATTGTGTCCTTGTAATTTCACAAATGTGACGTGCTTTCCGCGATTACAATAAGTCGAGAGTTAAGGAGTGTGTGATATCCTAGAACTGATCTAAGAGTGTGTGCGGTGAGCTGCTGTTAGCTGTCGCTTCGGGAGGAAGGCGAGGCAGTCCCTCATAAGGTTAGTGCGTGCATTCCACTGTCATCCACCTTCCTTGCTCTGTTTGTTGTATGTACCAATTACAGTCCATAAATCTTTATCGAAGAATTCAAGTTACTGGCGCATCCAAGATGAAAAATGTAACTATTACACTGTGACACTGTTACAGTTGTCACAAGCTCTGTCCTTTTCTCGCATAGGTTCAACACCTTAGAAAGAGAAGTACTTACCAAGACTGTAGTAACAGTCTGCTATTCTGTAACAAGTTTTAGAACTGTTATTTATGTGGAGCTGGAACAGGCAGAACAGAGATTTTACCTGTTACAGGCCACTCCTAGTAAGGTCCTTAATAATCGCAGATGTCACAGGTGTTCTCTGATCGCCTTCGCACGCTTTTATACCCAACTAGCTGTTCCCTGCGATTTCGCCCGCGTGTAATTTAGGGTTTTAATTTTTTTTTGCGGAACCCTAATTCTTTTTCTCAAATTAATGTAGCCTAAGTTACTCCTTAGAACATTAACTATCGGTCAGTGAAAGTCCCGTAAAAATTGATCCAGCCATTTCGGGATTAGCTGGAACAAACAGGCAGACAGACTGACAGACAAACATTTTAAAAATGTGTTTTTGTCATAAGTACCGTATAAACTTTTATATGCATTAAGTAAAAAGCTGTTATTTTGATATTACAAACAGACACTTAATTTTATTTATTTGTATAGATAAGAGAAATGTAGAACATGATAGGTCAACCCGGGTCACTCCATTCTTTCAATGGGAAGGTACTAAAACGCTCGCGATTAACAATATGTACAAAAGAGAAAAGGCTTTAGAGCATGGGCGTAGTCCATTTTTATGCCTACACATTTTATTAACTTCACAGGGGCAATTGACCCTTTTCTTGGGGAACACAACGTGATGCAACACGCACCTGGTTGTCATAACAATATAAATAAAATTATATGTAATATAAAATGGTTGCTATTTACTTTAAAAACATTATCGTAATTTGCTGACAAATTAATTTAAGTATATAGTATCTCATCATTCCCTAATGCTCTTTTCGTGTTCAATAATAATATGTTAGTCTTGCTTTAAAATCTCAATTTTTAAATTTTTAATTAAGTTTTCATTAACGCGGACGTGTACTAATAAACAAAATGCTATCGATGCAGGCCGGCTACTTGGTGACAGTGTTCGAGCGCAACGACCGGGCGGGCGGGCTGCTGCAGTACGGAATCCCTAGCATGAAGCTCAGCAAGGAGGTCGTTAACCGCAGGTTACAGCTGCTGGCCGACGAGGGTATCTCATTCAAGTGCAACGTCGACGTTGGCAAGGACATATCAGCTAGAGATCTGGCTAACGAGTGAGTTCTTAATTCCACCATAAACTAAGTTGTATAAATTCTTAGTTTGCGGACTGCTAATTAATATGTTGATTTAATTCTACTGGATGATATTACGTTGTTAATTTTAAACTACACTAAATGCTAATGCTAGAAATATCTCTTCGCTTCCGTTTCGCCTTGCTTCTGCGATCACCAACCTGCCTGTGAAACTTGACGATTAAGGCAAATTCTCCCTACTAATGGAGAAGTTCATATCCATCAATGGTCTTTAACAATATGATGACGTAGAAAAAGAAAAAGAAACGAAAAATCATAAAGCAATCTAATCATGATATTTTTAGAAAAAAAGGAGTTGAATGTATTCATAACATCTGCTTGTGCATTTGGAGTTTGATGTTTTCACACTATGTCACAACTGTAGATTGAACGGGCGCGTGCGCGGATGCTGACTTGACGGGTAGCTGGCACGGTAAATATGTCACCGGTTGTATTTTAATTACGGACAGTTGGTGATTTTAGGCAAATACGAAATAAAGTTACTTATCTTAAATAAACTTCAAATTGGCAAAGTTGAAAAACGTTGACAAAAAAATGCGCATAAATAGTGACATAATTGTTTTCTTAGTCATATTAAACAAAATGAGTGTTATATAGTCGAAAATAACCAATTAACTAGTATTTTTGCCTGCTCGCAATTAACTAAACAATATATATATATATATATATATATATATGTATATATATATATATATATATATATATATATAATGTTTTTCTATAGAATACAGGTGACAAACGAGTATACAGTTCACCTGATGGTAAGTGGATGTTGTAGTTGATAGATATCTATCTACATTTATCCTTGATTAAGAATCAAAATGCCGATGTGTTGTCACCCCTTAGAACTAAGATGGAATGTCTCGTTTCCCCTTTTTACTGGAAACTAGGCATTTCATCTTCTGTACACTCACCATACGAAAGACAGCAGATTTATGTATTCTGTGAGTGCGTGGTTCTGCCCTGGTCGAATCGAGGCATTCGTTGCACAACTATAATATAACAGCAGCATGGCTCTAGGACGTATTACATTGTCGTTGTGTTGTGTGTGCAGGTACGACGCGGTGGTGCTGTGCACGGGCGCGACGTGGCCGCGCGACCTGCCGCTGAAGGGGCGCGAGCTGAACGGCATCCACTTCGCCATGGAGTTCCTGGAGGGCTGGCAACGTCGCCAGGCCGGCGCCGCGCCCGCGCGCCCCCGCGCCGCGCCCGGCGCCGCGCCCAGCGCCAAGGACAAGCACGTGCTCGTCATCGGCGGCGGCGACACCGGGTACGTGCTCCCGCTCGCACACGTGGCCCGCTCTAACAACGCAATCAATCTTGCTCACTCACACAACTGAGCTTTTGCGGAGTTGTCACCGGCTATGATATAAAGCTCAAAGCAACACTGCACTAGCTCTCGCTCGCTCACTCGACCCAACTCCTGTGGAGCTGTAAGTGGCGACACTGAGTGCGTACTCTCGCTCACTCGCAAGGGCTTAGTGTAACACCGCACTAACACTCGCTCGCTCACTCAACAGCGCTTTTGCAAAATTCACTGCAGCGATGAAACCGTCACATTGTGTTCGTCACTTATTTACCGAGCTATCCGGCTCCACCCATCGTACAGTCCCTGTAGGACTACCAACAGTAACTCTAAATTAATAGCTCCTATTACTGCTGTGAAATTTCTACTTACTGGAAGTTGCGCAGTCCCTCCGGAGAAAGTGACGGTGACTTCGACCACTCTAACTTAATTTCCCTCTTATTAGTGTCAGAATGGGTACCAGGGCGTTTTTGAAGGGTGATCACTCTCTCACTCGGCTGTGTGAGTTTCATTTTCAATGCAATTTCCTAGGAGTTTATCAACAAAAAACTCTTTGTTAAGCAAATGGAACCAATGTAATAAATAATAAAGTCGAAAAGCACATAAAGGGACTTTTCTTTACCTGTCTGGGCCTGAAGTAATGCTTATAATGTATTAACATTTAAAATAGGATAAATGTCAAATGGTATAATGTATACTTAGATGTGTTTGAGGTTCCTCTATGGTTCTATCTCCAAGCCTATTCAATTTTTAATTTATATGTCATTTCACTGTAAGTAGATTTTTTTAACTATGATTAAACTAATTATAACATATAGTTGTAACAAATTAATTGCTTATTTTTTAAATTGATAATATGATAAACGAAAAGCCATTGACCCAGACACATCACTGCCATCAATTTCAAACAAAGTAGGCTGCAGATGCGTTGTGACCCCGAGGGAATGCTTGATTTGAAATTCTTTATAGCCAGTACTATATAACTACTTTCTTTTAGCTTTCAACCCGGGTACAGCAGGAACAGGTTGTAGAGGGCATCTAGACAGACTTCTTAGTAGATCCTAAGCTTTCCCAACAAGTTTCAGAGGTGGCCGTTGCGACGACGAACCGTTTACAAACACCATTTTGTGTTCTGCGACGACGAAACCGTTTTACGTCTTGGGTTCAGTCTTCGTTATACAAACTAGTCTTCGAATTACTTGATGTGATTTTTTATTTTACGCCTATAAAAATACAGTCGAGAACGCAATGATTCGACTACCTATCTCACTCGTCGCATCGTCGTCCTTGACATTCCGCGTTATTTTGTAGTCTTTGGTTCCGCGTTCGTTTACAAACGTGGATAGAGACAAAACAGTCCTTACCTTAATTGTAGAAACTGCAACAATTTCACTCGACGAAAACGCAATTCTATTTCATGTAGGATAATTTTCGTCCTTTTTTAAGCCGTCTTCAAACCAGTTGCAACGTCGACCGTTTTCTGCAACCGTTTTCGTCGTCGGAAAACGGTTGCGTTTCGTCAGTCAAAAATTCGACAACGAACCACCACTAATAAGTTTATATTATAAATGATACTGGCGATGATGAGTAGAAATGTAATATTATGTGAATGGTGATAGAGATGTGGTGTTGCAGGTGCGACTGCATCGCGACGTCGCTGCGGCAGGGCGCGCGCTCCATCACGACGTTCGAGATCCTGCCCGAGCCCAAGCGCAGCCGCGGCCCCGACAACCCCTGGCCGCAGTGGCCGCGCGTCTTCCGGTACGGCCACCCCACACACACACACACACACACCATGTCTGAGACATCGCGACGTCGCTGCGGCAGGGCGCGCGCTCCATCACGACGTTCGAGATCCTGCCCGAGCCCAAGCGCAGCCGCGGCCCCGACAACCCCTGGCCGCAGTGGCCGCGCGTCTTCCGGTACGGCCACCCCACACACACACACACACACACCATGTCTGAGACATCGCGACGTCGCTGCGGCAGGGCGCGCGCTCCATCACGACGTTCGAGATCCTGCCCGAGCCCAAGCGCAGCCGCGGCCCCGACAACCCCTGGCCGCAGTGGCCGCGCGTCTTCCGGTACGGCCACCCCACACACACACACACACACACCATGTCTGAGACATCGCGACGTCGCTGCGGCAGGGCGCGCGCTCCATCACGACGTTCGAGATCCTGCCCGAGCCCAAGCGCAGCCGCGGCCCCGACAACCCCTGGCCGCAGTGGCCGCGCGTCTTCCGGTACGGCCACCCCACACACACACACACACACACCATGTCTGAGACATCGCGACGTCGCTGCGGCAGGGCGCGCGCTCCATCACGACGTTCGAGATCCTGCCCGAGCCCAAGCGCAGCCGCGGCCCCGACAACCCCTGGCCGCAGTGGCCGCGCGTCTTCCGGTACGGCCACCCCACACACACACATACACACGCACACACACACACACCATGTCTGAGACATCGCGACGTCGCTGCGGCAGGGCGCGCGCTCCATCACGACGTTCGAGATCCTGCCCGAGCCCAAGCGCAGCCGCGGCCCCGACAACCCCTGGCCGCAGTGGCCGCGCGTCTTCCGGTACGGCCACCCCACACACACACACACACACACCATGTCTGAGACATCGCGACGTCGCTGCGGCAGGGCGCGCGCTCCATCACGACGTTCGAGATCCTGCCCGAGCCCAAGCGCAGCCGCGGCCCCGACAACCCCTGGCCGCAGTGGCCGCGCGTCTTCCGGTACGGCCACCCCACACACACACACACACACACCATGTCTGAGACATCGCGACGTCGCTGCGGCAGGGCGCGCGCTCCATCACGACGTTCGAGATCCTGCCCGAGCCCAAGCGCAGCCGCGGCCCCGACAACCCCTGGCCGCAGTGGCCGCGCGTCTTCCGGTACGGCCACCCCACACACACACACACACACACCATGTCTGAGACATCGCGACGTCGCTGCGGCAGGGCGCGCGCTCCATCACGACGTTCGAGATCCTGCCCGAGCCCAAGCGCAGCCGCGGCCCCGACAACCCCTGGCCGCAGTGGCCGCGCGTCTTCCGGTACGGCCACCCCACACACACACACACACACACCATGTCTGAGACATCGCGACGTCGCTGCGGCAGGGCGCGCGCTCCATCACGACGTTCGAGATCCTGCCCGAGCCCAAGCGCAGCCGCGGCCCCGACAACCCCTGGCCGCAGTGGCCGCGCGTCTTCCGGTACGGCCACCCCACACACACACACACACACACCATGTCTGAGACATCGCGACGTCGCTGCGGCAGGGCGCGCGCTCCATCACGACGTTCGAGATCCTGCCCGAGCCCAAGCGCAGCCGCGGCCCCGACAACCCCTGGCCGCAGTGGCCGCGCGTCTTCCGGTACGGCCACCCCACACACACACACACACACACCATGTCTGAGACATCGCGACGTCGCTGCGGCAGGGCGCGCGCTCCATCACGACGTTCGAGATCCTGCCCGAGCCCAAGCGCAGCCGCGGCCCCGACAACCCCTGGCCGCAGTGGCCGCGCGTCTTCCGGTACGGCCACCCCACACACACACACACACACACCATGTCTGAGACATCGCGACGTCGCTGCGGCAGGGCGCGCGCTCCATCACGACGTTCGAGATCCTGCCCGAGCCCAAGCGCAGCCGCGGCCCCGACAACCCCTGGCCGCAGTGGCCGCGCGTCTTCCGGTACGGCCACCCCACACACACACACACACACACCATGTCTGAGACATCGCGACGTCGCTGCGGCAGGGCGCGCGCTCCATCACGACGTTCGAGATCCTGCCCGAGCCCAAGCGCAGCCGCGGCCCCGACAACCCCTGGCCGCAGTGGCCGCGCGTCTTCCGGTACGGCCACCCCACACACACACACACACACACCATGTCTGAGACATCGCGACGTCGCTGCGGCAGGGCGCGCGCTCCATCACGACGTTCGAGATCCTGCCCGAGCCCAAGCGCAGCCGCGGCCCCGACAACCCCTGGCCGCAGTGGCCGCGCGTCTTCCGGTACGGCCACCCCACACACACACACACACACACCATGTCTGAGACATCGCGACGTCGCTGCGGCAGGGCGCGCGCTCCATCACGACGTTCGAGATCCTGCCCGAGCCCAAGCGCAGCCGCGGCCCCGACAACCCCTGGCCGCAGTGGCTGCGCGTCTTCCGGTACGGCCACCCCACACACACACACACACACACACACCATGTCTGAGACATCGCGACGTCGCTGCGGCAGGGCGCGCGCTCCATCACGACGTTCGAGATCCTGCCCGAGCCCAAGCGCAGCCGCGGCCCCGACAACCCCTGGCCGCAGTGGCCGCGCGTCTTCCGGTACGGCCACCCCACACACACACACACACACACACACCATGTCTGAGACATCGCGACGTCGCTGCGGCAGGGCGCGCGCTCCATCACGACGTTCGAGATCCTGCCCGAGCCCAAGCGCAGCCGCGGCCCCGACAACCCCTGGCCGCAGTGGCCGCGCGTCTTCCGGTACGGCCACCCCACACACACACACACACACACCATGTCTGAGACATCGCGACGTCGCTGCGGCAGGGCGCGCGCTCCATCACGACGTTCGAGATCCTGCCCGAGTCCAAGCGCAGCCGCGGCCCCGACAACCCCTGGCCGCAGTGGCCGCGCGTCTTCCGGTACGGCCACCCCACACACACACACACACACACCATGTCTGAGACATCGCGACGTCGCTGCGGCAGGGCGCGCGCTCCATCACGACGTTCGAGATCCTGCCCGAGCCCAAGCGCAGCCGCGGCCCCGACAACCCCTGGCCGCAGTGGCCGCGCGTCTTCCGGTACGGCCACCCCACACACACACACACACACACCATGTCTGAGACATCGCGACGTCGCTGCGGCAGGGCGCGCGCTCCATCACGACGTTCGAGATCCTGCCCGAGCCCAAGCGCAGCCGCGGCCCCGACAACCCCTGGCCGCAGTGGCCGCGCGTCTTCCGGTACGGCCACCCCACACACACACACACACACACACACCATGTCTGAGACATCGCGACGTCGCTGCGGCAGGGCGCGCGCTCCATCACGACGTTCGAGATCCTGCCCGAGCCCAAGCGCAGCCGCGGCCCCGACAACCCCTGGCCGCAGTGGCCGCGCGTCTTCCGGTACGGCCACCCCACACACACACACACACACACCATGTCTGAGACATCGCGACGTCGCTGCGGCAGGGCGCGCGCTCCATCACGACGTTCGAGATCCTGCCCGAGCCCAAGCGCAGCCGCGGCCCCGACAACCCCTGGCCGCAGTGGCCGCGCGTCTTCCGGTACGGCAACACCCCCCCCCCCCCCCATATCCATAGATTGCCATAAAAAGAAGACAGTCATAGTTGACACGTTTGTCAAACAGGTTGACTGACAACCGCAGTTTTTCTTAATAATTTTAAGTGGTTATAAAAAAATGATGCTACCCATCTCATATTTCAGTTTTCCTCTGTCGCCTCTTAGGACACCCATGAAACGTGAAAATGGGGTAGCGGATATTCTTATACCGCCCCTATATCAATCAAATAGATATCTTTGTTTCCGTTTTAAACTTTTTAACTATAATAAAATTCAATTCTATTTTCCGTGACTTTGCTTTGTGCGCAACTTAAAATCTAAATTTTTTTAAAACAGACCAGTTACTTACTTATGATGCTATTAATGCACGTTTACCTGCTACTTTAATATCCTAAATAAAAGCTTTACTTTGCAACTGTTCGCGACAGACGGAGATAGACTATTGGTTGTGGTCAGCTATACGATTGCCAGCCATAAATCCATGTTTCTGCAAACATTTTAATCCAAATGTGCTTTTTCAGAGTGGACTATGGACACGAGGAAGTAAAAGTGAAGTTCGGAAACGACCCTAGGCAGTTTTCGACGCTCACCAAAGAGTTCATTGATGATGGTAAGAGTTTAGATTTTATAGCCTGTATACTAGATTTTCTTATTGAAATTTTGTCCGTTGAAGGAAAAAGCAAAATATCTTGCCGGTCAAGGTTTATAGCCCGGGGAGCGTCCAATGTATGTAAAAGTATTGAGGTGTTCTATGGTATACATAGAACACCGAACATACAATACGGAGTAGTTAAAAAACTTCGATCACAATGTTGCAAAGAGTTTCTTCAATCTGAACGCACATTTGTCAGCACCGTACGCGCCGCATTTTAGAATTCGTTGTATGAAATCATATGAAACCTCGCACATTACACCCGCACCGTAAGCTCCGTATTTTATAAAATGCGGTAGGTATTCGAATATTGAAATAGGCATGCTGATTACGTTATATAACGCGGCGCGTTCCGCGCTTACTGATACTTTTTTTTTGGAGTTTATGGCCTGGTATCTAGACCTTTAGGCCAAGTCTTAAGTATTTTTATTCGGTTTATTATAATTTCCCCAAATGTATAATTATCCTTCATAGTTCACTGCTTCACAATATGTTGATGCGTCACATTGTGCAGCCCTTGGGAGATTTTGACGGCAACTTGAGCCAGCAGACAGCTGACAGTTGGCGATGGTATCTAAAGGCGCATATGTACAAACAGCTTATCTTGAGAATCCATCACCATCAGAGCACTTGTTTCACCGTTTCCACTAATAGTTCACATGCGTAGACAGTTAATACACAAAATCGCACCACTTTTACATATCAAAGTCCACTTCAAACCATTATTTAAACAATAACACAGGAGCAGCAAACCGACGCCGGTCAAGTTCCCGCCAAAACTCCGCTTACTGATACTCAGTGTTGTATAATGTTGCCAACTTAGTGGATTTTCTACTAAAACTGGTGGTTTCGACTTTCGTTTCGAAATATTTTTTATATAGGTTATAGTATATGTAGCAATTCTTTAAATTTCTTGTATATCAAATGTCTATCTGAAATATCTGAAAAATTGTTCATCATCATCTAATAAGTCTTTAAATAAAGTATAATATTCTCCATACACCTGCCTTTTTAAATTAATATTGTGAATCCAGAGTGTTCTTTTTCTTCGAATTTTATTTTCTTCTTTCTCTGCCAATAAGTAGGCTATTACTACAATTTTTTTCATAGCGATTCCAAGCTATTAATATCACTATACACCTTCACACTAGTGGTTGGAAAAAATTGCAGAAGTTGTTGGCAATACAAAAGATTTGCGTTCGGGGCGTATGGCGTATATATATATATATATATATATATATATATATATATATATATATATATATATATATATAATTTAATTGTTACGTTATATATAGGACACTCAATAAGTTTTAAGATATACAAAAGGTATTCTAGATACTATTAATATTTATTTTACATCTTTTCAAAATATTCTCCATCATGCTCTATACAAATTTCCATTCGCCTAAACCAACTCTGAAAACATTTTTACCAGTCTTGATCTGACAGGTCGGAAATCGCATCTTCGTAGGCAGCCACCGCTTCTTCAGAGCTTGAAAAAAACTTGCCTTTTATTTTTTCTTTGACTCTTGGGAACAAAAATAAATCACAAGGAGCTAAGTCAGGGCTGTAGGGTGGATGACTTTGAGCTTCAACACCACATTCCTCAATAAATGCTTTTGTTCTAAGGGAGGTATGTGAAGAGGCGTTATCGTGATGCAGCATGATTCCCCGAAGCCCGGACTTTGGTCTTCTCTCCCGCACAGCTTGAAACCCGTGGTCCCCGGTCTTTTTGGATGCCGAAAGGCTCCGACATGAAGACCGACTCGCGTGTCCTGCGCAAGCCCCAAGACGAAGGCTTCACCCTCATCCAATCTGGTCTTCCCAGTGCGCCTAAATACCTCAATTATAAATCAAAATGGCAGTACAATCTTTAGGTAGAACTAAACCACACTCGAACTGTCGCGTTCTTTAACGCGAACGGCCTTAGAGATCAAAAAGACGAGATCGCGCTCCTCCTGCTTAAACACTATGTAGCCGTCAAACTGGTGCAAGAGCCCTTCTTGAAGCCTAGCCATCGCGACCCTAAGATCGCAAATTACACCATAGTTAGAAATTATAGGTTGACCAGCCCTAGAGGCGGTACTTTGATCTACTACAAAAGGTCCTTGCACTGAGTACTGATGCCGTTTAACAAAGTTAACTTTTTTAGTAACGGATTAGCGATTAACAAAGTTAATTATTTCTTCAACGGTGCCCAACTATTGTTATATGTTGCCAGGTCAAGTCGTTTCAGATGGCAACCGAACCTCCACCGAAAATTCTTAGCACCCCCTACCCCACCGTTACTACGGTCGCCACCGTAGCCAGGAATAGCGGGGCCACCGGAGACTGGGGACCGTATTTTTATAACTCTTGCCATGGGGGTATTTATTGCCACGCTTGGCGATTGGTTTGGCAACCGTAGTTTTTTTTTGTTGTTATTTTGCTGTTATCAGAAAGATGCTGTTGCCCATCTCCTGCCTTAAATTCCCTCTATCGTTTCTTACGTCACCACCCACGGAAAGATATTCTTACACCGCCAATACACACGGTGAATTATTGTTGTAATAAAGAAAATAAATATGTTTTGTAAGATTTAGTTCTGTTTTATTTAGTGTATGTTTTTTTATATTAAAATAATTTACGAAGGGGCGCAACTGTGACGCATGCCCTAGGCGCCATTTTCGATTGGTACACCCCTGAACATAGGTAATGTAATAAAAATAATCATCATCACTTGATTTAGAAAACAATTTACTGTTACGTTTTTTTTTTTGTACTTTTTCTTTTCTTTATATTTTGAGACATAATAAAGCATTGAGTTATGTACTACATACTAGAGAAGCCTTTCTAAACAAAAAATGTGCACTACTCTATGTCTTCGCGCATGCTCGGGAGTTAGTGGGAGGTTTTGGCGGGAACTTGACCGGCGGCGGTTTGCTGCTCCTGTATTATCGTTTAAATAATAGTTTGAAGTGGACTTTGATATGTAAAAGTGGTGCGATTTTGTGTATTAAGTGTCTGCGCATGTGAACTATTAGTGGAAACTGTGAAACAAGTGCTCTAATGATGTGATTCTCAAAATAAGGTGTCTGTCTGCTTAGGCGCCTTGAGATACCATCGCCAACCGTCAGCTGTCTGCTGGCACAAGTTGCCGTCAAAATCTCCCAAGGGCTGCACAATGTGACGCATCAACATATCGTGAAGCCGTATACTATGAAGGATAATTATTATAATATATTGTAACTTCAGGCTCAGAAGGGCTAGATCCCAGAGCCGTAAAGCCAGATATAAAAAAAAAAGAATCGGGAGTTAGTAAAGTCGCGCATGCGCAGTTGATTTAAGCGCGTTGCGCCTGCGCGGTCAGTTTATATAAAGAAATATATTTTTTCATTAATTTTTCTTTTGTAATATTACGATATTATTACCTATTTATTCACTTGAACAACAAGTACTTTTGCTTACTTGACTACTGAAGTGTTATTTACGTCCATGTTTAAACTTTAATTTGAAATATTGTATTATTAGCGCCGCTCCACACAGCATGAATATTGAAACCACAGACTAACTAGTAGATTGAAACCACACTAAATGACACACTGTACGGATTGCAGTACAGTTCAGTTTAACATAGTGTATGTTCGGAATGCGCAATCTAGGGGTTATTAAAATTGTTAATTTAACTTATCTTAAGACCATGCTCGTGTGCAATAACTTCTAATTACTGTTCGTTATAAATAAACAAACAGAATGGCCTTGAAGTCACAAATTTCTGTATTCAACGAGAGCTTTAGTTTTTCTTAATGATAATAATAACGTACATATATATCGATGTAATAAAGTAATAAAAATGAATAAATAAACAGTAACGAGTATATCGTTGTCCATTGTTGCTAACATTGGGAACGAAATGACTATAGAATAAAAACATCACGTCTTGTGAAATAACGTCGAACATAACTACTACAATAGGGATGTAATTTTTTTGTAGTAAATCAAAATATACTAGTGTGTGTTTACTCTCATATTTGGCATAGTATAAAGAGACCAAAGACGACCCATCAATAATAAAGCTATAAATATCTTTCAATACGATTCTCTTTTTGTCTTATTTGACAATTAAATTAGAAAAAGCGAGACAAGTATATTGACTCGATTTATGTATAATTGTAGGTTCCCTCTATGCATACGTATGTATGTATGTATACGTATGTATGTAATTACTCTAAGGTCTTATTAAATCAAACTTATGGCCTATCGAAGCTTGGAATAAAATCATTATATATAATTAAAAACTAAAATGACTAGTAATTGTTGTTATTACGATTTGGCAATTAGGGCTGGCAAAGGTCTTACGCCATACAGCCTAGTCTGATGTGTATTGTGCTTGAATATCTGGAATGAGTTAAAATATCTTTAATTCCCGGTTTCGTACATTAGTATGTCTGAGACAAAATTGTCTAGGTATTCGAACTTAAAAAAAAGTGTGCTTGGGAGTTCGTTATTGTTCTTTGTATTCGAAGACATAAATTTTTAAACGTTATTTAATAATTAATTTTATTTCCATACTTTAAATAATACCTTATAGGTAACTAGCATGTAGTCATATGAGAAATGTTATGTTGAATAGAAAGTGAATACAACAACATTAAGTAAATTTCTTGTTTTTTCTTTTTAATTTCCCCGTCTGTTAGCAAAAATCCTAGAATCAATATATGTACCGTCTATATGTACCGACAGCTGACATGAGAGTAATACGATGCTAATATCGTACATAATCCCATTAATTTCACTTCTAAACGTGCGATGTTTGGTACCTAGATTACTAGTTTAAAATTTAGCATTTATTTTTGACCGCGTTTGAGTATGTGGCTGCGTATTGTATTGAATTATTGAATAGTTGATTCATTAAAGATTATTACATAATTTTTTATTTATCATTTCTTCGGGTCCTGTGTGTATCTGTTGTGGAAAGAAGTAGTTAAAATAAAGGCTGACAATAAAATATTGGGTGGTGTTTTAGGCGAGGGCAACGTGTGCGGCGTGTCGTGCGTGGAGGTGGAGTGGACGCGCGGTGCGGGCGGGCGCTGGGACATGCGCGAGGTGGCCGGCACGCAGCGCCACGTGCGCGCAGACCTCGTGCTGCTCGCCATGGGCTTCCTCGGCCCCGAGCGATACGTCGCCAACCAGCTCGGTGAGCGCGCACTGCACACACACACACACACACATACACACATGCGCGAGGTGGCCGGCACGCAGCGCCACGTGCGCGCAGACCTCGTGCTGCTCGCCATGGGCTTCCTCGGCCCCGAGCGATACGTCGCCAACCAGCTCGGTGAGCGCGCACTGGACACACACACACACACATACACACATGCGCGAGGTGGCCGGCACGCAGCGCCACGTGCGCGCAGACCTCGTGCTGCTCGCCATGGGCTTCCTCGGCCCCGAGCGATACGTCGCCAACCAGCTCGGTGAGCGCGCACTGGACACACACACACACACATACACACATGCGCGAGGTGGCCGGCACGCAGCGCCACGTGCGCGCAGACCTCGTGCTGCTCGCCATGGGCTTCCTCGGCCCCGAGCGATACGTCGCCAACCAGCTCGGTGAGCGCGCACTGGACACACACACACACACATACACACATGCGCGAGGTGGCCGGCACGCAGCGCCACGTGCGCGCAGACCTCGTGCTGCTCGCCATGGGCTTCCTCGGCCCCGAGCGATACGTCGCCAACCAGCTCGGTGAGCGCGCACTGGACACACACACACACACATACACACATGCGCGAGGTGGCCGGCACGCAGCGCCACGTGCGCGCAGACCTCGTGCTGCTCGCCATGGGCTTCCTCGGCCCCGAGCGATACGTCGCCAACCAGCTCGGTGAGCGCGCACTGGACACACACACACACACATACACACATGCGCGAGGTGGCCGGCACGCAGCGCCACGTGCGCGCAGACCTCGTGCTGCTCGCCATGGGCTTCCTCGGCCCCGAGCGATACGTCGCCAACCAGCTCGGTGAGCGCGCACTGGACACACACACACACACACATACACACATGCGCGAGGTGGCCGGCACGCAGCGCCACGTGCGCGCAGACCTCGTGCTGCTCGCCATGGGCTTCCTCGGCCCCGAGCGATACGTCGCCAACCAGCTCGGTGAGCGCGCACTGGACACACACACACACACACATACACACATGCGCGAGGTGGCCGGCACGCAGCGCCACGTGCGCGCAGACCTCGTGCTGCTCGCCATGGGCTTCCTCGGCCCCGAGCGATACGTCGCCAACCAGCTCGGTGAGCGCGCACTGCACACACACACACACACACATACACACATGCGCGAGGTGGCCGGCACGCAGCGCCACGTGCGCGCAGACCTCGTGCTGCTCGCCATGGGCTTCCTCGGCCCCGAGCGATACGTCGCCAACCAGCTCGGTGAACGCGCACTGCACACACACACACACACACATACACACATGCGCGAGGTGGCCGGCACGCAGCGCCACGTGCGCGCAGACCTCGTGCTGCTCGCCATGGGCTTCCTCGGCCCCGAGCGATACGTCGCCAACCAGCTCGGTGAGCGCGCACTGCACACACACACACACACACACATACACACATGCGCGAGGTGGCCGTCACGCAGCGCCATGTGCGCGCAGACCTCGTGCTGCTCGCCATGGGCTTCCTCGGCCCCGAGCGATACGTCGCCAACCAGCTCGGTGAGCGCGCACTGGACACACACACACACACATACACACATGCGCGAGGTGGCCGGCACGCAGCGCCACGTGCGCGCAGACCTCGTGCTGCTCGCCATGGGCTTCCTCGGCCCCGAGCGATACGTCGCCAACCAGCTCGGTGAGCGCGCACTGGACACACACACACACACATACACACATGCGCGAGGTGGCCGGCACGCAGCGCCACGTGCGCGCAGACCTCGTGCTGCTCGCCATGGGCTTCCTCGGCCCCGAGCGATACGTCGCCAACCAGCTCGGTGAGCGCGCACTGGACACACACACACACACATACACACATGCGCGAGGTGGCCGGCACGCAGCGCCACGTGCGCGCAGACCTCGTGCTGCTCGCCATGGGCTTCCTCGGCCCCGAGCGATACGTCGCCAACCAGCTCGGTGAGCGCGCACTGGACACACACACACACACACATACACACATGCGCGAGGTGGCCGGCACGCAGCGCCACGTGCGCGCAGACCTCGTGCTGCTCGCCATGGGCTTCCTCGGCCCCGAGCGATACGTCGCCAACCAGCTCGGTGAGCGCGCACTGGACACACACACACACACACATACACACATGCGCGAGGTGGCCGGCACGCAGCGCCACGTGCGCGCAGACCTCGTGCTGCTCGCCATGGGCTTCCTCGGCCCCGAGCGATACGTCGCCAACCAGCTCGGTGAGCGCGCACTGCACACACACACACACACACATACACACATGCGCGAGGTGGCCGGCACGCAGCGCCACGTGCGCGCAGACCTCGTGCTGCTCGCCATGGGCTTCCTCGGCCCCGAGCGATACGTCGCCAACCAGCTCGGTGAGCGCGCACTGCACACACACACACACACACATACACACATGCGCGAGGTGGCCGGCACGCAGCGCCACGTGCGCGCAGACCTCGTGCTGCTCGCCATGGGCTTCCTCGGCCCCGAGCGATACGTCGCCAACCAGCTCGGTGAGCGCGCACTGGACACACACACACACACATACACACATGCGCGAGGTGGCCGGCACGCAGCGCCACGTGCGCGCAGACCTCGTGCTGCTCGCCATGGGCTTCCTCGGCCCCGAGCGATACGTCGCCAACCAGCTCGGTGAGCGCGCACTGGACACACACACACACACATACACACATGCGCGAGGTGGCCGGCACGCAGCGCCACGTGCGCGCAGACCTCGTGCTGCTCGCCATGGGCTTCCTCGGCCCCGAGCGATACGTCGCCAACCAGCTCGGTGAGCGCGCACTGGACACACACACACACACATACACACATGCGCGAGGTGGCCGGCACGCAGCGCCACGTGCGCGCAGACCTCGTGCTGCTCGCCATGGGCTTCCTCGGCCCCGAGCGATACGTCGCCAACCAGCTCGGTGAGCGCGCACTGGACACACACACACACACATACACACATGCGCGAGGTGGCCGGCACGCAGCGCCACGTGCGCGCAGACCTCGTGCTGCTCGCCATGGGCTTCCTCGGCCCCGAGCGATACGTCGCCAACCAGCTCGGTGAGCGCGCACTGGACACACACACACACACACATACACACATGCGCGAGGTGGCCGGCACGCAGCGCCACGTGCGCGCAGACCTCGTGCTGCTCGCCATGGGCTTCCTCGGCCCCGAGCGATACGTCGCCAACCAGCTCGGTGAGCGCGCACTGGACACACACACACACACACATACACACATGCGCGAGGTGGCCGGCACGCAGCGCCACGTGCGCGCAGACCTCGTGCTGCTCGCCATGGGCTTCCTCGGCCCCGAGCGATACGTCGCCAACCAGCTCGGTGAGCGCGCACTGCACACACACACACACACACATACACACATGCGCGAGGTGGCCGGCACGCAGCGCCACGTGCGCGCAGACCTCGTGCTGCTCGCCATGGGCTTCCTCGGCCCCGAGCGATACGTCGCCAACCAGCTCGGTGAGCGCGCACTGCACACACACACACACACACATACACACATGCGCGAGGTGGCCGGCACGCAGCGCCACGTGCGCGCAGACCTCGTGCTGCTCGCCATGGGCTTCCTCGGCCCCGAGCGATACGTCGCCAACCAGCTCGGTGAGCGCGCACTGGACACACACACACACACATACACACATGCGCGAGGTGGCCGGCACGCAGCGCCACGTGCGCGCAGACCTCGTGCTGCTCGCCATGGGCTTCCTCGGCCCCGAGCGATACGTCGCCAACCAGCTCGGTGAGCGCGCACTGGACACACACACACACACATACACACATGCGCGAGGTGGCCGGCACGCAGCGCCACGTGCGCGCAGACCTCGTGCTGCTCGCCATGGGCTTCCTCGGCCCCGAGCGATACGTCGCCAACCAGCTCGGTGAGCGCGCACTGGACACACACACACACACATACACACATGCGCGAGGTGGCCGGCACGCAGCGCCACGTGCGCGCAGACCTCGTGCTGCTCGCCATGGGCTTCCTCGGCCCCGAGCGATACGTCGCCAACCAGCTCGGTGAGCGCGCACTGGACACACACACACACACATACACACATGCGCGAGGTGGCCGGCACGCAGCGCCACGTGCGCGCAGACCTCGTGCTGCTCGCCATGGGCTTCCTCGGCCCCGAGCGATACGTCGCCAACCAGCTCGGTGAGCGCGCACTGGACACACACACACACACATACACACATGCGCGAGGTGGCCGGCACGCAGCGCCACGTGCGCGCAGACCTCGTGCTGCTCGCCATGGGCTTCCTCGGCCCCGAGCGATACGTCGCCAACCAGCTCGGTGAGCGCGCACTGGACACACACACACACACACATACACACATGCGCGAGGTGGCCGGCACGCAGCGCCACGTGCGCGCAGACCTCGTGCTGCTCGCCATGGGCTTCCTCGGCCCCGAGCGATACGTCGCCAACCAGCTCGGTGAGCGCGCACTGGACACACACACACACACACATACACACATGCGCGAGGTGGCCGGCACGCAGCGCCACGTGCGCGCAGACCTCGTGCTGCTCGCCATGGGCTTCCTCGGCCCCGAGCGATACGTCGCCAACCAGCTCGGTGAGCGCGCACTGCACACACACACACACACACATACACACATGCGCGAGGTGGCCGGCACGCAGCGCCACGTGCGCGCAGACCTCGTGCTGCTCGCCATGGGCTTCCTCGGCCCCGAGCGATACGTCGCCAACCAGCTCGGTGAGCGCGCACTGCACACACACACACACACACACATACACACATGCGCGAGGTGGCCGTCACGCAGCGCCATGTGCGCGCAGACCTCGTGCTGCTCGCCATGGGCTTCCTCGGCCCCGAGCGATACGTCGCCAACCAGCTCGGTGAGCGCGCACTGGACACACACACACACACATACACACATGCGCGAGGTGGCCGGCACGCAGCGCCACGTGCGCGCAGACCTCGTGCTGCTCGCCATGGGCTTCCTCGGCCCCGAGCGATACGTCGCCAACCAGCTCGGTGAGCGCGCACTGGACACACACACACACACATACACACATGCGCGAGGTGGCCGGCACGCAGCGCCACGTGCGCGCAGACCTCGTGCTGCTCGCCATGGGCTTCCTCGGCCCCGAGCGATACGTCGCCAACCAGCTCGGTGAGCGCGCACTGCACACACACACACACACACACACACATACACACATGCGCGAGGTGGCCGTCACGCAGCGCCACGTGCGCGCAGACCTCGTGCTGCTCGCCATGGGCTTCCTCGGCCCCGAGCGATACGTCGCCAACCAGCTCGGTGAGCGCGCACTGCACACACACACACACACACACACATACACACATGCGCGAGGTGGCCGTCACGCAGCGCCACGTGCGCGCAGACCTCGTGCTGCTCGCCATGGGCTTCCTCGGCCCCGAGCGATACGTCGCCAACCAGCTCGGTGAGCGCGCACTGCACACACACACACACACACACACATACACACATGCGCGAGGTGGCCGTCACGCAGCGCCACGTGCGCGCAGACCTCGTGCTGCTCGCTATGGGCTTCTTCAGCCCCATGGGCTGAAAAACTTCAAGTTTCATGTAAGAAGGATTTTATTTGTGGAAAATCTTGTAAGCACGTGCATTTTATAATTTACCTGATGACGTTTGTTCATGCTGGGTGCGTGATATGTGAAAACAGTTGTCTGTGCGGTGTCTGCCACGTTACGTGCTGGGCACGCTACGTGCTGGTAGATCTGAACGAAGCTTAAGTCTACTTTCTCATTAGCCACAGGCACGAGTGTTCGCTGATAGAAAATGGCCTTGACCGCTTAAACGACCAAATTCTTCACTGCCGTATGGTCTAGGAGAAAGCTTTGCGTCGATATGATTAATGCTATCGAAACCTGCTGTCCGTAACTCTTTTGTAGAACTTGGCGGCCTCGATACTAGCTACTCTAAGCTAATATTCGGTGCTTTGCGGCCACGAGCTTCAACCCAGAGTAAATAAGTCTTGCGGTTTTGATCTTGAGTGCATTACGCAGTATGCACTACCATGGGAAATCTTTGACACCGTTGGATGGGTCAGCAAAGTGAACTCTCGCCGAAGAGAAGATGCAAAAATGGGTTGCATTTCATTAATTCTATAACTGTATTTTAATATGACATGTTTTTCAGATCTTCCGTTGGACGCTCGCAGCAATTACGAGACTGAAAAATCCAACATTTACAAGACTCCCGTTGATAACATATTTGCCGCTGGAGGTAATAACCCCGCCTATACTGTGATTTACATTCCATGCCATTCCAATACAGTATATAAAAGTCTACTATTGTTGAACATAGCCTACCTCCACATATTATTGCCTCGTATGAAGGAATTTGCCATAGTTGTCTCGCTTGGCGGCTGGCTTAGCAAGATGCTGCTGCCCGCCAGTTCCAGTTTCCCTCTGTCGCCTCATACAACACCCACGAGACGTTATGGGGTAGTGAATATTTTTACGCCGCCACTACACAGTAAATTCTTTGATTTATTTGGATATTTTATTTAAGCTATGTCCATACTGTTCTTATATTGTAGTTGTCAAGTTCTTTATATGCAAATTAAACCCTCCACTCTAGACGTAAGCAATTAGAGGCTATGACATTGTTCCATAATATAGTAAGGTGCAAGTTTGACTGTTGACTTAAATAATATGTTATGTTATGCGGTTCCCAGAACTGTGCATAGACGGGCAAGTGCGTGCGGGTAAGCTCCTTGCCTGTCGATCCAATACCGGTCATCGTTCACCAATTCGGTGTATGGTTGCCACATATAATGAGACCTTCGAGCATTTTGATATTTTTACATTCTCAACGGAAAAGTTTCGTGGTCTTTTAAACAAGACACTTTTCAAGTAATAATTTGTCACATTATAATATCATTGTTTACTATACTTTGACTCTTATAGAATACGTTGTGTACAGCTGCAGGTCTCCTAGCGTCTTAATTATCTATTCCAAGAGGTAGTCTATGAGTTACTTTACTTTTTGTAATATATATATATATATATATATATATATACAATAATAATTAAAATTAAAATATATATTACAATAATAATATATAATAGCTGTTAGCTGTTTCATTTTGAATAAAATAAAAAAATTAACATAAATTTTTGGCATGCATATATGTGAGTGCATGTTAAGTCCGCCAGCGAAATTTTCCACGTCCTAAAACCCTTCCAGAAATGAGGTGGGCTTATATTGATGTACCCACCTGTGGGATGTATGTAACTTTAATACGCTTGTAGTATACTCGTAAGTGTGACAATATTTGAAAATGAATTAACCCTATTATTTTATTGCATGTTCGTCATTTATTATGTTAAATAGACAATCAATATGCAAAACATATTGAATGTATGTACATATTTTTTGGAAAATGCAGAGGTTACGTAAATGTGCCTTTTCCTTACATTAGCGATTGTATTGTGATCCATTGTGTTTTGCTACAGAAATTCTACTAATTTGCATATAGTTTAGCAAGTCAATATTTAAATTTTTACAACAAAGCGGACATAATACTCATTACAATGGCAAGAAAATGTACAAAATGCGAAAAGATTATTTTTAATAGACAGTTTTTGAAATGTTTTCATTGTAAAAAATTGAATCATCTTACTTGCACGAATATCTCAGAGAAATTGTTTTATTTAATGAAACAGAAGAAAAGTCATAACTGGAACTGTGAAAATTGCATAAATGAATATCGAATTACAAATAACCCATCAACATCAGCTGAAATACAGGCAAGTAATACATCGACACCAAAAGTCTTTGTTACACGACGGAATAAAAATAAAGTAAACGTTACAACTGCAAATTCTTTTGCATCCCTTTACTCTGAGATTTCAGATGATGAGGATTTCTCTATTTCCAAAACACCGAATTTAAACAGAAGCTGTCCCAAAGCAGGTCTTATTATGAACCAGGTTTTGGATAACCTCAAAATAAAAATAGCTAACTTGGAAAATAAATTCCAAATAGCCGAAACAGAAATTGAAAATTTATTGTTGGAAAATAGCTCTCTAAAAAGACAAATTTTAAACTATGAAAAAAAAAGACGAATCAACTGATACACATGTCGAACAACACCGATAAGAAGTACAAGTAGAAAAGGAAGCAAGAGCGCAAATAAAAATAAATTGGATTTCACATGCTTAGACGTTTTTGTTGTTGATTTACATAAACGAGCTTCCATTAATGATTAATCATCTATGTGTAATGTATGCTGATGATGCTACAATATTCTTATCCAGAGATAAACTAGATAACTACTAGATGATGCAAATTTTGTGAATGAAATTTATAACACAGTAGTGAACTGGCTAACTTCAATTAATTTAAAAGTAAATTTGAAAAAAAAAACTAATAGAATTTAGGAATTATAAAAAAGCTCCAATTGAATTAAATGTTATAATCGACGGCGAAAAAATTGAAAAAGTGCATGACATCAAATTTCTGGGTGTCACCATTGATAGTAATTTGAACTGGAAATCGCATGTTGAGAAAATAAAAAGTGGGATTTCAAGTAGTTGTTACGCCATATCAATATTGAATAATGTAGCATGTAGAGATGTAGCAAAAAATTATTAATATGTTCATGTCTATCCACTTTTGACGTATGGAATTATATTCTGGGGTAGTTCTGTTGACATTCAGTTCACATTTGTTTTGCACAAAAAGTGCTTAAGGATTATGTATAATATAAATCAATATGACTCATTAAGAAATGTATTTATAGATTGTATATATATATATATATAAATACCTGACGTTGACTTGTGTGTTTGTCAAAGTTAACCAACAACATTTTAATATTAAAAAGAATCATAAAAGAACTTGCGAACTCAATATGCATTTGATGTGTGCATTTTTAAATCATTTGGTACTTTAATAAGCGGAATCAGAATCTTTAACCATTTACCCCTTATTTACCATTAAATCATTAGAGAGCCCACGATTTAAAAAAAAGCTAAAAGAACGGTTATTATCAAAATGTTTCTATAATTTAGATGAAGTTTTTGGAAGTAATTATTGATTTATTGTAGTGGTTTATTTTATTTTTTATTATATTGTGCATCCGAAATGGACAAACTGTAGTAACTATACTCTGTATTTGTAAGACCTCATGTACACAGTTATGACAATAAATTATTATCTTATCTTAAAATAGTACAATAAAAGTGTAAATTAGCCGTCTTACTGGAAAGAGGTATTCTGTCTTAGTCCTCAGGCGTGACTGTGTGCCCGTTTGTCACCCTTAAAAAGGGAAACCATTTACAAAAAAATGCTGTTTGTTATTTTGAGTACTTGTTATTATTTGGGTTGAGCGCTGGTCTGATACAGGCATTGAAGTCTCTATATAGGGACTCTAGTGCTTGTGTCAGGATCAACGGGGCCTACTCGGACTGGTTTGGCATCCATAAAGGTGTCAGACAGGGCTGTGTGGCTTCCCCGTGGTTGTTCAACCTATTTATGGACAGTTGTTTGGAAAATTTGAAAGTAGAAGAATGCGGGTTAAGAATGGGTGAGTTAACCGTCAAATGCCTTCTGTACGCCGATGATCAAGTCATACTTGCGTCGTCGGCAGCCGAGTTGCAAATGTTGGTTACATTAATGAACAGGACATTAAAAGAAAAGGGAATGAAAGTGAACGCAAGTAAGACGAAAGTTATGGTTTTTGAAAGAGAAGAAAGTAAAACGATATGTGAAATAAGAATAGAAGGGGAGTTGGTAGAGCAAGTAGATGAGTTTGTATATTTGGGATGTGTGTTTAGCAGGGATGGTAGATATAATAAGGATATAGAACGTCGAGTGAATGCAGGAAATAGAGTGAATGGGGCTCTACACTCTATTGTGAAAAGTCAGAATGTGTCCAAAAAGGCACGTATGGCAATTCACAATGCTGTGTTAGTACCTACTTTAATGTATGGTAGTGAAAGTTGGGTGTGGCAGAAGAAGCATGAGAGTAGAATAAATGCTGTAGAAATGCAGTCATTAAGGAGTATGTTAGGGATGAAGCTGAATGACAGAGTGAGAAATTGTTTAATAAGAGAAGAGTGTGGTTTGCAATATGATGTTGTGACCAGGATTAAGAAAGGAATGCTTCGGTGGTTTGGCCATGTAGAAAGAATGAATGAGGAAAGAGTGACAAAGCAAATTTATGTTGCAGAGGTGAACGGCATAGTCGGGAAGGGTCGCCCTAGGCGAAAGTTTATCGACCAAATTGGCGATATATTAAAAATGGGCCAAATCAAGAGTACCTTTAACCGACGAGCGTGTATGCGTAGGTATATGGATGTGGAGGAAGCGAGAGAGGTGTGTCAGGATCGTGCCAAATGGAAGTCCATAATCTCTGCCTACCTCTCTGGGTGACAGGCGTGAGTGTTTATGTTTATGTATGTATGTTTGTTATTATTTGTAAATTTGATTTCCAAATACTAAAACGCTACTCAATTTTAAGATGTCGTCAAGTCTTCGTGGTGTCACAGTCACTTTGACTTAAAGTGATAGAAGAGACAGCACTAGACTTAACGGCATCTTAAAATTTAGCACCGATTGAGTATTTGGGCATAAAGCTTCTTATTAAGTTCTTAAATAATATAACGATCTGTGTAGTGACTGCATAAGAATATCCACTGCCCCATATCATTCCTTGAGTAGTATAAGAACCGACAGAGGGAATGGGAACAGGAACAGGAGACGAGCCGCAGGATCTTGCTGATAACTGAAAATACATAACAAATGGTGGTTGCCAACCTGCCTGCCAACCACTTCAACTATGATAAAATCCCCCAATATCGTAGTACCAATATCTAAATGATCTTGCCAATATATTATAATAGTAAGTAGTAGTAAGTAACTTTGGGTCAATATTCCTGTGTAAAAAAGTGAGGTTTAGTCGATTTATCATGAAAAACTGCCTTAAAAATCTAAAACTTCAAAACATTCAACTAAACATTTTTTAATAAAACAATGGAGCAATAGTCCAAAACTTCCTGTTCTAGGTCTGGTGGTGGAAACAATTTATTGTGAAAACTCTTCAAAACTTGACTGGTTGTGCTATTTACAGTACATAATATAATATTACAGTAAGACCAATAGAGATTACACAATTTTTTAACAATTAATTATTAGGCGCGCATGTGTGGTTTGAGAAGGTGTGCGTGCACCCGAACAGGGTGTGTATGCGTGTGTGATTATGCCCTATTTTTGTTTACAACTTCGCTTTTGATGCAGCTCTTAAATAGGTTGGAAATATCCAAGTCAGCGTAATACTTATTGAAGTTTTGAATAATACGACATAAAGTAAATTTTTTGCGTAATATTTATGTTCAGTGCAGTGAAAGTCATTTAACATTATATGTTCTGTCACAGATTGTCGGCGCGGCCAGTCCCTCGTAGTGTGGGCGATATCAGAGGGAAGACAAGCAGCTCGTGCCGTCGACATCTATCTCTCGGGCAAGTCTACCCTTCCCGGTCCAGGCGGTGTCGTCTACGCTTGAATCGACTAAAACTTAGTACGTGCACTTAGTAGGTGGTAATTTTCAGTAGCTAGAGTTCAAATTTGAACAAATTTTAAAAGCGATAACTTCAGTACATGTCAGCTTGAATTACCTTTAGGCGTACTGAAATACATCTTGTAGCCTATTTGATACTTATTCCTTTTAGTTAAGGCTCAAATTAGAATAAAATACAGCAGTGCGTGTGAATCGGCCAATATCGACGTAGCTGTTAGAAGTAGAGTTGTTATGACGTATTGAAATCGAAGTGAAATAAAATAATATTTATAATGTTTTGAATTAAACGGAGTCTGAAAAAATATATCTTATTTGTTCTAATAGATTGTTTAAAACTACGATATAAAATATTAATTGAATACACAAATAAACATTCATTTGTAATGTTTTGTTTTAAACAAATTATGTTCCTTTAATAATTTAAAATTACATTAATAAGTTGTTGTTAGAATTAAATAAACGGAAACGATAGAGACACTAAGTATGTCATATTAATGTTCCAAATTATTTAATGTTTAGCGTATATACATATATGTATATATTTTTGCCTTAAACAAAATATAATAACTATGTTGAAATTTTTTCATAATATTATTAAAACGTAAAAACCTAATTACAGTACAATTTTAATATTTAATAGAAATATAAGTTTCATTGATTTGTATTTACTGCAATTTTAGCCAGTGTGTTACTTTATATTAGCAACATATTTATTAAGTCACTTTTACATAAAAACTTACAGTGTTGTAAGAAGTCTGTTTTCGGAATATATTTATGATTTGTATAGACAGTTTTTCATAAAACTAGTATTGTAAGCACATTCCGGTGAAATCACGAACCGTATATCTTTACGCTTGCATTGTACATATAAAAAATATGGCTCAGAGCAAGAAAAGGATTGATACGTCGCTCGTGTGCCAACAGAATTAATTTTTCCCGCAACTTTTATTTTCCCTCAATTAAAAGGCTATTCTGTCAGTACCAATAATTTTGTACAAATATATTCGCCTGACTTATTTAAAACAAAACGTTTGTTATTTTTTTTTCTTACACTAACGCTGTCACACTTGTACCGTATTTCACGGATTAATATCGTGGTAATGTTCACATATCTTGAGGCTAACTTCAATATATAATAGATATTCGATGCCAGTATGGGTAATAATAAGTAATAACTAATAAGGAATATTATATTTTTATGTACCTAATTACATTTTTATTTCATTCGAAAACATTTATTTTTCAGTATTATCCATATTTGCAAAGTAACACCGTCATAAAAGTCGAAGTCAAAAATATTTTTCAGTTAAGGCGTGTTTTCGTTTTTATCGTAGATATTAGACAGTATAAATGCACATTATTTAAGATTTCTAAGACTAATCTTATATATATATATATATATATATATATATATATATATATATATATATTATATATATATATATATATATCTCATTTTGAATCCTAACGATCGATTTCATTTTAATTTCTTTACTATCACGTGTATAGTAAGAACTATATGTACCTATATGTGATTTTTATAAACTTAACAGTTTTCATCTCGATTAGTTGCGCTTTTAAATCATCCACTAAGCAATTCCATTTAGGTCAGTGTCTTCAAGGATCACTTCTGTTGTTCTTATATTGAGACAAGCTAAGCGAACTGAGACGTCAAGTACTTCTACACCTAGACCTTGTTGTTGACAGCAGCTCTTACTGTAGCACACTAACCTACTTTCTTAACATGATGTTAATTTGTAACGTTGTAGAGATTTAAAACATAATCATCTGCGAAGATTGATCCCTAAAACCAATAAGTTTTGGTTGATTATAAGAATGTTCTTGCTCTAAGACCTAATTGTCGAAATTTCGTTAATATTATAGTAGTACAGCCTGTAAAGTCCACTGCTGAACATAGGTCTCCCATAGATTGTCTCATAATTTGTAGCCAACCGGCCTACCAAGTGTGACAACTATAGCAAAATCGAGGGGATTTCGTGGCTCGCTTGGCAGTCGGCTTGGCAACAGCATTTTTTTTAATATTTAGAGTTATCAGGAAAATGCTGCCGCCCATCTCCTCTTTTATTTCCTTCTATCGACTCTTACGGCGCACACGGGATAATTCGGGGTACTGAATATTCTTTGTCATGGAAATGTAGTTCATTTGGTAGTAATTTTTCGTATGTCATTTAATATAAATTGTTGGTCAAATTGTTTTTAATGTTATTGCAATGTATTGGTTTTTTTATTTGTTCATTTCAGTATTTTTATTACTATACTTAAATCAGTGATAAAATGGTGTAGGAAAGAGATTTTTAAGAGGAAGACTAAGTTTGTTTGACTTTAAAATTACCTCCTATCACAAAATATATGGCTACAGGTGACAGAAGTAGGTTTGAATCTTCGTGGTTAACAATACGACTTTATTGAATAAAACTTCTTTAATAAGCGTTTAATTTTAACTTTTATGATCTCCGCTTCGACCATGGATTAGTGCAAAGCCCCCAAAACACGGGGAATTAAAAGTTAAACGCAATAAAATAGTAAAAATAGTAGTTGTATGCAAAACGATGTATTCACAATCATGAGAATCATTACTAGGTCGTTATTATTGTGATAGGAGCAATTACCTTACAAATTCAACATGAAATAAGCGATCATACTTTAATCGTTGTGCGTAAAAATTATATTAAACATAATATTCATATAATTTGTTTTTTAACTATTCTAAGCCAGTGCTCGACTGCTATCTCACCTGATGGGCAAAGCGCACCTAACAAAAGCCTATCCACTCTTGCCTTGAAGACACCAAATTTGTATTCGAATGGAAAAACAAATGCTGGCAACTTATTCCTCTCCTTTGTTGTGACGAACGATGAAGCAAACTTTTTGGTTCGAATACGTGAAAAAACAATTAAATTTTGTTTATCAGCTTTCAAACTTCGATTCCTGTTCATGTTACGTTCTCGGATACGGTCCTTTTTTTACACCTTAACGAAATAAATGTTTTTGCAATTCGTTTCACAACTTATGATAACTTTTTTACGAAATTGCAACTTTTTTAATACATAAACTAGGAAATCGATTTTTCGTATAAACAAGAGTAAAATATCACAATTTTATGATTACAACGTACACGTTATATAATTTAATATAAATTAGTTTTGTGAAATAGGTTGTATTGGCAGAAAAAGTGAGCGGTATAATATTCAATGATATATATGTAGTTTAAACTTGATCTCATATTTCTTGACCAATATTTATCGATCACTAATAAAAAAAACTAGATACACAATCAGTGAAAAAAATGTCCTTGCTGAAAGAGCGCCCACTCTTAAATTTTTGGATGCGCTTTATATTTGTACGTAGCTTTGTGAATACAAATAAAGGAATTTGAAATGGATACATTTAAGGTTGAATTTACATTAATGTATATTTATTTCAACTACCTAACGTCAAAACAATTGGCGACAGTTTTTAGAAAACTTTTACATGGGAATGTGTAGATATCTTGTTTTTTATTTGTGATCGATGCCAATATTCCCCAATTTTATATTCATAAATGATGTTTTGTATTCATTCTAATTGTAAATACCAACCGTGGGACTGTGTTTAAGTTCTTATTTTTAATGTGGGTGTCTTCGAGGCAGAAGTGAACAGGCTTTTGTTATGCTAAGACTGTGATTTACCATCTAGATACATCATCACTACTACCACCACCACTACCAGGTGCAATTGTAGTCAAGTCTAGCATTGTGTGAGATGAGAAAGTTTTATTGAAATCGAGATTGTTAGTGTTATTGAATAGAGTGTTATAGGGGTGAAGCGGGCCTTTTAAAACTATTTATTTGATGCTCATTTCGCACGGAATTTAATTCTGTAAATGCAGGTTTCATTTTCCACTCGTTTATAATTACGTAACAATTTATATTTATCAATTTCTATGACCTTGTGGTAGTGTGTAAACTTTTGTTCCGCAGTTATTTCTTGTAAAGGCAAATTTCAAACGGATATCTGGTTTCAAAACGCGTTGACCGTTAACTGTAAAATATATTAAACCGGTTTCTGCACTTGCTACGTTCAAAATTCCTGTCCGTAATTAAAGCGGAGTAACTTTTGACGTATGATATTTGACGTCAGCTGTAAGGTCAACTACAGACTGAACGTGCGTCAGTTTGCACTTCTTAATTATTCATTCATTAATTATTTATATACTACAGAAATTGTGTGATTAGTAAAGTTGTTACATTTTAAAATATGTATGTAGGTATGCCAAGTTACTTTTGATAATGATAGTTATTTGGAACCTTAAAAAAATTAAAGTGATTGTTCGGTTCGATTGAAAATCAATATAGAGACTATAATAAAAATAAATGTTTTGAACAATCTCTCAAAATTATACTACATTATGTATTTATTTATTTTTATTTTAAGTTATAAGCTTATTGTACAGCCTGAAGTGTATTATAATTTGGTATTTCCGAGTTGATTAATATAATAATGGCCGTCGAAAAAATATGTCCTATGTCCATGGTATTAAAGTGTATTTGTTTCGACAGTGATTATTTATTTACTGTTTGTGTTAAAGGTAATGGCGATTAATCAATTATAGTTATGTGTGATAATGTTTCACGCGTAGTTCGTACGAAAAAGAAATATGCATAAGTAGCTATAGAACATAATTTTTTGATCTGTGTAGAAATGAATTATTTCGCAAACGACTTAAAATGTGTGACCGCTATAAATGTTTTGTTTCCTGTAATTAAGTTAACGTTTTAGATGTTGAATATGTCAATCAACACAACACTTGTATATCGGAGTTTAATAATTTACGCTGAATTTAAAAAAAAAACAATTTTTTATATACAATTCACTAATCTGTTTGTAATTCCCATATGAATAAATATTCATAACTTTAAACATGGTTTTCCCCGTGGTTATGACGTGCCGCTCTGTAAGTGGGATTTGATGAAGAAAATAATGAA